CGTCCGAACGGTTCCCAGCTATCGCGGAACCGAGGACAGAAGAGAGAGAACGTTCCATTACATCGGTGAAGCTAACAACCCCACCTTTACAAATTCAGAATTTCTCTATCATAACGCTTTGTGCGCCTTCCATGCGCCTTCCATGCGCCTTCCATGCGCCAATAACGCGCTGCGCGCTGAAATGTCATATCTGCTCAATTTTTGATAAATTCGAAAAAAAATGGAAAAAATCGAGAAAATGAAAGGAATCCAGCTAGATGCGGAAAAGTGGGACGATCCGGGACGAAGTTAGGGCACTTTCGGGGAAAATTTCGAAAAAGCGGAAGACGAACACCCTGCCACCCACCAGGACGCCGGTGGGAGGGGGTGAGGGGGTGAGGGGGTTACGAGAACTCGGTGCAATTTGCCAGTGCAATCGCATTACGGATTCTTTGGAAACGCGACCTTGCGTTCGCGTACTCGCCCCGCGACCCCCCGAGACTTCCGCCTCACTCGCCCGATCGTTTCCTCGGTTTTCCTCGGACGGTCTCTCCCAACGCACCCACCCACCACCTCCCCCGGAGGAGTCGTTACCCGTCGTGCTCTCGTTACCGGCGAGAGCAGTTTTACGGCTGCGTGATATCCACCCCCCTGCGCACGCGCGCTCCCCTCCCCACGCGGAATTCGGAAATGCCGATAATTGACGGCTCGGGCGCGGCTTCGATTTGCAATTTCGCCCTCGGAACGACTCCCGGCGTTTTCCGAATTTCCCCGGATCGATGGAACCACGCCGTGACGAGGAGGCCGGTACACGCGAGGAAAGGAGAGAGGGCTTCCTTCATATTTTTCACCCGAGTCGAAATATCGATTTTCCACGAGAGACGAAAAATCCTTCCCTCCCGTAAAGGGAGCCAAGAAATGGAGATACAAATGACGCGACATAGATCATGGTCGAGAGTTCCTTGAATTCTAGAATTGAGAAAAAGGGGGCAGAGAATTTCCTCTTTTTGTTTGACTCGGAACGTGGGGACGGATTCCGGTCGCTCCTCGGGGATGCCGAGGTACATCGAGGTACGTCGAGGTCTCCCGAATTCGGTGGACCGGGAGAAGCCGAAGATAGCTCCTTTTACGAGATCCCACCGGTGGCCGGGGATGTCCCAGCGGAACGACCGGCAGGAAATTGAAAATCGAAGAGGGGAGAGGGGCGGCAGCAAGTACCGCGAATCCGCGAGCGCTTTCCAAGGAAGATCGAAGCCGTCCCCCGAGTCTCGGGTGCCCCCTGGACTAGGGGGAATTTTCAACCCCTCGCGTGGGATGCCAACGGCGCGGCCGCAAACAATTCCGGCGTCGGAGAAAATAAATAAATGAAAAGAAGAAAAATAAAGCCGCGAAAACAATTTCCCCGGTTAACTCGCGGCGCGAGTGATCGTTCGCGAGACGCTGGGGGAAAAAGAGCGAAACATTCCCCGCGACAATTAACGGGGCGCCATGAATTAACGTTAACCACGGTGCTGCCCGCTGCTGCCCGCTGCTGCCCGCAGCTGACAAATAGAGAGGAGAGAGGAGAAGCGCGCCGGTCGCCCGCGAGCTTTTTACCATTTATCCCGTATGCACCCGCGGGTCCGTTAATTTCTTTACGCCGCGGAATCCCGAGTGAGAGTGGAGGCGCGAGGGTTACGCGTCGTCCTACGCAACGGCGACGCACCCAGGGGAGGAAGGCAACGGTAACCCATATATTATGCGAGCCGGGAACGAGCCAGAATTAAAGAGGCATTAAAGCGCCATGCATCTTCGCGCACGAGCGGCCCCACCTGGGAGGAACGCTCGCTCCGTCAACGAATAAGCTCCTCCGATAGATCCCCTCGAGATCGCGATCGGAGCGTTCCTCCCTTATCGGGTCCTCGACGGAGCTTCGGGCATGTAAACCGTGTATAAAGCGCCGAACGTTATCGACAGGGCCACGTTACCCAGGAACCAGTGGGTGCGTACACGCGCGTCTCGCACACGCCGTCGAGAGGGGTGACGGGGGGGTACCGCGAGTGCGTGTCGCGCTCTAATGTTTGCAGTCACAAGGCTTTCGGTTTTGTGATGGCAACGAGGTTCGCGCCAGTTCCCGTGGTAACGCTTTGTTGTGCCCCCGGTGTCGAACTGGGGGAGGGGGAGAAGGGGGTTGAAAGCCACCCCGTCGCTAATGGCAGCCCCCGGAGCCGGCGACCGGCCACCCCGTACCTCCCCTGGAGCCGCCGTTTCCCGCGGGATCGCCCGGGTCGAGCATTCCGCGGATCTCGAAAATATGGGGAATGGAGGGAACATAGGACATTTTTTTTCCTCGAAAGAATCGAACGGGCGGGTGGGATTCCACGGGGGGAAAGGGAAGTCCGAATGGAGAAATCATCGCCGGAACTCCCTGATATCGTTATCCCCCAATTTCACGTGGAAAATGAAGAGTTGGATTTCTCTCTCTCTCGCAAAAAAAAAAAGGAGAAAGAAGAAAGAAATATTCAATTTCCACGTCGTTCACTCGCCCATCGGATTTATCGTCGACGCGGAGATAATGGTAAGTTGCATATATGCCCGGTATTTAGGTAATCGATAACCCGGGGAAGAACGAAGGGAGGAAAAATCGGTTCGAGTACGAGTAGTTGAAATATTCGACTGCCGGGGAACCCTTCTCCTCTCTCCCTTATCTCCTTTCCGGACTTAGGACAAACCCGAAGGAACGGCCGTAATTTCTCGGCTCGTCGACGCCGGCGTCGCGTCGCGTAGCGAGTCCTTGCGCCATTCCGACGGGAAACGACGCCCGGCGATGGATTCAAGGTTGCGGGCCCCCGTATATTTCGAGTTTACGCCCGCTACACTTTATTTCCCCGACATGAAAATTCAATGCGCCAGAGACCTCGCCCGTCCCTTTACGGGGCCGTCTAGGGATAGATAACGCTCGATCGGCGACGACCGGCGACGACCGGCGACGACCGGCGACGACCGGCGAGTCTCGCGTTCTGTACGCTGATAATAAACTGCACCGAAGATGCCTCCCCCGGAATATCATTTTTACCCTTTAACTACGGCCGAGTAGAAGGTGGAGATGTACCGTATCGAGAAAATTCCGACGTTATTTAAAGTCAAACGGCATTTGTCGTAGACCCTCTAGACGAGTTAATTCATTTTTTTTCTCGAGAAGAGATCTCAAGGATGAGGAGGGTCAGGGTGTCCTCGAGGTTCTCGCGTGTCGGCGCGAAAGGTAGGCGGGAATTGACTCCTCGGAGCCGTAAGGTCGCCTCGGGTTAACGAACCGCTCCCTGGGGATCTCGCCTCCGGTGACCAACGACGTCCCCGCCACCCAACGACCCACCTATCGCATAATGTATTACGCACCGTACGCGCGTAATTAGGTCCGAAGGTCGGATCATGCGCAGAAAGGCGCTCGAGAGAATACGAGCAAAAGGACGACAACCGACACAGGAGACAGTCGAAATTTCAACGGACGAGTCCCTCTAATCGATCCCTTCTTCTCTCCTGTGGAGAAAAAAAACAAGAAAAGAAAAAAAAAGCGGGCGAGCATCGTGCTCGATAATCCGCCCAGAATACAAAATCCACCCCCACCTGGGCGGACCTCTAATCAAGACCGGAGGCCGCGAGCACTCGTCCACGCTCGTCGAAAATCGACCCTGCCGGCTAACCGAGCCCTCCCACGAGAAAAAGTTATAAACAAATATCGGAGCTCGCGTGTCCAGGAACAACTTTCGTATGAAGCATTTTCCGGTAACTCGCGTCCCTCTGGGGAGAAAATCGTCTCGAATTGCCCAGAAAGCGCCGGTTGCGCCCGTAAACACGGCCTAAGGCCCCCATTAACGACTCCTAACTCTTTTTCCCAAACGGAATTGCGCGTCCATTCGGGCCACCTTTGGTGTACTCTGCCCGTTGTGTAATTCGTCTGGATGCCTTGGGTAAAGTCTCGTTAGACAATGCGCTACAGAGACGGCCGGGTAGGGACGATGAGCTCGCACGTAATTAGATCGGAAAGCGGGATAGCGAGGTGGGGTACGCGCGGTTATCCGAGAGTACGCAAAGGCTGAGCAAACGAGACGCTGGAAACTGGAATGTTCGGTGCTCCTTTTAAATATTCACGTAATCCGTTAAGCAAAAATTTTAGACTGCCGAATGAATTTCTAGCGTTAGTAATGAAATATTTGGTGTATCGTGTACCGGACCAGCGGCCGGGATTTGAATCGCGATCGCGTTAGCATTGATCCTTAGTTCGGTCGGCGGATAAGGTGGGGAAATAGGGGGAGACTCGCCTTGGAGAGCGTCGAGCGGACGGTCTCTTATCGGCGGAGATAAGGTTAAAAATACCGACGAGTCGAGCTCTCTCCTTCTCGACGGTGACGCGTGCCTTCCGCGATGGATCGGCGGGATCGGACGGATAGCGAGGATCGCGAGGACGGCGTGGCGAGTCGCCGCGACGCAAAATCTCGGACGAGAGCCCAGCCATGTTGACTCCGTCGGGATTATCGACGCGGGCGCCCCTGACCGACAGCGACGCGGCGCGCGCCACGAGAGGACCTCCGGTAAAACGGCGCCCCGGAGGACGATAACCTCAAAATTCGGACGAGTCGCGAGGCGCGCGTCCCCGGCCTGGGGGACGCCACCAGCCGGGGCGACGCGACGCGGCCACGCGCACGGCAGAGGGCTGATTCGGCGCGCGTGACGGCAAACTAACCCCCAAATCTCGGAGGCTGCCTTTCGACGGGTCAGCGCTCTCCGGCCGGCGTAACACCGTCCTGGCGCGTCCGAAACCGGCGAGCCGCACGCCGGGGAAATCAAGTTCGACTTACCCTGATAGCTGGAACCGCCGGGAACTACGTAAAAACCGGATCAATTCTCTCACTAGCACAACCACGAAACTTCAGCAGGAATCACGGCACAATGGCGCACCTCGACTCGCCGCTCTGGGTGAACCACATACTCCCGCCATCTAGCGGCGCCCCGGCGGACTGGCCGCTCGATGCGGCCACGCGATTGGCCGAGCCTGACGGAGCCTGGCCAATCAGGAGGCAGCGTTCGTTTTAGCGGGAACCCTCCTTCGCGCGGTCGCCGCCATGTTTGGCGGCGGAATTGAACGACCGTTTGAAATTCTTACTCTTTTCTTTCTACCAAGAAAACCGTTCGGAGAAATTCGTAAGACGGATAAGGGCGGGAGCTTAAACGGTAGAATTGGCTTTGCAGAGGTTCGAGAATTTCTTTTAATCCCCCCTTTTCATTTTGGACTGTTTTTTTTTTTTGCAAAGGCTGCAGCAGGATTAATCACTATAAATACTGATTTCACGTATTTTTCTTTTCAGACAAATCGTTGAAGGACATGTCATACATCCCGGACAAAGATCAGAAAATTCTAAACTTAGACGCCGAAATTGCAGCGTTCGAGATAGAGATCGACAAATTAAACAAGAAACATATGAAAGTACAAGGAGATATCAACGAAACAAAATTAATGCAAAAAAAGGCGTTACTTATAATAAACAGTAATACATCAATATTTAATGGACTTCGGGAGAAAATGAACGATATCCATAAAACCTGCGTGGAACTTTATGGCTTCGATGAGGAATATCATTCTAAGGAAACCGATGAGATAAAAACCCTAACTAAAACAAGAGACGAACTGAAAAATAAGTTGACTGAGAAAATGAAAACTTGGATCGAAGACATGGCTAAGTTAGAAGAAGTTAAATCACAAATAACAATCGAAAAGGTACCAATCTTATAACTTTCTTGGCAATCATCATCAGCGTTTGGTGTATTTCATATTATTAGATCATGTTTTATCTCAGGAAAAAAATGACGCAGCTGTCCGAGAAATGCGAAAGCAATTGGAACAATGGCAATGTAGACGATAGAAATTGACCTTTACAGGAATTAAAACGGATACATAGTGTGCTACCGTTTGTCTCGTAACTATTTTCAGGTTTTGGAGCTCCATTGCTTAAAATTTCCTACATACTGTGAATACAAAATTATCATAGTACTATATCAAATTCTCTAAGAAATGACTAAAGTACTTTTGCTTCACATAATTACATTAAAACTTAAGATATGTCAGGTACAATATGCCCCGTTTCATTTCATTTGGAAATAACCGATTAATATTAAAATTGCGAAAGATTAGAGTATTAAAATAATGTAACGGCACATGAAATATTAACTTTCGATGATATTCATACACTCTTCTAAATCAGCAATGCTCTTCAGCATTCGAGGCAGTGCAATAGCATTTTTGCTTAACGTAAGTGTCATTTTCTCATCAAGCGCTTGTAGCTTCGATCTCCTTTCGGTGACATCGTTCATTAAGACTTCATTCTCTGCTTCCATGTCATTCAATCGCTTCTCCAATGACACACATTCCTCTTTAATTCTAGCAGCATCCAGAGATCTTAAATGCTCTTCTACATTGCCCGGAGGTCTCCTGTAATATAACATAATACAATTAACGAATTTTTGTATTAAATACAATAACCTAAATTTATTTAATACGACTAAATATAATTCCCCAAACTTTCAGGCACTGCCACTACTTTTCGATTAAAAAGCTAAGAAAGTAACATCATAAATACTTAATGGTAAAACTTACCAAGCACTGCGATCCGGAGGTACGATAGCCTCTTCGGAAAGGCCATTGACCTTCGCTAAGGCGTTTATAAGATTTTCTTCAGAGAAAATCTCTTTCAAGTCTGCTTCCATGCATTCCTGCAGCGACTGAACCAGGATTTTATACAGTTTCCGTGTAACTCCAGGTCTCCTCTTCAGTATCGTGAAAGTATCGAGAAATGCCGATTCGCTGAAAAAAAAAAAAAAAGAACAAAATATAAGGTTCACAGTTGGACTAATCAGGCGAATATCAATATGACCGATATCTACAAAAAAAAGACATCGACGTTAAGGGGTTGATATCGCATTTCGGTACAGCCTGAAACTCTAAACCCCTGAAATGCACAAGTCATTGCATTTCAAAATACTTACATCACAGTTGAAAGAAAACCGATAAATCTAAGAACCCGCAACTAATCGATTCCACGTCCTCAGAAATTTTGCCTAGTAATCATGAAGTCTCTTAAAAAAAAAAAACCTTATTTATTCAAACACCGACAATAAAAGGGAACCCCGATCAGCCCCCAATCATCCGAAAATAGCTCAATTCTCCCCAATGAAAGTTCAAATTGACCGATTTCACGAGCAGCGATTCCATCCTAAATACTCGGTATTCTTAGGTCGTAAGGACAGAGTCAGGACGATCCGAATAAATTACGGAACCGGGGCCGAATGGTCGGTAATAAAAAAAAAAACCTTCCGCCCATTACCATGAAAAGGAAACGGAGGACGGCTATACGTTCCCGTAGAAGCTGTACGCACGCCTCGCCACGAGGAAGGCATTATATATCGCTTACGCACACGTCCCGGTAGAACCGCGTGTGCGTGCCCACGGGCGTGTCGCGCGTGTGGCGTAACACTATCGCTGGGGATCGAATTTTTCTTTGTCCCGAATGCAAACAAAGAGCCCCGAGAAAGAGTCCGGCGAAGCGCGAGATCCACGGTACTTCGGCCCCGATTCCTCTCTTTCCCCTCGAGACCGCCCCGTCCGGCGAACAAAAATGCAGCCTCCTCCGTGATGCATATCCCGGTAAACGCAGGTAAAAGGTCCTCGGATCCTCGACATCGGCCACCAGGTGGTTTCCGCAGGCTCGTCGAACGCGAGACCTTCCCCGCGCCCGCAATCAGGCCGGGACTGGTGCAATTTGATTATAAGAAAAAAAACAAATTTGCATTCGTCCAAGCCTAACCGAGGACGCGGCCATCTCGATTCACGTAGCTGCACCTATAAATGAAAAAAATAGAAAAGGACTCCAAGTCCAGGGGCTCCTCCAATTCCGTATACTCGGGAGAAAAAGAAACCCCTGTTCCTCCGATCGAACGCCGAATCGTGTCATACTACGTCGTACCACGCTGCGCCGCGTACGCCGTACGTCGCGTTATAAAGTTGCCCTGAAATTTCTCCAGGCACTCTCGAGACGCTACTCTCGCCGCCACGGAGGAACGCCTCGCTCGAGATCCCAAGGATCGGGCGTAGCCGTAGAGTGCCGAAGACTCGTTAGTCTCGGGGCTAGGCTTAATCGTCTTCCCTCTGAGTCACTCTCGGCTCCCCGGAACACGCGCGGGCATGACGAAACGCCACACTTGAACTTGAGGAGTGCGCGGCTCTCGGTGACCCTCGCGTGCCACCCTCTTCGATGCGAGTAACGAACCGCGACGAAAGCTCCAGCGCACTTTCTCGATGCGCGCATCCGATCGCCCAGAAGGTTTCCTCCGTTTTCCGCAATTTCTGGCGATCGACGATTTATGAGGGAAAAAAAAGACAACGATAATAAAGGGGGAGGAAAAACTTTCACGGAGGGGTAGGTCTCGGGAGCTCCCGTGATCGATGAACGACCCTCCGCCGTACACGCGAAACCCATTCAACGGCAAAGCACGGGGGCTTCGGGGCCGAGAGGGTCCCATTGTCGTCGCGGCATCTAAAAACGTATACGATTACGCGCAATTTCCGGCTACAAAGGACAGCCGCGCGGCAAACGCGTACCCGCCGCGACGGTTGGGGACGGACTTCCGTGAATGAGAGCGACCCCGCGAGGTGTCGGAGGAATTTACGAGGATCGCTCGCCTCGGATTCGCGGTCGCCCTGTACGGATGTACGGATGAAATCTAGGAAATAACGAGGCGCACGTGGCGATAAGTAAACTCGTACCTCTCCTCGCCCGCGGCATAACCCTTATCGGCCCTCGCAGTTTTTGCCACGACAACGAGTCGAAGACGATACTTGTCTCTTTTCTCGCGAATAATTTCTTTTTTTACTTTTTCATCCGCACCGTTAAGCATCTTCCTTTCGCGAATTTCCACGTCGAATTCCGCGCGGTGCCCCGCGACCAGCCAACGACCACGAGAGCACTGTCCTATATTTCCGACAACGTCCTAATACCGGTTTTCTCACGACTAATAACCGTACGGTAATACGATCTTCCGAATCGCAATTAATCCTCCGACGTATCGGATACCTTCCTTGCCTTACATGGATCGCGCCGCGAGTTCGATCCCTCCAGCCCGGGTAAGAACATCGATCGAGTAATTAATGAATCCCCCAACGATGAAAGATCCCATCTATGCTGTCACAAATAAAGCTCACCTAGAAAGGCACAAAAACCTCAACTTCGTCGATAGCTCGATCCTCCGTTCCACCACTGGAATACTACAATTTCCTTGGATCTTACCCCTATCCAAAGCCCCATTCAACGATAAAAATCCTGCAGCTCGATCTCATCGAATATCTTTGGCACGTATCCGCGAACACCTCGAATCTCTCGTTCCAAGACTCCTCTCTACCACATGGTTCTACGAGGTAATACTTATAACTTACATTTTCTACGACACGAGGTAAGGCGGGTGAACTGAACCCTCGATCCTTCGAGGTAGCGCCGCTAGGAGGGCGCGCGACACGCGCGACACGCTCGAATCCGCCGATCGACTTTCGTCCACGGCCTGCACGTCGCGAATGAGCGGCTCGCGAAGGCAGGCGGCGCGTCGGCGGCCAGCCGGAGGGCCCTTTGTCTCGGCGAGTCCGGAAGAGCGAGGAGTCTCGATTTTCGGCGGACCATGAGCGCCCGAAAATAAAAGTCGAAGGAGCGCCGATTATCCGGAGGGTAACCGAAGACTCGACGTTTCGGCGGAATAAAAACAAGAGCGTTCGGCTAATCGACGCGCGTGGTTGGATACTTTTTTTTTCATTATTACCAAATCGTACACGGTAGGGGAAAGTTGTACAGGACTTTTTCACTACTTTGGTAATAAGGACAGCGATGGGTGAGGCGTAGGCACGAGTTCTGCTGGAAATTGGATGGGTTTCGGCGACCCTGGTCCCCTCGCCAAGGTCGCCGAAAATAAGGAGGGACCGCGGTTATTCGGCCACGTGAGACGCGGACCTCCTTGGAAGCCGACCCACTGGGCACATTAGTATGCACGCCGTGGAGGCCAATGACATCGAGTGACACCATCGTTCCGTCCCGTTGTCGGCCCGTTGTCGGCCCATTACCGGCTCGTTCCGTTGGCCGAGCCCTCTCGGGCGAGCACGCCGCGAGCGCGAGATCGTCGCCGGCTTCCTTTCCCTCCGCGTTGCCCGGCACATTTGCCCGCGGAAACGGACCCTCGATGAAATTCCGCGTCCGGAAGGGAAGTTACGGGGAGAATATTTCGAGACTCGCAGGTCAGGGGGACGAATTTTTGGTTACGTCGAGTGGCGCTCACCTCACCGATTCGGCGGTACTCTTCATGCCGTTCGATAGGGCCGCGCGGAACAGCAGGACGTTGTTCCGTTGGCAGGCTTCGCCGGTTGGCGCCATTTCGCAGGATCCAGGAGCGTCGACTCGAACCAACTGGCACGACGGATCTGTCTCACGCGACCGAAAGGATCACGTCTGGTTACGTCGGACCGGCGAATCCTTTGTTGTCAACAAAAGCATGCCGTAACGGCCCGCGACCCACGCGCGCGCAGCGACGCGCAGGCGTGGCGCCATCTGGAACTTTTGCAGACAGTACCCCGAGCGCGTTAACGCGGTACCCCCTCTCCGCAACCCGGGAGACCTCCGGACGCGCGCTCGTATGAGTAAGACGAAGAACTCCGATGCGCGTAAAGCGTAGAGGTCTCTCGACTGTCCCCCACCCAAACTTCCATGATACGTAATGAGACGTTTGAATAACAATCTCTACCGGCGACGCGTTTGAATTTCCCTTGCCACCGCGTACCATATGTAGGAGGAAAAAAAGAATAGAATGGACGCGTTGACGATTTATCCAGTAGAATTAAGGGGGAGAGGAGTAAAAGAAATTTTGTTACATGGCTAACGTTAGCAAATTTCAAAAGTTTATCGATCTAGGTTGTCGATTAAAGGGGAAGAAGACTTTGTTTAGAATTCGCACCGGATTTTTCAAACTTATGCGCGAGGTATCAAGAGGGGCCGCTAGATGGCGGTAGCTTACGGCAAGCTATTATAACGGCGGTAACGACGATGCCAAACGATATAAACTAACACTTGAAACTACAATTACATTTCAGTTCTTATTTCTTCACGCCTATTTAATGAAGGTAATTCATTTTCTTATTACTTTATATACAGTTGATGCGTACGCAAATTAAAATTATAGGAGTTTAAACGTACACGTCTTTCAACGTGGCACTCTGCTTTTTTTCCTGTGCCAATTAGTATTCATGGCTGGAACACTCGTGTACCATTTTCTAAATCACCCGGAGACATCTTTCACAGTTTTACGAGTTGCCAATATCGTCAGTTCTAGGAGGTAAAGATCAAGGGTAAAAAAAAGCAATTCAATCGAAACATGATGTGCGGTATCCCCATGAATTATCCTGTTAAATTAAACTGTAAATTAACGGTGAAATTACCGTGTTGCTTTTATATTTTTTTAGGTATCAATCGATCCATCGGATGGGCAATTTAGCAGCAGACACGAAGATTTCTCTACGATTCCGTCTCTCGAGGAAACATCGGTAGGTATCCTCTTAGGTGTGACGACAGCTTTCGCTTTAAACTTGCTAACGAGCGGACGAATGATGGATCGATGGGATTATTCCAAAGCAGGCGAAATCGTTATTCCCGACAATCCGCGATAACTATCCGTAAATCAACGGATCTTTATCCCAGAAGCCGGGGAGTGCGGGAGACCAGACCCGAAAGCTCAGTCGGATGGATCTGGAAAATGCTACGGACTTCTCAGGGCTGTCGTCTCTCTCCTCGCTCAGGGAAGGCTGACACGCGATATCACGACGTGCACGTTTCTCCCGAGGTATTCTCAAGGAAGTGCAGCATCGCCCTGATACACCTAGTCTTAAAAGGGTGCGTTTAACCAGACTCCGTATAAAATAATAATCCCTAACGACCAAGTATACCTAAGCGAATGTAAAACTGCTGTCTTCAAAAGTTCAACGGCACGCTCATACGGCAGCCAAATCCGGACAGTGAATTCGCTGAATATGGACGACACGGCCAGCCACTTACGGGGCACTCTCTCGTCAAGGAAGACTCCGATATATTATACGATGTTCCCGCTGGACCCAAGAATTCGCAGGCTTTCCTTCCCGGACCCTCGGCAGAACTAAAAGTGTAGAAATTCGTACGTGAAATTATCGCGTCGACGCGGTGAATCCGTGTATACGGATAATCCAGTTTCTCGAACCTTGCGATACGTGCACGCGAACCCTGATGTTTACCGATGCCGTAACCTCGCAACAATGCGAAATTTGTCTGTCCATCCGCACGAACTCGAGAATCGGGTCCCTGGTCATCCACCCGGGACGAAAGGTCGGCGGGTACGCGACCATTTGTCGCGAGATTTGCGAGATCTTCCCAGGTGATCCTTAGAATTCAAGGCGAACGGGTTCGTGCGCGTGGATAGGAACGTCACCCGTGAAATTGGATCATCCTCCTCCGGTATACCCGCGGCCGGGCTCGACGTGCCGTAAACCCGGCCTAAAGGTCAAGACAGAGGAGGAGGAGGACGAGCTCGTATGAAGTCGCTCTCGTTACGCAATATTCCTTGGCGTCGACTAAACGGCGCGCCGTTTCCTTCTGCTCGACCCGCGGCTCCGACTACCGACCTCCGTTCACTCTCCGGGCCCGATCCGCCATCCCCGAGGTGTCCCGGACCTCGCGAAGAGGAGCGTGCGAGAGATCCCGTTCTCGTATACGGGTCGCACCCGGAATTCCATGTCCCGGATGAAATTTCGCGGCGACCCTCTTACTCCGACAGCGGCTCCGGTTACTCTCGCCCACCCTTGCCGGCTTGCCCCCAATTGTCGCTTGCGCGATCAAAGACCGAGATATCGATAACGGCGCAACGCGCGAGGAGTTTCTGGATCGTCTTCGCGACGGTTGCGCAAGGTCGCGCAAAGTCGCGCAAGAACGGCTACCAAGTCCGCCAACTTTTTTCCTCTTTCGAAATAACCGCCGGCAGAAGACTCGAGGTCTCGACTGGCGAACGATAAATCCCTTCCCCGGTTCTAGGCGGTCGTTCGAACGATCGGCCCGACTTTAAGGTACGTTTCCGCGATAAATTAACGGTATTATTTATAACGATCGTATAATCCAAGCCGAGGATCGACTCTCCTTAAAATTCGTTAGGTATCACTGGAATGCTGCTCGGGGTTGTGCATACACATTCTACGATGACTTATCTCCCAGCGACTTTACGGTTCCAACGCGCTGAGTGCCGGAGCGAGGAAGACTTATCGCGCATGACGTACCGCGGACTCTACGAGGAATCGCTGTAGAAAGGTTTCTGCCCTTTTCGCGCTTCTCCTTAACGGTGATATATGTCTCGATACAACCTATGGAGGATGATCCCTCGTTTCAGCGTTTTATGCAAAATCTATGAAGCGACTACGAGCCAACCCGTTCTTCGGATCAACGTTAACACCTTCCGACCGAAGCTACAAGTGGATGTCACACGGTGCTGAAAGTAAAGGAATCAATGAGCTCCCCTGACGTTTTATGACGCCATTAATCATAGGTAAGCGATTTATTATACGTAATTACCGAGCTGAGGTAAATATCATCACCCGTTCGACGATTCGTGTTCCCTTGTAAGATATCAATTGTTCTTTCCGTTTAATACCGTTGCTTTTACTTGTCCAAACGTATTGCAGGTGGTGAGTGGTGAACTCGTTTTGGGATTCGCAAAGATACTCGCGGAAAAACGTGCAGGTCGCATCGTTAGAGCCAGTCCTTATAGGAAAAGGGACGCAGTAATTGGCTGGAGGTAACTTTCGGGACGGTAACGTCGAATCGAAGGAGTCGTTAAGTTTTTAATCGGACTCCGTAATATGCCTCTCGTTTCGCCACTCACTGTGGCGGTCGTATAAGGAAACACCCCCCGGCGATTAGCGGCGATCTCGTAAGTCGTTAACGCGGAGGAAAGTTCGTCCGCGAGCCAGGAACACTTGTCATAACGTCGGATGAAACACCGTGGAGGGCACCGCTATATCTAGCGATACCAGGTAGTACATCCCGCGTACCGATGTTCCAAGCCGCTTCGCGAGGCCAACGATGAATGCCATCGGATGTGTTCCTTGTTATCCCTTCTCTGCTACACCTGGACATTGTTCGTTACGTGATTAATCGTACTAACTTTGCGCAATTAACTGCGAGATACGGAGAAGCAGAACGGACAATAGGTATCCAAAGAAATAATTGGGAACTACGAGGCAATGGCATCGATCGCTGACAGTGGTATCGAAACGGTAGATTCTTTTTAGACCGTTAACCTATTATTAGCCTTTAGTTAACGTTTGTCCAAAACTAGATTAGCAATTATTTGGCGAAGAATCACAAATGCGCCGTTCGCCACTTAAGGTGCTATCTACATTTTCCCATATGCCTTTGTTTCCGCATCGAAAGTAACCGAAGTAACCCGTGTGCGAGTTTCGTTACAACGAGAATAGGGTATCGGCGTTTAAATCGCTTTGCAGGTTGTCTCCTGAGTTTATCTCCCATCGAGTGACGGATCCGCCTGCCAACCCTGTTGCAACGCGAGCTGCGGTAATTCATCCAGTTTTCTGGAAGCAACCAACGGGAGGATCTTCGATCTCGACGGCTGTTCCCGGCTGATCCTTTCTGGCGAGAACTCACCTCTGGCATAACACGAGCATCAAGATGAACGCGGGGATAATGCGCCAAAGGGCTGGGTTTTCTCGGAGGATCCGGGCCCGGTTTAGAAAGCACAGAACCGGGTTATGCCGCCACCTCTTGGGGTCCCATTATCGACGCTCTTCGACTCACGATCGTCCGGACTTTTATTCGGGCCGCACCCCAACTACCGATCGGCTGTTTCGAGCAGCTCCCAGGCTGGTCTCGTTTCAGCCCATACAAATGTTAAGTCATCTCGCGGATAACGAGGCGCTAAAGCGGACCGACCATCCTCGAAGTGCTCCTTTTTGCGCGTTGTCATCCGCTAATGCACCGGCCAGGGTAGCTGGTAATGGCATTCAAAATTCTCTTACCGACCGCTTTAAAATCTGTCGTCCATTATGACGTCCATTATGACGTCAGATTTTAACCGTTTCAATTGTACTCGAACCTATTATCCATGCCCCAGTTTCTCGACAAATCGTTGGAAGGCTGGATACTTTTTTTTTCTTTTCATTTCATCTTTTACTTTCTCCATTATCCAGTTTTATCTTATATAAATCTCTGCAAACTCAAGGAGTGCAAGCGACCCGGTCTAATCGAGATAAATCCCCCAGAATTTCCCGTTCCTGCCGCGTTCTAATTGGCCGCGATCGGACCTCGCTAAACTTTGACTTCTCCCGCAGTGGGTGTCGTAATCATCGCTCGAAGGGGGCAAAAAGACGCTCCGCTAAAAAGAAGGGGGTCCGGCGAGAGCGCGAGAACGAGGAGGCCCTCATCTCCCGGTCGAAGCGGTCGGAAAAAATACTCACCCGAGAAAGAGAGAGTTCGGCGATCGCGAAGACGCGCGAGAGTGCGTCTACTGGCGACCCGTACGCATCCCCCGCCATCCTCCGCCATCCTCCGTAGACGAGCTTGCACAATCCCCGAGTGCCCGCAACGCCGTTTGCTCCATATGTTCGAGCCGAGATCGTTGGGTCGCGGTATGCAACGCGGTGAAATAATAGGCAAATTACAGGGTTAGACTCTACCCGGCGAGATAGAACCTGTGTGGTACACGCGGTAATAGCATTGCATCGAGTTGCAAGCGATCAAATGGCATTGACGACACTAGAATTTTTCCTCGATGAGGTGGCACTAATGACCCGCTGCTAAATAAGAAAACGTCCCGAAACACGTGGGCCAGCCATACAGATTTAATTGGCCTTAATCGAAGGGCCCTCCATTCTTTCTGTGAAATCTCCACAAAGCGGTGGACAGGGTGCGTTAATACCGGCCGACCTGTAAATCATTGAAATTAAAATTAAAATTAAAATTAAAACCTTTCACCATAAATCCACAGCGTCGAATTAAAGCCGTCACTTTTACCGATTGGTCGACCTTCAGGGTGCGCTAATACCCGCCGATCTGTATCACCGGGTTGATGCAACGAGCCGCGAGCGCATCTTCGAACTCTTTCTCTTTCTCCTTCCCCGATGGCGATCGGCTGGCCGGGGTTCGCGAACTTCTGGCGAAGAGGCGCGTGTTGGCGGCGATCATCCCGGCGGGAGTAGGGCCATCCTTTACTGCCAGTATATAAGGTAGCTTAGGATCGGGACCGATCCGCAATGAAGATCGGCAACCAGTAAAGGGAGCTCGAGAAACACCTAGACCGATCTAGGGAGGGGAGTGCAAGCCAAAGAGAGTCATACATTCGGAGAAGAGCTTCCGTCGACGTCGGGATGACAACGGTATGCATCGGCTAAGTAATATCGGGATGCGTATCGTGATCGATTTCATATCCATCAACTCGTCCGATCCTCCAAGTTGAATCTAGTTCCGTATAAAAGAGAAGAACAGTCGTTACGGGTGATTATCAATCGCGTATACCGCTGTATAATTCCGGTATCAGGCATGTAGATAATATACTATTTCGTTACCTCGCTACCAGACCTGGCACATTATTTCTTCGATTGTTGCATAACGTCAATGATGTCTCTTTAAACTTTATACTTAATCAAGTTGCTTTTGTTTACAGTTCGTAGTCCTGTTACCGGCGATCATCGTCGGTACCTGTTATGCAGCTCGATTAGAGAATACATACCTACCACCTGGGAATGCAGGTAGTGCAGGAGGAGGAGGACTGATCCAGGCACCAAACAGGGGCGGTGGTGGACCTGGCGGTTCTCAGAGACCAGGTTCTAAACCTGGCTTTGGCGGAGGCGGCGGCGGCTTCGGTGGTGGTAAAGTTAATCATTCATTCATTTATCTTCTTTGTGATAAACTGAAGTTTGTACTTTCAGGAAGCGGTGTCGGTGGGGGTGCCGGCGGTAGTGGAGGTCGTGGAAGCGGCGCCGGTGGCGCCGGTGGCGGCGGTGGAGGTCGAGGGGGAGCAGGTGGTGGAGCAGGTGGTGGCGCCGGTGGCAGCGGTGGCCAAGAAATACCTGTCGTGTCGTTTAATAGTGAAAATAACGGTGATGGCAGTTATCAGTTTAGTTACGAGACGGGGAATGGTATCACTGCTCAAGAGTCGGGCCAATTGCAAGGTAAGCCGATCCGATGAACCGGCTACGATTTCCGAATTCCGACCGAGCCGATGCCAGTTAAGTGTTCCATTCGATTGTACCTTTAGTTATCTCCTGTAGTTAGAGAAGTCACTTATTGCTCTAGGTGAATCGGAAACGGTGAGCGGGTCTTACTCGTATACCGGTCCTGACGGGGTCCAGTACACGGTTACATACACCGCCGACGAGGAAGGCTTCCATCCACAGGGTGATCATCTTCCTACTCCACCCCCGATACCGCCAGAAATCCAGAGAGGGGTGGAACTCGCCCTCGCTGCTGAAGCCAGAGGCGAGAATCAAGATACATCTGGCTCTGGTCAAGGTGGAGGTGCAGGTGGCAGCGGCGGTGGAGGTATGTAGCGCTTTAACTTGAAATAAAAAAAGAACGGATAAGAATCAGTGCGCCTTTCCAAAATTTAAAGGAAAGATACGTTTCTCATCCTCAACGAATTTTCCTTTTTATCTCGATAGTAACGAACGATTCCTTTTTATTATACTGTCCATTTTTAAAGGGTTGAAAAGTTTCGACGTGGGTGACGTTTAATCCATTTGTTATAAATATTTTGTCGAATTTCAGGTGGTGGTCGAGGCGGCGGTGGCGGGGGTGGCGCTGGAGTAGGTCGAGGAGGCGGAGGAGGTGGAGGCTCGGCTTATCAAGGACCGAACTCGTATCAGACCAGCTCGAATGGTGGATATCAGTACTAAAACAGGAAACGCACATTGTGCGAATCAGTCATATCTTGATATTTCGTCCAGCACTCCTCGTTCTATTGCCTTATTCCTTCTCAACGGCAAACGCGCATGATGTACATACATAACATACCGTTTGTACCCTTTTTATTTATGAGTGAGGAAATTCTTCCGTTCCGTTCAGACTTTTAGATATCAACGGTAACTCACAAACCGTATTCACATGGCTTTCGTCAAAGGTTTTGTCAATTTTTTAAACTATACGATAGATCTTCAACTTAAGAATTTTGATATAAGATCAGTAGGCTATAAGTATAAGTTTGATGGCCAAGGATTTAATTGTAGATACGTCCTGTACGTCTAATGGGGTATGTTAATCACTGGAGACTCGAAGGTAATGTAACATACCTCATTTGAAGTCAATTGTAGATTACACGAAATTCTTTCCCTCTGTAAAGTGTACCAACTGCTAATTAAATTTTGACACCAAATTCGAAAATACGATGAGGTCGTGTTGTATTTTTAAGTGAGAAACTGAAACAGTGATATTAACACATATCAGTAGGCAATATTAATATTATTCGGTGTAATTACATACGCAGCAATTGTTTACAAAAATATCACAAATTCTGTAACAGAATTAGAAATATCGTTAAGCTTAGATATGCTTATATATATAAATATATTCGCGACAAGTGTTGCCTTTGCACTAGCTGCTTTAAAGCTTTACTGTTGATTAACATGTAATTACTTAAGGCAACTATATTATATAAGAAATATATAATGTTCCCTCAATAAGTGATTGTTAATTTTTTTATCCGACAATAATAAATACAACGTATTAAATGCATAATTGTGTTTGCTTTACGTATGCGATACCTACAATTGATCGATAATTCATACATGAATTTATATTTCCATCTTATGGAGAGTCTTCGCCTCGTTTTTCTTCTACACTTAATTATCATAAACACTTGTAGTTGCCATAATTTGAATACATTAAAAATATAAATGCACATTTAATACCTTGAAATAATACTAACGTTTTACAATCGTTTTACGAAAGTGAACAAGAAGTGAGTGGTTCGAATCAAGTGCATGAAAAGTATATCCACAGTTAAACACACAGTAAGCACAGTCAGTGTAGCATGTGATCGTAAAAGTAAAATATTAGACGAAATCCTTAACTGCCGAGTCTTTGGAATTCCTTGCAATTCGGATGAAAAGTTCCTCCAAGGTCGATGACAATACTGAGAAATCCTCTACACAATGCCACCTATTTTTTACGCCAGTCATTACTTCAAACATGGTCTTCCATGTTGTTTTCGGATCAGTGACATGATATAGAAGATATCCCTTAAAAATGTATAATCAATATTATATCCATTCACTTCTTTTCCATGCACATAAGCTAATGATACCTACCATATTCTCATCTCTAAAGTCACAGGGCAAAGCTTCCTGTATGTGTGTTTTGATATCATCGACATCCTTGTTAGTACGGTTCAATTTAAGTTTAATACCGATATCAAAACCAGCACCTAATCGCTGTTTCAATTCCTGAATAGGCCCAATGCACATGATTTCTCCTTTTACCATTATGACTAGTCGACCACAGAGAGCTTCACATTCCTCCATACTAAAATTAATTTTTAGCATTCAAGTTATTAAAAAAATATACTACCTACTTGTCACATAAGGTACTTTTATAATATTTGACCTGTGAGAAGTGATTATGATTGACTGCCCTGATGCTTGACAAGACCTGAGAACACACCACACTGCCCTTTTAGCAGTGGGATCAACACCAGTTGTAGGTTCATCCAATAATACAAGTTTTGGACTACCGATAACTGCTATCGCTATGCTCAAACGTCTTTTGTTGCCTCCACTGTAAGTACTGCTGGGTTGTGAAGCACATTTACTTAAGTCTGTAAACAAAAATCCGTATCTGAACACGCAATCCACATTAAAAATTGCTCTACGATCTAGTTATTAATTTAATTTATTTTCCGCAACCTTGACTGTATTACAACTTACTCAGTCGACTGATCCAACTAATCACCTCTGAATTCAACTCAGATCTCGGTACACCTCGTAAACGTGCAAAGAGTCGTAGATGGTCAAAGGCATTGAAGGATGGGATTAAAGCGTGAGTTTGAGGACAATATCCCATTTCCGACAGATACTGAAAACAAAAAATAACAATCAATATCCACTATATGTCCAACTAAAGATAATCTATAAAAATTGAACGTAGAACAAACATTCGATAAATTTAGTCACGGTACATGACAGTCTGGTTTACGTTTTTTAAATGTAGAGATGTGATGTAAAATAAAACTAAGTAGTGATAATAAGGAGCGTTTCTATAGTCATCATCATACCTTTACTCGACGTGAACGAAGATCAGCATTTCCCAGCATAACAATACCGCTGTTAGGTATTTCATCGCCTGTCAACATTTTAAAAGTTGTGCTCTTACCAGCACCATTAACTCCAAGAAGTCCAAAACACTCATCCCTCCTTACTCGAAAGTTGACTTCCTTCACAGCTACTGTTTTACCATATGTCTTGCTTAATTCATACGCCAAGAACACGTTTTCGTTCTCATCGTCTAACAGCGAGTTGTTCGTATTAGTAATTTCGTTAACTAAAACATAAATAAATACCAATAATGCTTGCACGTACCTTTATAACGTTGTTAATGAACTATACTACAATAAAGCACATGCATTGATAAAGCTGAGTTTACATCAATTAATTTGTTATGGAATTCTTGTATTTAATTAATTAGACATCAAGTGAAAAATCTTCGTAATTACTAACTTTGTTTTCTTCGTTTATTTATCTCAGCAGAGATCACCCCTTTCTCTTCCTTAACGTCTTCATTCATGTCTTGACTGCTGGCGATCAGATTATAACCTCGCTTTGCCGCGAAAAATTTCTGTATTACCTTTTCCTCCATTATTAACAGTAGTGCAATAAAGAGGAAAGATGAAAAGATCAAATACAATATAGACTCCTTTAAATTTCCTATTCCATCGACAGTTTTGTTGTATGGGAAATAGTTCTGACAAACACCATCGTTACATTGAAGCGCTAAATAAAGCATACAGAAAATATGGTCAGAAAAAGATATAAAGATTAAGAAAGAGGTCTAACAAATCAGTAAATGTACATGGAATTGTCTTACCGCAACACGGATCTCCATGACTACAAAGTATGTCTTCGAAGTGAGACGGCATCTGTCTACATCGAGTGTTAGCATACGAAACAGCAAGGAATGCCACATATCCTTTCGTGAAACTTACGTGAGGTATCAAGGGTAAGATGTGCTGTATGATAATCCGTATAGGCTTTACCCAAGGTGAAGAACCTTCCACAGCCGTAAGAGTAACAGCAGCTATTATGTCGGTAAAAACTGCAAATAAATAAAATTCAAGATCCATTTAATATTTATCACAAACGTTGCCACTCAAAATGAAAATTAACAGTTTCAAATTATCTGGATAAATTATAAATAAATATAAAAGACTGTTTCGATGATGAACTTACCTGCGATCAAGGGTACAAAATAAAGAAGTTTCAACACAGTATTTACTGAGTTTTTCAAGAAACTAAATATGTAGATGATTGGCAATGCACAGATGGCGTAAAGCACGAGGAGCAAGACAGTAATACCTGGAAATAATAAGACAGGTTTAAACGCAGAATTAGTCATTTACCTTGTAGTCAAATATTTGCAAAGGCGATTTTATGTATCCCAATTAATATAATTATCGTACCTATTTCCTTACAGTAGTATTGACGCATATCGTACATGGTGTCCACTAAGTAAATCCCAATTACCAAAAACATTATTGATAAAAGAAAGACGAATATGTCGCATATGTACGTTATACCCCAATACGTCGGTGCTGAAATGCCTGTCATTCGTTGAAGCTGCTTCATTTGGGATGCATTTTCTTTTATCAGATGAATTACAAATAATGCCGTGGATATGAAGAGGAAAAATACGAATGAGAAAGCATTCTGGAATGCTAATACTGATATCATAACAGGATCTATATTCGTAAGTTCATTCATATTCGGTAATCTTTGTCGAGATACGTCAATACTGTACTCGTCCCCGGCTTGTGCCTTGAGTAATGCATTAGTCAACAGATTCACAGCTATTGGCATACTCAATACTGCTGTACCGGAGTAGAAGGCATTGGCATACAAAGTATTTTCGGTAACATTAAACTCGGCCGAAGTAATGAAATTTCTCTGATAAGTTTCAATATCGTCCCGACCCTTCATTAATAGACCTAGGATTTATAAAATATATAAATATGAGATATCACGAAACTACAAATTTGTCACGACAAATATGCACTGTATGAGTAGACGATCAGTTTAAGATTGTATAAAATATATTTGTTACCTTCGGTTAGACTGATTCCTGGTTGAATGTACTGTGCTTTGCCATTTGACATTTCAATTAAATTCTTATATTTTTCACCAACACTGGCGTCATCGGTGAAAATAAGAGCATAAGGAGAGTTATATACATCCAGTGCTAATCTTTGAACAGGGAAAATATTATCGTCATCTGCCTGGCCCAGTAATAGAAGAAGTACGTGAACCAACGGAAGTAACACCTAAAAAATGTTTCTAATTTATACAAAGAACTACATGCTAGTGATCAAATTACGTACTGTTAACCAGAAGAGACCCTGATTTTTCCGGTGGTACAAATACTTTTTTTCAACTAGAGCAAAGGTTGCTTGTGAAAGTAATTGCCAGCCGCTAACTCTTTCAGACGATGCAATAAGAGGTTCCTTTGTGTCTGTGGTATCTTCTTCTTCTTTGGTAATCCTATTTTTAAGGACAAGTTATGTTATCATATATTTATTTTACGGATTATGAGATTGAACGGATGAATTTTAGTAATGACATACTCAAGAAAGACTTCTTCCAAAGTGATGACGGAAACGCTGATACCAGTTATGCCGAATTCTTTTTTCCGACTTTCTAGTTGATCCAAGGTTTCTGGCAATGAATCATTAAACGGTACACTCAACATCATTTTTCTACTATCGAAACTACGCGTTTCTACATTAGGACCAAAGAAGGTGGTAATTTTTGAAGGATCACACCAGGTTTCAATTGAGAGAGAAATTTCCAGATATCCATGTCCTGTAATTATAACCGAGTTATAAAGAATACTCACAAGAATTATTTCTTAGTGTATTACTTATAGTGTTTTTATGCGTGTTCTGATGTTCTAAAAAAGACCTTACCATATTGCTTTTTCAAAAACATTGAGGTTCCATAACTTTTCAGTTGACCCATTTGTAATATAGCAATTCGATCACCAAGAACATCTGCTTCTTCCATACTATGTGTAGTGATTATAATCGTCTTCTCACCTCTTGTTCTCTGTATGTTAATGATAAGATCACAATAATTAAAATCAATATTATTGGAAGCGATGCAATAACACTCTTTTAATTATAGGTTTTTTTTTTTACCAATATTATATCCCAAACGTCACGTCTGTTTTCTGGATCCATTCCGGATGTAGGTTCATCCAAAATGAGCACCTATGTTAAATGATTTTTATTAATTGTGTACTGCTTATACGTAGACAATGAATACGTAATATTAATTTATACTTACACTAGCATCTGTAATAAATGCCATAGCGAGACACAATTTTCTTTTTTGACCCCCTGACAATGTAATTGGCATACTGTTTTTTTTATCATACAGATTTAACTTCCGCAAGTAGTACGTAATCATTTCATCTAATTTCGCTCCATCTGTATAATTATTTTTTAACTGAAATTGTTTAAAAACAGTGTCCGTTTCATTATTTTCAATTTTTTCATTCCATCCATTCGAATTGCGATTGAAATCAAGATATAAGGACGCACTTACCAATCCAAAGAATTTCAATTGTTGGTATACAGTAAGGTCGGGAAAGACTATGTCTTCTTGAGGACAAAGACCCATGTTACCCAAAACTTCATTTAAGTCAGTTTTCAAATTTTCCCCATTCACATATATTGTACCACTAGTAGGATCTGTCATTCCTTTTAAGATAAGTATATAATCAGAAACATTTATTATATTTTAATCGCCTTTATGAATATTTATTTAAACTTACAAATTAACTTCTTTATAAAAGACTTGAAATAAATATATAGGCATTTACTTAATTAACTTTAAAAATTACCTGTTAATATCGACATTAGAGTAGTTTTTCCAGCTCCATTGTGACCTAACAATGCGCTAATTTGACCTTTATAAAAATCTAGCGAAACTCCTTTCAGAGCTTGAACTTTCTGTAAGAAGAAATAGTTTTGGAATAGCAATTCTTGTAAACATGTCAACGTTTTAATTTTACTGAAAATTACTCATTCATACCACGCTAGGATGGAATATTGATGAGTACTTCTTTGTTACATTTCGAATTTGGATACCAGGAATCAGAGAACCTTGTTGCACAGGTTCAAAATGTTTTTGATCATCGTGAATGTAGTTAAGATCGATCATCTCATCGTCACCAGAAACCTTATTTTTCTTTACCCACTTTTAACAAATGTTTTGATTAATATACTATTTTATAATATACGATGTGTATGCCATGTGCACAGAGAATAAAATTAATATATGATACAAATAAAAAACTTATACAAAAAAGTGCACACCTTCAAGAAGAACAGCGGATGTTTAGGAACTCCGTATTTTCCAGGAAAAAGTGCATGCACGTAGAGTGCCAAAGCAAGATGTATGATACTTCCAAGAATTGAGAATATTATTATACACCCAATGCTTCCGCCTGTACCGTAGGATGATAGCCCAGGCGTGAAAAGATTTCTCCAGTTGATTCCGATTACTACACAAACATATTCAAATAAATATGTCATACTTTGAATCTGTCAAAGAAACGTGCAACTTTACATACATTTACTTTCATATGCATTTATATTTTCAATTGTTGTATGTATTAAAGCATTTGGAAAAATGATTCCCAAGTATAATGCAAGCGTCTCGTGATGTCTTTCAAGCATGAGTCGATGAAGAAACATCATAGCCATATAAACGATTACTGTAGCAGATTCCATGTACAATGCTGAAATAGAATGTTCATTAATGATCTTAAGAATTAGTTTTTTGGCAAATATTATAATACCGTAATCCATTTGATTTAACTTACGTTTTGAGAAGAACGAACTAATGTGGTATCCAAGTGACATCAAATGAATGGAATGGAAAAGGAGTACCAACCAGAATATGAAACTATTTCCATAATAAATGAACGAATGATTGTCTGTAAATGGAACTGTGAATAATACCGTAATTGGAGTTATGGTCAAAATAATTATTGGTATACTACTGAGAAGCCAACAAAACAGATTTTGATACATCTGTACACCATTCATTGCCATCAGCACCTAAAAAGTAGATAATAGGATTTTAATTACATGTACTTTATACAATTGGAGGAAATACTTCAGAAATACTAACGTTAATTCCAGTGCTTTTTTCTGCTCCTACAAAATATGGCTCTAATGTGAAAAAACATAAGAATGCAATAGTTGCTATAGTACAGACGGTTGTTCTCAGAATAGCATCTCCTCGATCGATTTTATCGTAAGGTGGGTATGGCATTTGTTGTATAGAAATCTGAGGACCATGTAAAATTAATTAATTAAGAAAAACTATGGAAACTAAGTCAGACTTCACACTTAAAAACTGTCGCAGGAATTAATACCTCAGTTTTCCTTGATGGTTGAGATACGGAATTCATAAATGATTCATCAATGCATATTTGCGTTTGCGCAAATGGTTGATCGATGAAAGCCATAGAGGCTAAATAGTAATCATCGACATAATTGTAAAATAACTCCTTTGATTCTCTACTACTGGTTCTAATTGTGTACTTCAATTTTTTTAGTGTGTTATTAGAATGTGGAATATCCTCAAAGTATACAGCTAAAATATTACTAAGCCGATCCTCAAGACTCTGTTTAGCATTTGCATTCAGTAAATCACTTTCAGAATCAAAACCAATGATTTCTGTAAGAAAAAAAAAGACATATTATTATGGCAATTATTTGACGCCATTTGCATTTATATTGTATATTTCTTCTGTGTACTTACGGTTTGCTGGAAACAATAAACATTTGCGAGTATCATCCATTATTTTTGAAGTGATTACATTTTTTGGAAAGTAATAGATATGTGTCAAATGTTTGTCTAAGGATGCAATCATTTCTGTTTTTGTATATATTGGGAAATAAGTATTATTTCCGACATGTATAGGTGGTTTAGCAATAACGTCTCTAGCAGCAATAATAACCAAAAATAGAAATATTGGACTGATTACTTCAAATGCTGTGAGAACCCAATGCTTGAAACGTGTTATATAGTTTTTGTACAAAAGTAATTTGTACGTTCCCCAATGGCAGGCCATGTTTTCAGCTTCTTATTTAAATTCCTTATCAATAGATTTTTTTTTCTTAGAAATGGTAAATCTTAATTGAACAGATGCACTAGTAATACTACTATATCCGTAGCTCTTATCGTTTAGTCTGTTTTTTTCATCCAGTTTTCATTCAATACCTAAAATGGCAAAAATATGTTTCTAAAGTTAATAAATACTTTACCGTTATTATAAGTACATACAAGTGTGTATTACTGTAGTTTATACATAGCCTTGTCACAAATAAGAATGTATAAAACATCAGTGATTCAAAGTAAGGCGTGTAATATAACAAATCGTTATATCAAATAAATTCACTATTAGTTTTCTTGAAATAATTGACACATGAAAAAAAAAAAAAAAAGAGTAATTCAACAGAATATTTGACTACTAGCGAGTATTTCAATGTTGAATCAGAGTTATAAATTATATTAATGCTTACACGCTTTTCGATACCACCTACACGTCGGGTCTGAAAGTGATTTGCAGTGTTTTATCTACTTTTACATACTGATATATATTTTATCTAAAGCCACGTATATAGGTGATAAAGTACATGGGAACATGTGTCACGACTTTTAGCGAAATGTCCTACCGTATCTTATACATAATTAAAATGCTCTATGTCACGGAAATGACAAACAATCTTATACACTTTCACATCTTTTTTGTTACGATCCGATGAATATGTTGTACTTAACTAAACAAACCTTCAACCGTTATTGATACATTTCTTGACAATATTTAACTGCGCGTCGATATTATTTCATCACATCATTAAATCCACCCACCGACGTACTCTTCTAGGAATTAACCCAATGGAATAATACTCACAAAGATAACCCACAAGTTCACGCCACGACCCCAAGCTGAAGAACACTGAAGAATTCGAAGGTCTCCTCAAAGGCTATGAGTTCAGACTAGTTCAGACCGGAGACTGCTCACGGGCAAGGTCGTGCGATCGCGTTCTGTGCTGCCCTCGGTGGAGCATGCCGGCGGCTCAATTGTGGGATCTAATTCATCTCTGCTCCCAACTTATCTCTGAGTTGGGCCGCAATTAGGGCAAGTGCGTGAGCCGGCTGCATGCTCCACCGAGCGCGGCACAGACCACGATCGCTCGACTCCGCCCATGAGCAATCTCCCAACTCTAATTATAACTTAAGGAAACGGTGAGATCACTGTTTAATAACACGTGGCGCCATCGTAGAATCGGGTCGGTACTATGGTTATAGTAGTTTCACATTCTTCTTAGAAAATAACCATCTAGGCATGTTTGAATTCATCGGTGAGATATTCTATTGTTTTTTAATTGGCTTTCATCTTGTCAATACCGTCAATACATCAAGTTAACATTTGATAAGTGACGTGGCGTGCGCCATGTGGCATACCGGATGTTAAATTAGTTAAAAACAACATTCGGGCATTTCTTCATACAGGGATGAATTTTATAAGGGAATGAAAAATGTCTAGTTCTAAAGATGTTTAAACATGTGGAGCCAAGTAACCAATAGTCCCGGATATCAAGGTGGCACTGCTCTATAAAATGTTTTGAAACATTGATGTTTTATACAAGTGTACAGTACTGGACGCGTATACAGTTACAATACATTACTTTACTCGACCGTTAAATGAAGTAAAAAATTTATTGCATTATGAAGTGGCTGTCATTTAGTTTTATATTATCAATTGCATTTTTAATTTATATTAGTTATTCGATATATATCTTATCGTTACTGTTTGTACCTCCACCATGTGAAGTGGGAAAACCATGTCTAACATCTTATTTAAGTAAAAACCCACATTTGCAATTGCACATTTATAGTTCTGTAACAGTTCCTCCTTTACGGCATGAAAGCTACCCCGTTTTTACGATATCAAATTTTGATTATCATCGGAGGCAAGAAATGTACGTATTATTCAATATTTTTGTCATTAGAATGTTGCGGTCTTAACTGAAACCTTAAAGTTTGAGGCAAGTTTTTAACAATGATGGTAACGATTATGTGTTTAGTTCGATAACATTGGACATTCCACAAAAAACACAGCAAAATGGCACATTATTTCTGTACATTGTACTTGCACCTAAATCAACGAAGCTCGACAAATCATTCTATGATGCACAAAAGGTACAAAATGCCATTTAGAAACAGTGGTACGTTTCTAATATATGATTGCTTTTGTTTTTAGAAGCTGACAATGTCTCATGCCATAATTAAAATGGTGCAACATGTAGTACCTGAAGCATCAGTTTTTCAATTATTAGGAACAGAAAATGAAAAAACTAAAACAAAAAAAGAAAACGTACTTAAACCTATCGCTCATTTGAAGAGGAGAGTTACATTTACCGTAATGACCGATGACATTAAGTTGCCTGCACACAATTTACCTTTGGAGCTTCGCAATGACATAAAGTAAATAAAATAAAATTGACCGAGTTATTTTAATATTTCAATGTAATAGCTATAGATAAAGCCACTTTATTTAATTTGTAAAATCTTTTTGTAGGGTGACCCCAGATGGATTATTTTTACCTATAGTTAATTACGATTTCTTGCAAACCAAACTGAGCGATTTAGAACAAATAAAACCAGTTAATCATCCTATGAATGTTACGGTATTTTATGCCCCTATATCACTAGGCAAGTTAAGATTAGTATTACACGTCGAAGCTGCTATGCAAGAACTCAAGGAGCTTGGGTTTTCTGAAAAAGATATCGATGAGGTTAAAAGAATCTTTGCCGAAACGAATTTATATTTATTGGCAGGAACCGTGTTCATTGCTGCAACGCATGTAAGGATAACAGGAAACTATCATTTAATACGATAAGATGTATATATAATCATTCAAAGTGGTACCTGTTCATTTTCTTTATTAACACCCTAAAATTATATTTATATGTTTCAGATACTGTTCGACTTCTTAGCATTCAAGAATGACATTAACTTTTGGAAAAATAAAAATAATTTAGCAGGTCTCAGTGTTCGGACGGTTCTTTGGCGAGCTTTCAGTCAAACGATAATCCTTCTTTATCTCCTCGATGAAGGATCATCGCTTCTTATTTTAGTACCCTCTGGTATTGGAACCATTATTGAAGTAAGATTCACTTTAATATATGTATCTAGGTCTTGGGAGTATGTTGTTGCAGTCAAAATTTAATAATTGATACCAATATTTGTATATGGACATTTCTTTCATTTGAAGTTATGAGAAATCCCGGGTTAAAACAAATATCATCGATTTAACGAATAACAATTTTTGGCACAGTTATGGAAGTCGAAAAAAATATTAAGAATTGAATTTACGAGAGGAAACGGTGTATTGCCAAAAATAAAAATCTGTAAGCACGAAAGTGATCCTGCAGAAAGGAAAACCCGCGAATTTGATGCAGAAAGTATGCGCTATTTGAGCTACGTCTTATACCCATTGATTTCTGGTGGTGCTATCTATTCTTTATTATATCAGCCCCATAAAAGGTACACAGTTATATTCTACAAATTACTTGGAAATGTAACGTTGGTGACTTATTGTCAGCAAATTAATTATTGTTTCTAGTTGGTGGTCATGGACAATAAATTCGTTGGTGAACGGCGTTTACGCCTTTGGATTCCTATTTATGCTTCCACAATTGTTTGTAAATTACAAACTGAAGTCTGTAGCACATCTTCCATGGAGAGCCTTTATGTATAAAGCATTTAACACATTTATTGATGATATTTTTGCTTTCATTATAACGATGCCAACCGCTCATAGAGTAGCGTGTTTTCGGGACGATGCCGTCTTCCTAATTTACCTCTATCAAAGATGGTAGGTTCGAGTGGTTGACTAGATTTTATCAATTTCATAGATTATAAAAACAAAATAATGATTTATTTTCAGGCTTTATCCGGTAGACAAGACCCGAATAGATACGGCATGTATAGAAGAAGATGTTCCTGACAGGTCGTCTGACAAGAAAAAGAATTAGTACAACGAATGTGTTTTGCACCCAGTGGGCCTTTGAAGTTACGCGGGATTGATTGGGCAGTAATTAATGGTTAAAAAAAGAAATACATTTTGTTCTCTAGCTCTCGTTCTCACAATGGTGCAATACTTAACAATAAATGGAGATAGTGAATACTTTCTTCGTTTACATTTATATCCGTATTTTACGTAAAATGTACACACATTAAATACAAAGATCACGATAACGGTGTTGTACGTAATTTTGTGGAGACGAGTCTTTTATTCTATTCTTCTCTATTCAATGAAATTGTAGATATAAGAACGACCTGAATTCGCCGGGAGCCAAATACAAAGAAACTAGCTCGTTTGGGAATTTCAGAGAATTCACTTTCAAAATGACCGTTAGAGCGATTCGTTTCTATATCCTGAAAACTGTGGCTCACGGAAAAATGATTAATTATATACATGTACCTCTTACGGCTGAAAATAAGGTATAACAATATTGATTAATATTCCGTTGGTATAATCTATTCATAATATTTACACGTGTTAAACGGTAGTTGTACGATTGGGGTCTACCGGCTCGAGAGTGGCATTTTCTGTTGGTTGATCGCCAAAGCAAGAAAGCTGTAGTCCCATGCTTGTCGTAACTTTGGATAGCAGAGTTTCGATCCGTTTCAAATCTTCAGCGTTTTTCGGTTGAGGTATTACTTCCAATGCATCCTCGAAAAAACTTCTTTTCGCCACAGGAGTCATAAACTATTAGTAACCAAGTAGTGTGACTTTATTTGATGTATGTTCTCGTTTGTTCTTACCTCGCTCTTGGTGTACTGTAACCGACTAACGTGTTCCTTAATAGAGCGATGTCAACGCGTGCTTGTATAATACCGGTACGATGAAATCCAGTTACGCAGAACATGAGTCGTGCTAACTCCTCGGCAATGGTCTCCACGATATGTGATAAAACTCTCTTCAACAATCCAGGCGACACGCGGCGTACCTACGGGAGATATAAACTAAACTAAACTAAACTGATCTAATCGAAACGAAACGCTGTAGAAATCTATATAATCAAGGGCTTTAGAACCTCTGCATGCACCGCTACAAGATTGGCTAATGCTTCCTGGGCGTAAGGTCTGACATGAGTCGGTTCAATTTCGGAATCCCACTCCAAACCACCCAAGTACATGCTAGGTTCGATAGTTCCAACTAAAGGATCGGAACGACGTTCCAAGTAAGCATCGAGTACGGCACCATCCAAAGTTTCTAATTCCGTCCAATCCGCATTCCATCCCACCGCGGTGGATAAATCAGGATATCCTTGTGCCCTAAAGGCATCTCTCGCTCGAGGCAAAATCACATTCAGGGTATATCGAATATTGCTTAACGAGATTAACAAACACTGTTCCCAACTCTGAAACGAATGGCAACAATTTCTATTGTCCGTGATAGATCGCCACAGATCATCGATGACGGTCGTACACCACATAGCTTCCAAGCTTACCGGGCCATGATGTTTGTCGCTTCTGGTCCTGTAACCAGAAGGAGAGCCGACAAGTTGAGATACCGATTGTCCGTCATCCTCGAGAGCTTCTTCGCTGCCGCTAAAAGCGAGCTGCTGTAAGCAACGGGCGAACGAGGTGAACAATTGCTTGACAGCGTTATGATATACCGCTCGCTGGCTCGGGCCGGCAAATAATTGTTCCTCTCTGGGTCCGCAAATGGCGACCGTTTCTCGCGTCACTTTAGAAACTTCCAATATCATTTCTTCGAATAAACATGGCTGTTTGAAATGAAATACAGAGAAACAGTATTTGAGGAGGCTATCGACTCGTGGCACACCATTACAATACCAGTAAATTGAAACGACGTTAATGCACCGTAGAATGTTTGATTACCAGTCTTGTGATTCCTCCATCCTCGTTTAGGTACTCTATTTGCCACCTTTCCTTTCTATGTAATCCATTGATATTATCCGCCGTTTGCTTGAACAGAGCCACCAGACATTGCATTCTATGGAATGGGGAAAATATGCTCGCTTCAAATATTAAGAACAAACGATTAAGTGAGAAATTCAACGAAAATCAATACCTAAGTTCAAATATAAATTTCCCAAAGATATCAAGAGCCTCGCTTGGTAGATCCAAATGTATTAAAGAAGCATACATTTGGCGGATACCACGAAGGCTGTGTAAAAGCCAGGGAGCCTCCACATTGGCGCAGCATGAATTCTTAATAGCTTCCACTGCGTGTTGTATACTCGATAAAACTAAACTCTATAGAAGAATACGACATTGTAGTAAATGAATCGGTCACGATTTTCATTTTATCACGCGCAATCGGTTCTCTTCTTATTGAATGTCGTTAGATTTTTAACTCACTTTAAAGGGGCCTTGCTTTTCGGTATCCACGGCAACATGTAGTTGTCCGGTAAAATAACTTTGCCCCAACCTCCAGAGATCAGGTAATTGTTCCGTAACTACGTCACAAATAGCTTCTGTACAAAGAACTCGGGACGGAACGCTAATTCCATCGCTCGGGTGTAAACGTAAATGTTTAATATTCATTGGCAGAAATCCATTGGACTTTAGGGTCTTATTTGAATCGTCACCGCTTCCTCCATCCGAATCTAGATGCTCTTGCATGCAGGCTATTATACTCTTTTCTAAGTAACTAGCATGAGAAACTACAACACAGAAATATTTCTCATAAAGTACAGTAATGCGCAACGCATTAGTTTGAACAAATAAAGGATTAAAAATATACCGATAGCTTCCCATGCAGGATCTCCTTCGGCATCTAAATTAACTAAATTTCTAATAATTTTCTTTTGCTCATCTAACGTCAATGGCATTTCTTCAAGATTTTTCATTAATGTTATTCTCAGCAGTGCAATCCTGTCCTCCACTTCGGCAAGGACTTTCTTGAATACTTCGACTTCTGTATTCTTAAATAGATTTTTAACTCGAGCATAATCGTTTATTACAAGGTCATAATTTCCACGTTTAATATTTTTCTCAATATTAACTGGCATGCAGAACAAAAATTTATACCGTTGCATCAACGATAAGGCATTTCTTGTAGCATCCGCTCTATCCCTCCTTGCCAAAACACTGTCAAACATTTTATTTGCTTCTGCCATTGATTCCTTAATTGCAGTTTCTAATTTTTCGGTAGGATTGTTGCCATATTTATTTGTATCCAATTCAAATTGATCTTTCAGTAACATGATGGTATCAAGTTGTTCCATAACTGAACCCACATTAGCCTATAATATAAAATATCATTATGATGATTTCCAAATGAATAATATTCTTTTGAATAATACTATCTACCAGTGATATTACCTTTAAAAATGATAACTGGCCCTCTTTCTGTGAATTCACTTTACGCCTCAAGTAGGCCAAACCAGCTTTAAGATCATCCAATGTCGTCGCATGGTGATGCTGCAGTAAGAACCAACCAGGATGAAATTTTTCACTAGTTAACTCTCCGCTACTATCCCCAAAGAGTTCTATTAACTCATCCTCGGGGAACTTTTTGCTGAAATTGATATATCCATCGTTACATGGATTTTTAACATGCAACAATAATTGAATCTAACTTTAATATAATTGCACTACCATTATTTATCGACTTAACTCTTCTTGCTTTAACATTTAAATTAATTAGGTTCCAATTAATTTCATACTCATTTCCTTCGACGCTAAGGCCTAACGGATCTTCTTGCTGATAATTTGTCGGGGACAATGCTCTCCTACCCCAGACGAAACTTTGTAACGGTGCTTCGTCCACCCATACAGCAGATTCTTTCATTGGCCCTATCGTTTCATGATAGCCTCGAAATTGCACAGTCGATGTGCCTTGTCCACCGCTTCGAGTTGTTACAATTATGTCTCCACGTTCTTTGCATGGACCAGATCTTGCTATTATTTTATTACAGGACTTCCACTCAGCAGATAATAAGCAATCACATCCACATATCGTCAATCCTAGTGTTAAACGTGACAAAATCTATTACTGAACTAAGGCACTAAAATAAGGAATTAGTAATATAATAGTAATTAAGTAAAACTAACCTATCAGATCTTGAGGTCTAATACCTAGGAATTCTCCTCGAACAATTACTCGAGTACCTGGTGGACCTTCTTTTGGTGAAATACCAGTCACCACAGGTGGTGGTCCCATTTTGTTAATAAATCATAAACAAAATTGCTTGACAGTTTTAAAATCAAGTCAGATCACCATCCAGTCCATCCAACTGATCTCTGCTTTGACCATAAACCTATTGACTGTTTGTAGCCAACTTCACGTCGGTCGTAAAGATCCGTCATACCTTGCGATATAAGTCCCGCCCTATGTGGAATCATTTGAAAGGGATTCTCACGCTCCCATATTGCTCCTCGAACTAACGGCAAGTCTTGGCAGAACCGGACGTTAATATACTAACTTTCACCATTTGTTTCCGATCATTTCAAACGAATCAAAATCATTGTGTTTGGTAATATATATAATAAATCGGATTCTTTTACTATTGCCATGAGTAGTTTCAGCGATTTGAGTCGTCTGTCGGGTAAAAATTTGCTTCAATTTCATTTTGCATTGCATATTTTACTGGATCCTGAAATAAGTAATGGTATTATGTATGTACATATTTTTACTGCGTCAAGTCCTTTTCTTTTTCAGATATTTCTGGTGTATCTCGCATATCTAGTAGTACACGTGTTATTGGCAAATCAGAATTAGCATGTTCTTCGGAATACAGTGTACGAGAGTCAAATAAACGTATAGTGAATCCATTTTTAATAAATGTAGATGCTGATAAAGTTGTCGAAGCCTTTCGTTCTTGTGAAGACAGCATTTGTGAATATGCTCGTTTTAAGATAATCCTTGACTGTGTTAAACAAGTATCCAGGAATGTAGATAATGGCTTATCGGAAGAAACGGCACAGAAATTGAAACGTCTATTGATAGCATATGAAAGCAAAAAATTCCTTCAATTACCTGCCATTTCAATCGAATCGCTTGAAGAATTGACTATTCTAGGCATTACCGATTTGCCAAAAATTACATTTAGTTATGAAGAGAAGATGGACATAAAAAGTTGTGCAGCATCGATAATACGTAATAGGATACACAGATTTCTTCTGAAGTTAGTATGCATTTTATGTTTTATGTTGCTAAGATATGTTTACAAAGAATTTAATTGGATGTATATGTTGCCTTTAAAGCTATGAAAAGTCTGGTGGAAATTTAAAAAAGTTAATACAAAAAAAGGACTCGAAAGTTCTTAAGAAGGTGTTAAATTGTCAAGAGAGAGACATTCTGCGATGCAAGACCGAAGTAGAAGAAGTTTGCACAGGATATAAGAAAGATCTTTTAAAGGGCAATACCCTATTGAATCGATGGAAAGACATGAAACACGAAGCAATGGGTGTAGTACATTTAAGAAGCATAGAATACTTGTTGTTGCAAGCACAAGTTGCAGAATTACAAGCAGAAGTGGCCAGATTGACTTGTACTTTAAGACTCTTTAATGAAACTCCCATAACTCTTGATGCATTCAAGATATTAAGTACCGATATAAATGAAAAGATTTTCGATGCTCAAGAAGAAATAAAAAGAAAAACCAATTTGAAGAAACTGTATAATGATGTTGAAAGCCCGGAATATAATGAGATATTGAAGAGATACAAAGATCTGAATAGGGCGATTATAAAGAGAAAACAATTTTTACATCTTGTCCAAAGTCCAGAGAAAAATGTATTCAATGACAATTAAACAAAAGCTTCCTTAAAATGTAACGTTAATATTTTGATATACTGGGTTTACCCAGGTTGTATTAGTATCATTTACAAGCAGATGCGATGTATATCTTTGGGTTTAAGAAATATCATGTTTGCTATATCTTATTAAAGTATTATATTTTTTATGTTTAATTTGCATACCAGCAGTGCAAAAGCTGCTAGGTTGAGTACAATTTAAACCAAGTTATTCAAAGGTATACAATTTTAATCACTATCAGAAACCCCCCACTCGTGGGTCTTTTTAATAATGGGTGGTACATTATTCTTATCATTAAGCATCCCATGTTCGATCAAGAAATTTTCCACGTCTGTGGAATAAAAATCTTCACCTAAAGTATCTGTTAAATGAACGAAATTCCCCACAAGTTGTCCACCTTTGTAGGACAGTAATGCTGGTACCCCTTCTTCTTTGAAACGATTACTCAATCCAGCAACTGATCCTGTAAATATATACATAATTATTATAATGTTACTGCAATTAACCTTTAAATGGAAATTGGGTCATAATGACCCAACATAGATAGTTGCAATTAATAATGGTTGGAAAGAAAAAAAAAAGTGTCAATCTGATATTTCAAGAAAAACGTTTATATTTCTATATATACATTTATAATACGATGTTCCATCAAAGTTACCCAATTTCCGTTTAAGAATTAAACATTCACATCAAAAGATAACGAACCCAAGATTTTGCAGAACTTAACAAATGGATATTCTTGGGCTAAAGTTTGTAGGCAACCGTTCATTGCCTCGCATCCAGGAACACTTTTTTCATATATGTGAATGATTATTGTAACACTTTTATTTTCTTTGTCTATAGCTGTTAAAAAATCATCTGCACTTTCTAGATATATCACATTTCCAAATTTGAGTCTTCTCACATTTTCAAGCATTTCTTTCATTCTTTGTTTTTGATAATTTAGTAGAAATTCATCAGCTAACAGTTCTGCAAGTTCTGAATCACTTTCCATTAATGTATCTTTTTCTTCTTTCAAAGTATATTGACACGTTAAACTTAGTTTTTTTATTAAAAGTAAATGTTCCTTCTCGCTATCCGTTCTTTTTTTAGCTTCAATTTGCTTAAATCGCTGCCAATCCTTTAAGTACAGGAAAATAAGGATGTAAGATACTAAACATATATGAATTTGTAACCAGTTTTAATCAAAGCGAATACGAATTAATTTGTATACTGTTATAGTAGCACCTTTATAACTCCTTTTGGGCCAGTATTGCTAGATATACCATTCCAGCTGGAAGAACCCGGAGCATACTGTGAGCTCGTCTGCACAATTTTTTCCTGGGGTGCATCGTCTGCCAATCCATTTTCTTCGTCTTCACTGGAACTACTACAATAATATTGCAACTTTTCCCCCAAAATCTTATCTTCTAATGTTGCCATTAGGTACGTTGGTACAGCTAATAATTTCAAACAAGTATGGAGCGAGTTAAACGACTATACCGTCAGAGTTCAATTCAAATTTATATGCTACAGCGTTTTCTGTAACAAAAATTAACGTAAGTAACACAAATGTATCAACATTTTTAATTTTCTTAAACGATGACAACTTGCAAATTAATAACTCAGCTGTACATTTCAGTTCGTTTCTTTTAACTCGCGCTCATTCCTCATTACAAATTCAATAAAATCTACGAAGAAGAACGTTTAATGAAAATGTCCCGAGCTGAGAATTACTTCCCCTCCATTCCAAATGCACGATCACTGATCTACGCTACATGCATACAAGGCAATACAAGGGGTGGGCATTGCCAGGCATTGCCATGGACGTAAGAATATATAGACGGAGTCCAAGCCCGAGGGAAGGGTGCCAGAGTAAGTGGAGGGGGGACACACATACGACAATGGTAAGGTAGAATGAGTGGTTCTGAAATCTTAGCTTCCTGATTGGCTGAGTTTGGTTACACAGGTAAGTGTCATTCAACGTTTTATTTCACTAATTCATCATGATCTTTTATATTAGATTCACCTAGAAAGAAAAATATTGATCAAGGAACTTTCCTTTTACCGAACAGAATATTTCAACTTATAACTCATGTATTATAAAAAAAAATAATCAAAATTGCTTTTAAAATTACGCGCTGCTTTCTAGAGTCAATCCATGAACGTAAGATATTCCTACGAGCCAAACAGCTAGCTGAGCCAATCAGGAGGCTGAAAAATCGAAAACCAATATACCCCTTCCTTTCCTATGCGTTAGTTTGCCCACCTGTCTTGACGGGACTTTGGGCTCCGTCTACATATCTTTACGTCATGGGCCACCGGGGGGCAGCACAGGACGCGATTGCGCCACTCCGCCCGTGAGCAATCTCCCAACTCATTTTTGGTTGTTTTGAGGATTTCTTCAACTTCTTGTTGGTCCTTGCAAAAGCAATATCTTGTGTGAACTTGTACTGACTTGTACGCAGCTGTGGGTAACAGTGGGTAACACATACAGAGAATAGTCCGGAATAGTAGTCAATAGTAGTCTCGGGCAAGATTGGCTCAGTTAAAATCTACACCGAACAACTTTGGGGACAAAGTTAATAACAATTTGCAAAAGCAGAATACTTGGAAAGAGATGAGCGAACCGAGTCAGGAGCAGAGTAACATGGACGTTGACGAAAACAATGCAACACCTCCAATTGAGGCGGGAATGGAGGTTAATTCTGCATCCGATAAAGGTCCTTCGACGTCGATGAGCCCTAATAGCGCCGTGCGTGTTATGGCATCTTCGGGAACGGTTGGATCCGTCTCCGTTAGTTTGCACCCACTTGTTATTATGAACATTAGCGAGCACTGGACGCGGCTTCGAGCCCAGGCAGGCACGGATCAATTAGGTATTAATGTTATGCATGCATGCCCCTTTTCGTGCACATAATGGAAAACTGGTCGGGCCATGGTTAATTCATCGATTGGCACAATTATCGAAATGGCATATTAATTGGGATATCGTTGTTGCTAGTTTATGGAGCTCTCATTGGCAAGCAAAAAGGAAGAAACATCGAAATCATGAATTCCTTTGAGCTGCTATTTACGTGCTTTGGAGACGACGTTATCATCGACATGGATTATTATACCGTAAAGGAGGAACAGTTCAAACAAGTATTCAGTGAAATGGACTTTCTTGGCTGGTATACTACTGGAGATTTACCTAACGAGTGGGACATTAGAGTTCACAAACAATTATGTGGAATTAATGAAAGTCCTGTACTATTAAAATTAGATCCCAGGTGTAAAAACTCGGATGTAAGATTTAGTTACGCTCTAGCATTTTGATGGTAAAATATTGTACTTGTTGTTTAATAATGTATACATAATTTTCACAGCAATTATCTGTTTCAATGTACGAATCGGTGATCGATCTAGTTGCTGGAGAAGCCACTATGTTATTTGTTCCATTAACGTATACATTAGCTACAGAAGAGGCAGAAAGAATTGGAGTCGATCATGTCGCGAGAATGTGTAGCAACGATCAAGGAGGAAGTTCTTTAGGTAAAGTATTATTTTATAAATTTAAATAACTACTGGAATATATGTTTAATAACATATTCTAAATGTTGCTTTTTGTAACCCAGTGGCTGAACATCTAATGGCACAACACAGTGCTATAAAAATGTTACATTCAAGAGTAAAACTCGTTTTAAGATATGTACAAGCGGTACAAACTGGGGAATTAAAAGGAAACCATGAGATCCTAAGAGCAGCATGTTCTTTAGGGCATCGTTTACCCGTTCTCAATAGTCCCAAGTTTAGATCTGATTTTTATAATGTAAGTATAAAATATTCCATGATTAAGTATTATCCTTGTACTGTAGATGATTTTGTTGCATTCGTGTATAGATTACGTTTTTTATTTTGAATCTGTTTGTTTCAGCAATGTAACGACTTTGGTCTCATGACATACCTAGGCATAATAACCAAAGGTTGCAATGATATAAATCAATTTGCAAACAAATTTAACATTGTATATGATAGACAAGTGATGGGTCGACGTTTGCGGAGTCTTTTCTTTTGATAGGTCAATACACTGTTGTTTCTTTGTAACGTTATATTTTTTTAATCGTGCACTACTGACGCCTTTAACCTTGGAGAGCCTGCCACAACGGACGTGATTAAACGGTGAGTAGTGCAACATAACTTCAACAAAGAAGGACATAATCTTTGATGCCAAACAAATTTAATCGGAATATCTCATGTAATCCTATCGAATACTCCGATAGGAGATTACTTTGTATTATTTAAAATCAGCCCTACATGGTTCGAACAGCATGTGTTACAGGAGTTGGAACAAATCGGAATACAATTGGCACGCGATGTTAATAAAAGCTGTGATGTACGCTTCAAAGTATTTCGCCAGTAGGAATGAAAGTCGTAAATGATACGAGACGTGGCCATTTAATTAAAAGATGACCGACAATTTCCGCTCTATAGATGTGTCCAAACGGATCTTTTGCCTTGGTTTCGATTACAAGATCTTTATTGATTTGATGTAATAAAAATTGGACGTCGAGGTGCTTAATCGTTATCGTCGAGTTAAAACTACAAGTGGATTAAACCGTTGCACTGAGTTTAGTGAGATATGAATTTATTGGTTTCATTTATTGTGTATGTAGAGTGGCGGATCGAGTACCTTCCCTGCTAACGTGGCATCGCCGGTGTAACAAGGGAAGGCATTCGTGTCCACCAGTGGATATACTACATTTTGTTCGATTTACGCCGAGCTTACAACATTCCTAGTGCAACAGGTTTCAACTTGGATTTTATCCATTCAACTTTTGTTGCGTGATGTTTGCCAAATGGAAGACCTCGTGTCAAAGTGGCCAATCGCGTATTCTTACAGGCCACTATACGATATCCTAGAAACGTTAATTTGCGACATTGAATCGCTCTCTACCAAAGCTCATTTCATGTATAGAAGCGATCGCCTACGAATGGCGTCGATTGTAAAAAAAAAAAAAAAGCTGCATACAAGTATCGTTATAAAACACTAGCGGCTCAAAATCTTACCTAAAATTCTACTAAATCGATCGTGCATTTATCGCCGATACGTACATATATAATGCCATAAATATTTCTGTACAAAATATAGTGGGTATATTGTGCCTCGTAAATTATTGCATGTCATCATAGTTACCGTGAATCACCCGACTAACGAAACATCCACTAGACGCGTTCTCACTCGTAAATGGTATACATAAAATACCACTTCCACTGCGGCCTGTCTTTAAAAACCCTTGACTGAGATCTTATATTATTGACTTTCGGATATTCTAACGGTACGCATTGTGCGACAGTTTAGGTGATAACGATCGCTTAATACTGTCATGTGCCGACGGCGATAGAAATGCCCGTTCTTACAATTGGCATAAATTCCTTTGGCGATGCACCGGAAGCAAAGGAATTCAGTTGTTTTCCATTTTCTTAGCAAACCCCGAAAGCGGATCTCGATAGGTCGATAAATGTTATGCGTCGAAACGTAACCCTTGCTTAATTGAAAAAAAAGAGAAAGAAAATCCTCAAGGTGGTAGACCGATCTAACCGAGAGAACGTTAACGGGAGCTCTTGGTTCCTCGTCTGGAAACTTTTGAAAGAGGGTCCCCTTTCGATGGTCATCAACTTTTAAATAACGAATCGAAAGTTTGCAAATAACGTCCGTTGCGCCTTTAAACGTTAGTACCGAGCCATAAACCGATGTCGAAGCCCCGTTTAGGATTAGCGGATAGGCCGTCCTCGATCATGGTGGCCAGAATGTCCACCAATACGGACAGCATGGCATCGGGCTAAGGACTCGGTTTGTCCATACCTATGAGCTCCTCGAAAAGGCTATTTCTACTTATACTTTTCTCTTCGATACTTTGAAGAGCGAATCTCAAGGTGGCAGCTGCTAAGTCGCCCACCGACCAATGCCTGTCCATTAGAACTCGGCTAACCGTGTCCAGCTGAAAGTTCAAAAACGTTTCGTAACTTTTGCGACAGTCGACACGAGTGAGCTGATTATTTTAAACTCATTCGAGAACTCTAAATTAACTCGGTACATGCGTCCGTGTGATGACCACCCCACTAAATCGAAATAATATTTTACTTTGGTTACATTTTCAGGTTGCAGGTAATTTGATATTTTCAATTTGTCACCTTTGATAAGTTGGGATGACCACAAGTGTAATAGATCAGTCTGGGTGCCCCTGAGAGGGAAGCCGCCAACCACTGAATGACCAATTTCAATTGGGGATCTCCTTTTAATCGAGATCCGCAACCCCAATTTCCTGTCGCAATTGGGAGTAAACCTCCTGACTGAGAACTGCTTTCTCGAGGAATCTACCGGAAAAGTTGGTCGATTACTTTTCATCCTAGGAATAACTTTAGACGATATATACGCGTTACAAAAGATACAGGGAAGATGAAAATGAATCGAAGGGTGCAGGAGTCTCGAATCTCGGATATTCGGTTTCTTTTTCTTGCTTTCAACGAGGACGATAGAATGAGAGACAGGAATGTTAGTAGAGTTTCCGTTTCTAAGAAAATGTAGATTTGTCTCGGGGAACGCGTTGCCTGAAAACAATGGGTTAGTGGAAAAGAGCGATTGACGTTAGATACGCTCAACGGTCGAGAGTGGCAATGATTATTGCAGATTCTGTCCGCAGTAGCACCTTCGTTGTTTCCAAATGATTTGTTCCCTTCGATTTCCTGGATTTTCCTTCACTGCCAGAAGTCCCCGAGCCTACCGGTAGAGGCAGACGTATCGTGGTCTCGTCGTCGGCCAGTGTTTGAAATACTTCCGAAGTGACCGTAATAACCCACAGTTTTCTACGTTGCGCGTTCTTGGTCGCTCGAGCCACCTCTGGATCGTTGCTTGAAACATCTCGGTTAATCGTGGCACCGTGCTCAGAAACCTGTATGGCGTTTAACCTTTAAGGTTTTACTCCGTTATAACTCAAAATAGCTTCACGGTTTTGTACGTAAGCACGTTGATACGGGCAAATACGTGTCAGGGCAGTTAAGCAAAAACGTCGCTTTTAAAAATGCCAACTCTTGTCGTATGCAACGAGTTCGAATTGACGGCATTGGATTGGGTTACGGTATAGGTCGTAACGTAAAAGCGGTAAAAAAAAAAAGCATCGTTCGTTCGCAGTCTCTCATTCCATCACGAATGAATAAACTAACGTGGACGTTTCCACGCGTTTGCGTGGGCTTTCTTTAGTTCATCTTCATCCCATGCACGCGATAACGCCGACTCTTACCGAGTGTTGTCGTTTGTTCTTATGACGAGTGAGCTCCAAGCTTAGACTCCTTACGGCCAAGGCGAGTTTGTGCCTTTGGTGAGCATCGTCCGTGTCGATCAGTGGTTGCGGCTCACCTTCTTGAACGGGGACCCCCGCGAAAGATTCGCTTAATGCTCTCTTTAAGAGGGAACCCGCGAAGCGCACTACGGCCCTATCCCTTGCATCCAGTTCGCGATTTTCGTCCGCATCTATGGGATCGTCCAGCCACTTGGATAATTGCTCGTAAACTTCCTCCAGCTCCGAAGAGAAATCTAAACTCCGGAAAATTTAGTTCCGCGTAGGCTCCTTTGTCATTAGAATTTGTGGTATTTTTCAAAGTACCAAAGTATCATAGGAAACCCATTGCACCTGGATACTTACCCGAGCTATTTTCTGTGCTGAAACTATATCTACTGCTGGCACGGGTATCCCTCCTGTGAAACTGGACCGGTTGGTTTTGTCGAAATCGCCCCAACCATTTTTGTTCGGCCTCTAAAGACTCCTTCAAGAACTCCTCGTCAACGGTTTCGTCCCTAAGAACGAAACCCCTCGATCCTCCTCTTTTCAGTCTAAAATGTTTACGGTCGATTCAGTATTTTCTCCGTTGCTAATACTCTTTGGGTAACGCGAATACGCAATTTGAGCTCACTTAATGTTTTGATCGTCAACGTGACTACCAGCTACGCTTATACCAACTGCATAACTGCTTTCGCCAGAGGAATTAGTAGATGATGTTTCGGTCGCGGTATTCTCTCGTTTCAGAGCATCCTTTAGCCTCTGTGCAAACGTTCCACGTCGTTCCGGAGTGTCCAGCTGCGCACTGTAACGTCTGCTCAATTTTTGCTCCTCTTCCTCTACCGAAAGTATGGTATTTAACGATAAGCGCTAGTTAATAATTGCATTGTGATATTTCGAAAAGATTTTCATCTACCTTGTTGCTAAGACGTAAAAAGTCCTAACGTATTCGACAAATTTTTGAGCACGTTCGCGAGCTCTTATGAAAGGAGATTATGAAATATTACAAAATAAATACAATAGACCCTTGTGAATGTTTAAATAGTGATATCGTGACTTGATAATATTTGAATTCTTACGTACCTGGTTCGTCGTCGATCATTTCTTTGGCACTGTGATAACTGTCGGTGCTTTGACTATTGCAACTACTGTATACCGACATTTGGCCAATGGATCTTCTCGTGACCGGCAATATTTCTCCGCTCGACCCCAGAACGATAAATCGACTTCTGTTCGAGTAATTGGTTGCTTTGCCCGCCCTTCCAGGACTGGGCGTTCGTTTGGACTTTCCGTTTGGTCTAGGACGAAATTCCTTTGGCGGGTCAACCTTTCCAGCTAGAGTTAAGGACCACGGCTTTGTCATCTTTAGGTACCACATATTTCATCGGAGAATCCGAGAAATTGAATATTTCTAACGTAATACTCACCTTGAACATCGACGGTATTTACTGCATTATCTCTTTCTTCGGTGTCTACTTCCGGTGGCGTGCCGCTGAAGCTTTCTCCTATCGGGGATAGTCTTCGGGCTCCAGGACCAGTTTCGAGGTCCAACTCGGACTTGACGGGGTCCGTAGGGCTGCTTGGAATTCGCCTTTGTCGGAAACCTAACAGGGATTTGTTCATTTCTCTTAGAATATTGTCTTCTTCGAATTGCGACAGTGGTAGGCTGGAATAATTTTCCGGGTCTATACAGCACGTCGTTACCTGTAGGGAGGGAAAAATAAAACGTTATATGCGTCATCACGACCGATTCGATTTCGGGCTCGATTTCGGGCTCGATTTCGGGCTCGATTTCGACGGCAATATTCTCACCGCGCTCGGCTTGAGTATACTCTCATATGTTGCCCGGTGTTTAGGGTCGTTTATCCTGGAGACGTGTCTGGCACCTTCCACTATTAAAACTTCGTTGTCCTCTAAGGCCTCCACGGATAAAATCGCAGCAAGGAGCTCCGGATGGGTAGCTATCTACTCGAGCATGATTATCGTATTGACCACGCGGTAATCGAGTACGTTCCTATCGGTGAAGTCAATTGGAAGGCAATTTCTTATCGTACAGAACTCGAGGTACTTACGTACATGTACGGTTTCTTGAGTGACGCCATTTTCGAGTACCCCGTCGCCGAATTTTGCACTCGCGAAACAAACGTGCAATACCTTCGTTTCCGCCTCGACTCTCTCTAATCGCCTTTCGTGGCGAATGGTCAATGGGCACAGAGGAACGCTACTCTCTAACCAGTCTTCGATGGTAAGCCATTGTTTCGACGTCATCACCTGGAAAGAAACCGTACGCCGTCTCGCTATTTACGCGCTTACGCAAAAACGTTACTCGATCACGTACCTGTCTCGAAACTATCAATCGTCCTTCGAGCGCATGTTCCGTTTCCAAGAAATCGAAATATTGAAAGATGCTCCTGAGCTTTGCCTTTTGGGCGGCCCTGAAAGGACAGACGTCGCGTTATTAAGGATTCATCGAAGACTCTCCATTCACTTACAAATGGAGATTTTTAAAGAAATTAGTGAAGTTGAAGTCTCGCAGTGTTGGGTGAGTCTTGGACGTTCGCTTCGGATAAGTCGAGAAGAAGGCATTTGCGACGAGGGAAGAGGCAAACCCGTAGCTGTACTCGACACAGTCCCCTGGAAGGAAACAACGTTTCTAGAGATACCTTCCGGAATCCGCTCGAGAGCTCCAACTATCCTTCTTTGACTCGTGGCTTACCCTGTTGCTGAAGGCTGAACCGTAGTCCCTGCGGTGGCTTCGTGGACCTCAGAGCTTTGGCCCTTTCCACCATTCTTGGTATCGTTTTTTCAAATACGTGGCCCCGTTCCGTCGAACCGAGATCCACATCTAGGAACGTCGCCAAGCCCAAAAATAGATCGGGATCTTGAACGTCCTCTTCGGGATCGAGACTAATACTGGAAAAGAACGAGACATTCGTAGACTCGAGTACAGCTACGAATGCCTTCCAATGGAGGTAGCGAGTCCAAAGAGACGGGAGACCCACGAGACATAGAATCGAGCGGGAAGAACATCGGGGTGGCCGCTCGTAAGCGCGGTTGCTTCGGAGCCACGACGCGACGCGAATATGAACCTCGGTCGACGACGCCTCGACGCCTCGTCACTTGGCGCGAGGCAGAAACCTTTCGGACGTTGACTCGTTTATTTCGGTCCACGGGCGGCCCGGCTTCCGATTGCCTGCGTATCGGCCGGTGACTGGCCCCCGAGCCATCGGGAACGGTTCGCGTCTCCTCCATCCGAGAAGCGGGACGAGAAAACGACGAGATCTTTTTTCTCGTGCTAGGAAAACGCTACGAAAGTCTACGGAAGGAAAGTTGCATTACTTGCACGTATCGTGTATTCTTTGCATGGCATCCAAGAGATCTCGAGTGTTTCTGGCGGCAGCGGCTCTCTCCATGCGTTTGACAACGGCCGGCCACCATGGCAGGTCGCAGGGCAGCATGACCAGAGCCATTGCGCGAGCGAGGACACCTGCAAATGGAAAAGTAAATCGAGTCGGGGAGAAACGGAACGCCAGGTGGGAGCCCTCGTTGGCCCGGAATTCCTTGGAACCACCTTTGGAACCACCTCGAACGGGTCTAGAAATACTTCTCTTCTCAGTCCCGTCCGTCGCGGTTCGACGCTCGCCCCGACTCTCGCCCCGACTCTCGCGAGCTTCGAGCGTTCGGAGATATTCCCGGCAACTGGCGAGACTCGCGCAAACCTCGGCGCTTTTCCCGGACGCTTCCTCGTTTCCTTTCCTAAAGCCGCGGTCCCGGGGGCGCAGAGGCAAACGAAAGGTACGTACGTCGGCGCCCTTTCCCCTGGAACCGCCCCGCTGGGTTTACATCTCGGCCGCGACGCTATTTCGCCCTTCCCCTTGGCGTCCCGAGGGTCTCGAGTTCCCCGGAGTCCCCGGGTCCTTGCGCCTCATCTCCGTCCGTCTCCGTCCGTCTCCGTCCTTCCGCGGCCCGCGATGGAGGCGCTCACGGCGTACTACCGACTCTTCGTCGTAACCCGAGCGTTGCCCTCTATTTATGGAGCGGCGCCGGCGCCCTGCCGGGGATGGCGCGGTCGGTAACCTCGTTCGGGTCCGTCCCTTTTAGGTTAACCTTATCGCTCGTCGGTACGATTCGAAGACGCGGGCCCGAGTACTCGCTCCGAGGGGGAGATGGCGCCTCGTCCCTCGTCGGGAGCACCTTCCGCGACCTTATCGAAGCCAAGTCGATTCGATTCGATTCCATTCGAGTTCGATCTTTCCCTTTCCCCTCCCGATACCTTCGCCGGCGAGTCCTTTGCCGTTGACGGTGTTCCGGGGACGAATTGATTCTGGAAAATAAAGGTCAGAAGGGGCGAGTAACCAGAGACTGCGGAGTAATTGATCCCAATTGGTGAGTCAGACGGCCAACCGGTTATGTCACCGTCGAGTCCCTCGTCTCTCTGGATTCCGCGGGAACGACGACCGAACGGGAAATCTCGGAGGAGTGCTCCCGCGTCGGGGATCGCTGGAACTCCTTCGAGAGAATGCCTCGCTCGCAACGAGAGATCGGGAAAGGGGAAGAACGGGCTCGTCCTCGTAATCGCGACGTGACCCATTATCCACTTTGTCTTAATTACGGCGAGTACGGCCCCGTACGTGTTTACTCGACGGGCCCGAAGGGCGGAAAAGGAGGGAACTCGGTCCTTGGCCGCGAACGTGGGCGGAGAGGCGCGCGCTCGCGGAAGGGTTAACCGTCGAATTAACCTTAATTATCGGACCCTCTCTCCCGCCCGCCGGTTCCGGCTTCGCCTCGACGTTCCCGAAGAGGAGGTCGCTCGCTCGCGTCGAAGGAAAGAACGGCAGGGGCTAAACGAGAGTCCTCGGCCCCGCTTTATTCCTCTGGATCGCTTTACAGGCGGCCTCGCGCGATAAGCAAACACTCCGGGACTCGTCCCTCGCTAGAAGGGGAGGCTCGTGGAGGCCAGCAGCACCAGGACCGCCCAGACGAGTCGGGACGCCCCGTCGACGCGGCCCTCCCCGTTGGCGCAGGTCTCGCGGATGCCGGCGATGTTCAGGCTGCGCCGGGACAGCAGGTTGTGCACCCCCCGCAGGTTGCTCTTCTCCAGGACGTGCTCCCGCGACAGGAGGACCGAGTAGAGCTGGCTCTCGGGGTTGCGGGAGCAGAACGTCAGCACCATGTGCGAGGCGACGGCCTTCATCACGTGGACGCTTCCGCTGAACTGATTGTAGCGCTTCTCCGTCAGGGTCCCTGAAACCAAACGGCGAAACGAAACGCTTATCGGCGCCGTCCCCCCGGAAGATTCCTTCCTTCCGCGGCGTCGGAAGAGTCGGTACCGTTCTGCAGAGCCGTGGAGATCCAGAGGCCGGGCCGCCCGTGAGAATCCGGCACCCGGAAGGTGTACTCGATGTCTCCGGAGTCCTCGGTCCAGAGCAACCTCAGGAGGGAGAACTCGGTCGGGCTCAGCTTGACGATCGGACACGTATCGATCACCACCCGGGCGCCGTTCATCGGCTTGGTCGGCTCGATCTTATGCTCCAAAATCTCCACGACGTACCATTTGCCCATTATCTGCAACAGGAACGGGAACCGCTCGTTAGCGGCGGTCCTTGGATCGGGCCGGAGATCGTCCGGAGAAATGGCTTCGCGGGCGCGCCTAACAAAGGATAGGCTCGGTCATCGAGAACTCGGGGCCGATACGACGCGACGAGTCTATGGCTTCCTTGGTCCGAACAACCCCGGCTCCACCTCCGATCCACCTCCGATCCACTTACGGTCTACGATAAAATGGAATCGATACGGGAGAATTAACGACGGACGAGCGAGCGAGCAACGCTTCTCTCCGCGATGCGCGGCAAATACTTGCCCCGGACCAATTGGCGCGATTACTCTCGCTTGCGTATCACGAATTGCACATTTACCCCGACGCGACGCACGAAATTATCGTCGAGCCGGGCCGAGGAAAAAGGGGACAAAGCATCGGGCATTCGTCCAAGCCGAAAAGGCCAACGAATCCGCCGACCCCGCTTTATCGGTAACCGATTCGTTGCGGCGGGATCGGGGTACCCGAGCACTTTAAGCGCGACGCTTCCGCGAGCGTTTCCGCGAGCGTTTCCGCGGGTCGAAACCCGGCGCGGCGTCGCGTCGTGCGTGCGCTCTCGAAATCTGGGTCGGTGCATAATGGAGTTCTCGCCCGTTCTCGCCCGTTCTCGCCCGTTCCCAGGAGACGGGTCCTTCCACCCTCGTGGTCGGGTCTTCTCCCCGTTTTCCGTTCCGCTGAACGTCCGTCGCTGCGCCGAAGGGCGACCACCGAGGAAAGCTTTACCGCGCTCCATTAACTTTGGCTCCGCGGCTCGATCGACCGAGGTATCCGTCCGAGTTACCGTCGGGTTCGAACACTTGCCCTCCGGACGGTCCCAGTTTCGAGGAAATGCGTACCTTGTCGAAGTCCAAGGACTCTTGGGATTTGAGATCGCTACATTTGGAGGGCGACTTTGAGGGCGTCTCGCCATAGGTCAGCGCATTGTCCGCCCACGTGGCTCCGGCCACCAACAACACCAGCGTGCACCACTTCATGTCGGCACCGCGAACCCCTAATTCCGGAATCCGGAGGTCCAACTTCGCGTCCGCGTCTCGAGGTCCAACGTCGAACGTGTCCGGGGTGCGTCCGGGCCCGCGTTTCGATCGGCCATCGAGTCGGCCGCGTCCGTGGCCGGAAGATGCGACCGCGACGGCGACGGGGAGCACTCTGACGGGCCCGGGTCCGTCGGGACGGCGCGGCCGGCGCGGCCGGCGCGGCCGGGGCGAGCGAGGAGGAGCGGAGAGGAGCGGAGAGGAACGGCGCGCGCCGCGGGCCGCGTGCCCCTCGGTCCGACGAGATTTCCGATTTCTCGCCCGAGAGAGACGAAGGGAGCGAACCACTCGGCCTTCGCCCCGTGACCGCGGTTATCGCACCTACGTTCCCCGAAAGGGTCGGGCGTCTCTTCTTCCTTAAATTAAGCGAGACCCCGCTCCTCCTCTTTTCGGAGACCGGGGCTGGAATCGGGGCGGAGGTGGTAGCGGACGGTGGTAGCGGCAGTGGTACGAGTCGAAGCGCGGACGGCCGAGAGGGGGTCGGGCCCGAATATCTCTAAGAGCTCCCCCGATTATCGACGTCGTCTCGCGTGGCCGAGGGCGTCTCTCGGGGAGCGCCGAGGATCAAAGGATCGTATCGGTCGCCCGGAGCCGCGAAGATTAAATTTCACCGTAATCGATCGGCCGACCATCCGGCCGAACTCGTTCGGAACCTTTTCCCCGAACTTTACCCTCGCCGATTGTCCCGCGAAGGAACCGGTCGCCTCGGTACGTATGCGCGTACGTATGCCGATCGATCACCGCCGGAAGAGGAACGAATGGTCGATGGTTAGTCCCGGTCGAATAATTACCAGGCTCTGCCTCGACGTGCTCCGACACGTAAAGCCCGTGCGAGCGAGCGGCCTTTGAAAAGGTGCCGATCCCCGTCCCGGGGGTCACCGGGGGCGACCTTCGACCTGCCCTACTTCCGCACATACGGTTACACCGATCGACGCGTTTATCCCCGAGCTAAGGTGAGCCGAGAGCGGCGACGGTCCTATGCTGCCCCCCGGTGGAAGATGCGGACGGCTAGCGCCCTCGTCCCCCGTTACCCTTCGGTAGCGGCGCAACACATTTCCGGTGGGGATTTACGCGATCGCGATGGCAGATGCAGGGTCGTTCTCTTTAAATCGATCCGCGATCGTTTCCCGAGTCGGGCCGCCATTGGGAGCAAGTGCGCGAGCCGCCTGCATGCTCCACCGAGAGCAGCACGCGAGCGCCGACTTTGGTTTCGACTCCGGGACGAAGGACGGAGCGCCATCTCTCGCCTGTGCCGCTTAACGAACCGTCGAGCTAGGCGCTCCGATTTTTTCCGAGGGAGGCGGCAGGAGGCGTCGGAGCCCAGAGGCTGCGTTGAACGTCTCTCGCGGCAGGCACCAGCAGGTGCCAGGAACGACGTTGCTTTCAGGGGTCTTCGGCCCTCGAGCGAGTCGCCGCGGATTTTCCCGAGGAGGTCGACGGCGTCGACCATCTCGATGGCAGCATCTTCCAGGGGTTATCGAGAAGAGACCGCTGCCGCTTTGGTTTCTCTCCGATGGCATTGGACGGCATCGCGAAACGGAGCGTCGAGCCCCGGCGGAGGCCTGAACGCGGGTCCGACCTTTCGAGGTTCTTCCCTCCCGCGGCGAGGCGCGATTTCGCTTAAGGTTATTGGATTTCCTAGGAGTTTTCGAAGGCTGCGCGGAGGGGCGTTCCCGCGCTCGAGGAGGGGACCGGCATTGACGTCATTCGATGACGTCAAGCAGGACCGTGCCGGAACGGCCGGGACCCTTTCCCGGAAAATACCTCGAACCGCCGTCGAAACCTCCACCGATTGATCGCCGTCCTCGCCGATTGACGTACGAGGGCCGAACTCGTCGGCCCCAAAGCGGGTTCTCGGCGACGTACCTTCGGCTCGACGGGATCGCCTACGCTCGAAACGATGCGATTCCCTCGGTCGAGCGCGAGTAAGGGAAAGTTGGACAAAAAATGGCAAGGTTCCTATGCGCGGTCGAACGTCGAGTTCGGCCCTCCCTTTCTTCCCAATGGCGATCGAAACCTCGCCATTGGGAAGAAAAATGTCGTATACCTCCCGAGTCTTCCTCTTCCGCGAGCGTCGCACCCCCGGAGATAAAGGCCAGGTCTCCGCGGACTCGATCGTCCGTACGAGGCGTCAAAGGACGTCAAAGGACGTCAAAGGACGTCAAAGGACGTCAAAGGACGTCAATAGAGAAAATCGAAAAGCGTCGTGGCGAGTGCCAGGGTCGTTTGGCCAGAGAGGAGGAGGAAAGAGAAGCGCCGAGGGCGACGCCGTCGTAATCTTCAAAGTGCGTCAGGAAATTCCTGTACGCGGAGTAGTGGAGTCGCTTTCGGGAGAAAGGGCGCGAGTTCGGACTCTCTTCTCTTCGGAGGGGGGAAAGCCCTCCTCGACGTCGTCGGTTCCGTCCGGTTCCGTCCGGTTCCGTCCGGTTCCGTCCGGTTCCGTCCGGTTCCGTCGCGAACCGAGCAAGGACGATCGCGGCGATTACGGCGGACTCGCAAAGGACGTCAACGGCCCTTTGACGTCAATCGGTCGAGTTATCTCGCGCGTCAACGGCGTGCATCGTTTCCGGGGACGCGACTCGAATAATTTAGCAACGTCTCGCGCCGTGGGCGGCGGAGAGGTTCCCCGGAGGAGTCCCTCGACGAGGGCCGGTCGCCGGTTAACGTTGGTTCGTTGACGTCAATCGTCCGCGGGGCGGAGGGGAGGGGAGGAGAGGGGAGGGCACTCGGCGCTCGGCAACATGGCCGCCCGACGGTCGGACCAGTCGGTATCGAACCGCCGCGCCGCGAGCACTCGGTATGTCGCTCCGTTCGGCCCGGAAGAGCGGCCGTCCCTGAGGCCGATGGCATCGACCACCCGGCCGAGCGAGAACGCGACCGGCGCCCTGTCGGATTTCGACCGATCAACGGCGCCACTCGGAGGAGTCGGTGAGCGTCGGTCGACCGATATTTCGCGACATTCCGACTCGGTGGTCGGAGGAGCTTCCCCCCCGCCGCCGCTTTGACGTTGCTCGCGCTCGTCAAAGACCGATCCGGGAAATCGAAACGTCCACGTCGACGAGGTTTCCGCCTACTCGGGCGTTATCGGTCATTTTTAAACGCGACGCGACGCGTTACACGGAAAGGATAGAGAGCCCGAGCGAAATTTTGTCGGGAATCGTTCGCGGCGGACGCGTCGGATGAACCGTCGAAAATAGCCGACGAGGGAGTCGGCGCAGGGGGCAGAGCGAGATCCCGCCGGTTCGGGTCTGGAAATCGGGGGACGCTTCGGGCGTTCGTTTCCCTCTGCTCAGGATCCTGCCGAGGACTTTCGGCTTGACGCGCCGGTCGAGGAGCCGGCGAGATGGACGCGAGCGGCGTGCAGGGCAAGAAGCAGATCCGAGTGGGATTGTACGATATCGAGGGCACCATCGGCAAGGGCAACTTCGCCGTGGTCAAGTTGGCCAGGCACCGACTCACGAAAACGGAGGTAACGAGCGCGGCGCGCGAGGCCACGGCGAAACTTTCTTTCGATTCCGATCGATTCCGATCGATTCCGATCGATTCGACCGTTCGATTTCGCAGGTCGCTATAAAGATCATCGACAAGACTCAGCTGGATCCGACCAATCTGGAGAAAGTGTATCGCGAGGTGGAGATCATGAAGCAGCTGGAGCATCCCCATATCGTCAAGCTGTATCAGGTTATGGAGACCAAGAACATGATATACATGGTGCGTCCTCGAGCGAATAGCGAAGGATACGCGAACGAAGCGAAAGAAAAAATAATACGTCAACCTTGTGTAGTACAGGTCTGCGAGTACGCCAGCAAGGGCGAAATCTTCGACTATATCGCTCGATACGGAAGGATGGGAGAGCCGCGTGCTCGGGCGACGTTTGCCCAAATACTTTCCGCGGTGGAGTACTGCCACGCCAGCGGAGTAGCGCATCGTGACTTGAAAGCCGAGAATTTGCTCCTGGATGGCCAGATGAACGTAAAGATCGCAGACTTTGGATTCAGTAACAGATTCGCGCCCGGCGAACGTTTGAGCACGTGGTGCGGCAGCCCCCCGTACGCTGCCCCCGAGGTCTTCCGAGGGAAGCATTATGCCGGGCCGGAGATCGACGTATGGGTAAGAACGGTCGTCTCTCTCGCCGTGCTCGTGTCCGTGAGCACGTCCGAGGCGAGAGACGAGAGGTTTCGGGGCCATAAGATAACGTTAGCGACGCGTAATTCGTCTCGTTTATCTTTCAGAGCTTGGGCGTCGTGCTTTACGTGCTAGTTTGCGGAGCACTGCCATTCGACGGCTCGACGCTTCAGTCTTTAAGAGATCGCGTTTTAAGCGGCAGATTCCGAATACCTTATTTCATGAGTACAGGTGCGTACGTTCCCTGGATTTACGACCGCGCGACGAACGGAATTACATCGTCCGGACTCGCGAACGCTTTGACAAGGAAATACGTACACCTCGAGTGATTTATGGTTGTCCGGGCCAAGCGGACCCACGACAAGACCGTAAAAGCGTAATTCTTATCTACAGATTGCGAGAGCCTCATACGCAAAATGTTGGTTCTGGAGCCCGGTAAACGGTACACGATACCGCAGATTAAGAGGCACCGGTGGATGGCGGGCGCTGTGGATAATTCGTGCCCAACGATCGTCAAAATCACGTCAATTCAGGAACCCAACGAGCAGATTCTTAGGCTCATGCACAGTCTAGGCATCGATATAACCTGTACAAGAGAGGTAACGTTATTTTCCCTACCTAGATGCGAACGCGCGCCCTGATCCAACGATTACGGGTCATAGTTATTGCTCTTTCCTCTCAAAGGATACTTGGCGACGTTTGTCCGCCAAGTGTACCTTTCCGACCCCGCGGTTTCTTAGACGGATCGTTACGGAAGATCGACGCTCTTATCATTGATACGTTTTTTCTCCTGACAGTCTTTACGAAACAATAGTTACGACCACTACGCTGCAATATACTTCTTATTAATGGAGAGATTAAAGCAACATCGTACCAGTAATTTTACGAACAACAGTTGTTGGAGCGCCGCAGCTAGAACGAAGGAAGAGAAATTTAAGTCAAGGTACGCGTCTCCGAGGCTTCCGTTAAACGATATATCGATCGCTACCCCGATGGGTCTAAATTGTCTAAATTGTCTAAATTGTCTAAAATGTCTACGTTACCCCAGCTTCGGATCCAACTTCCAATCCCACCTGCGACAACGAGTTCGGAGGGATATAGATTTTTTTTAATGGTTTGGTTTTTATTTACAGCGGTAGCTTAGTGGGACGTTGATCGTAAATGATGAGTGGTGAGGAAATTGCTGATTTTGTGAGCGACAGGTCGGATTGGAAGATCGCAAGGCCGCGTCTTTCAGTTTTTGGTAACATTTTATTTCATCCCCTTGCTCTTACCATTTACACCCGATATATGCTTGGCAAATTGCTTGGTTTCTTCTTCACTTCTGCATTATACAACCCTCGTGACGGTCGTTAAAAAGCGGAAAATGGAAGGATAGAGGAAAAGATGAATCTTTCGAGATTAAAGTCGTGTACACCGGGGTGAAATTATAGGGTATAGGTGTCCGTTGTATCGACGGGAACGTCCAATGGGACAGAGTCCGTCGAATCGATCGTACGGTAGCGATTCGAAGAAGAAAAGATTTAGTCACCGAGGGTGGTCGCGCTCGGACGTTAAAGTGCGCTCGACTGTTGCAGAGGTCGCGAGGACGTCGGCAGAGGAGGCAAGAGATTCAGTTCGACCAGTTCCTCGACGGACGAAGGGTGCTGCAGCGCCGAGGGGGATCTGGAAGAAGGGCCTAGCGGGGACGAGCTAAGAGAGGCGCAAATAAAGCTGGAAGAGCACAGACTGGGCTTGGACCGGGATATCAGCCAACGAATCGATAGTCAAATAGTGAACCGAAGACTGAGCGATTACCAGCAGCAACATTTCGATTCCATCGTGGACCCGATAGACCCGCCGAGTCGCGCGGCGCTGTTCGCGTCCGGCGGTTGCGGCAGCTCGTCCTCCGAATTCTTCGAATCGAGTTTCGACTCGGGGTGTCCGCCCGACTACGGAGTGGCCGTAGGGTGCTTTACGAGCAGTCTTCCCTCCTGCACGCCGCCGCCACCCAAGAGCCCGTCGCCCGTGGCGACGAGGATATCCCGAGGGTCTCAGGGACGGCGAGCCTCGGACGGCGGGCCCAGGCTGCTGTTTTACCAACAGACCGGCAACGAGAGACCGGTCAAGCAGCGTAGCATTCAAGGTACGCGTCGCGAAGCTCGTTTTCCCTCCCCGTCGAGTCGGGATATAAAGGGTGACCGCCCGTTGCAGATTCCGGAAAGGCAAGGGGCCACCTGGACCTCGTGCACCTACGCCTGCCGGCCGCGCCCCTTCAGAGTCAACCCCAGTTCAAGATGCGCGCCGAATCGGGGACGCAGCTCCAGCTGTTGGTGCAGCAGCGCGTGCTCCAGCAGAAGAGAAGCTTGTACCACCGGCACCGAGGAACCGGCGGGGGCGGAAGCGGAAGCGGGAGCGGAAGCAGCCCTACCCCCGGCCAGACCTCGGGCCGGCGCAGCGACCACGTGCCGCGTCAAGACAGCTACAAGATGGCTCAGCGTATGCAGATCCTGCCTCCTTTAGCTCAGGCTCGTGGCGACGACGCTCTCGTCAGGGAGCGTCAACTCGAGGAGGAGAGGTGGAAAAGCCTACCCTCGCGATTGGCAGCCGATTGTCAATTGGCCGAAAGAACGCTCCTATGGAGTCAACAGGTAATCTCATGAGAGATATCGCTTAGATAGGTTAGGGTAGAGGATAGAGGACGACTGGATTCTAGGGAAACTGCCTGTGGGCTAACGCGGTCCGATGACACCTTCTCGCGGAGGATGCCCCGCCGGGTGCCCACCGCGAGGTGGAAGCTCTAAGATCCATGGAATCTCTATCGTTAGAAAACACTGCTTTTACTTTGGCTTACTATTTTAGTCAGTTGCGGGTGTACCTTGCCACCGGGTCGAAGCACTCGACTTTTAGCACCCATTCGTTACCGTTACCTAGCTGCTAGTACCTGCGTTGTGTTCCTATGATTATTTATTTATTTCTCTCGAATAAACCATTATTTTCTTTCGTCTTGATTCCAACTTGCCTGAGCGCTCTGCATGGTGAGCTCCGTTTGGACGAGTAGAATTCTTCGTGGATGTGACCGTACCGCATCCCTAGGTTTCAAATGTGTAGCTACGTGTCTTCCCTCCACTAGAGATCCATAAAAGCTCCGTCGCGATAACGTAGAACGTACGTGTACTGCAATTTCTTTTATAAAGCACTGTCCGCTTCCTCTGTACCCAAGACCGTCACGCGGTTGCCACGGTCCTGGAGAATCTGAGACTGATAAACCGTGAGAATAATATTTAGTCGAGAATTCGCGTCGACGAGGAAGTAATAAAAATTCCCGTTTCGGCGGCTACCGTATTCGCTTGCCCGACTAGAAAGAGGACCGGAAAACTCAGTTCCCAGTATCCCGTGCCAACCCTGTGCCCCACTGAAAATGTCAAATGTGTGTGTATACATGAAGTGTTGGTACGTTAGGTTGGGCTAGGTGGAGGCGCATCATACCTACCGCCCGGTAGTGTAGGAGGTTTCTTGTGGCCTGCCGGAAGTAATCCTCATTCGACAATTTTCGAAAACGCCGGAGAACCCATGGAATGAAAAATACCGGTTGCGACTCGTAAATACTCGATACGAAAACGGTCATTAAGATTTTCTGTTTGCAGTCTAGTTAATGGGACGCGTCGCCGTTGCGACGGTCGTCCAATATCATGATTATCAACGATATCGCGCATCCCTCCCTCGACGAGGTTTTGTAATTTTGTAATTTATGATTTCACGACTGACTCTACGAGACTTTGTTGAAAATTTAACGACGCTCCTCCATCGGGCGATTTGATATAATACCGAGCCTTCTAGCTTACCGACTCGAAATCGCCGGGTGTACGTCTATCTAGACTAATGGTACGAATTATCGCTTAATGTGTATCATAACTTAGGTTGGAACGTTCTCTAGAGAAAAGGTTAATTAAATTAGAGAAGCGAGGAAGGTCGCGTGGCCACGCGTTCGATTCGTAATTGCATCGATTGCATCGATTGCATCCAATAAATAATCGCGTCCGTGGTAGTGCGAGCATAGTCTTAATATACGACTGACGTCTGTCTCTTCGATATTCAACGTCATCGCAGACTGATCCTTTTTTAGCGAGGGGTACCAACTCATCGTCGTTGGACGAAACGATGCCGACGTTGCGTCATCGTAATTATTATCGGAACAAACATTAGAAATGTTGATACGATTCGATACCTGTATCGGTCTTAACTGGCTTAAAGGTGTCGACGACCGTTAACCCTTATCGAGGAGTTCTCTCCAAATTTCTCCGGAGTGAAGTGACCTCGTAGACCTCTCAGACCTCTCGTTGTAATAACTTCATTAACGAGTGACGAAATAATTTCGTTTCATCTGTTCGAAAGAGATTAAGAGAATGGTCGATTTCTTTTTGTCCAATGCCGTGTTACTTTTAGCGGTCGAGAGTCAAATCCCGAGCATTCGATTACGTATACAAAATGTAACTTTCATTCTTCCACTCGTTGTAACGTTGTCAACAGTGATTAAGTAACGATATTAAAGTAGTTGCCAGCAGCTCAAATGAACCAATGTTTAATACAAAGAAGAAGTGCTGCATTTTGTACGATGATAAGTCATCATCTTCCTCCTTCTTGACCCACGATCTAACGATTGATAATAATAATCGTAATGGACAACTTGGTCTTGAGATTTCACTGCCTTAAATTAGTTCATAAATTCGATGTGCCTTCGACGTCTGTCGTTCTTTAATTTCGGATTAGAGATGTAAACACTGTGTACTGGTGTACTGGTATTATTTGCAACGACGATGAAACCTGAATTGAAGCATAATTTTTCAATTATACGGTTTCTGTAATAGGAAATCATTAGCTGATGATTCTATTTTTCTAGAATCGATATTACGCGGTTACCGCGAAACTAGTTTTTCATTTAATACGCAACAACGATGAAGTGAAAAGTACGTTCTTAGTCGAACGTATCATTGCGTGTCAGTTCTTTCCGGGGCAGTCCATTGGAGACATTGCGCGATAGATTGTTTTCAAGAATTATACTTCAATTGTTAAAGGACAATAAACATGCAAGACACCTAGAAGTTATTGGACCAATTTAAGGAAGTTGGACTGTGGAATTCTATGTCTACATATCGCCGCCTCATCGAGTTTCAACTTTTTAATAAGAATCGATATCGTTCCATTCAGCACCCATATGCCTGACGCATTATTCCTCCTTTATATACACTTATAAACATTAAGAAATGCAACACTTCTGCTCATAATTAAATCTCTTAGGTTTTAGACATTAGGAAGTAATTCCGGCCGTGTACAATTGACAACGACTTTATAATTCCAACATTTTGCCGTTTTTTTACAAAACAAAAACAATCAAACATCGCTCAAAACCGTTTTGATAAACGAATCAATAGTCGTTAAGTTAGCCTAATCGTTGGAGTGTCTTTCATTCTCCAAGAGGCACTGGATATCAGGAAGAAAAATTGGAAATATGGCAATTGGAAACGAATCCCGTGACCTGTATTAGCGATGAATCGCAAGGACATCTTTTCGTAACAACCGATCTTAGTATGCATAATGTAGAAATCAATTTTAAAAAAGTGACATTTGTTTACCAGCAATAAACTCATTTTACTCGGTGATAAGTGAGTTTGAGAATTCGTCCGCTAATTTGTGCAAATATTTTATAGAGACTGGACGCGACATATACTTCTTATCCTAAGGTGCAGGGTGCAACTTAGTCAATAGCAGCAGGTATTAATAGAGTAATTATTTCCTATCAGAAATACAAACAGGTGAATTGTGATCGCTGTATCAAAATATTTTTGAGACAGTATAACACAAAGTAAAAATTATTATCTACAATCACCCAAATGGCGTTGAAACAGGTTCGATCGTTTCGAGTGATAGTAAATAGTTAACGTTTATGAACTACAGTTTCATCGACATCGTGTACAAGTGTGCATAGAGTGTAACGAATAAAACACACACAAGTTAACAAACGATGCTCCTGTATTTATTCATACGTATACTTAATTAAAGATTATACATATTAAGGTCTAAAACATAATTTTGAGAAACTATGTATTTCCCGTTGGACATCGTTTGTACTATGGAAACATCGCTAGAACCATTAACGATTGATTCGTCGATGAATACGTTGTGCTTAACGAGCTCAGAAGATATCCGAACCTGTCCTACTAGCAAGCTTTTTAGCTTCGGATGATGTAAGCCGTTCGGCGTCGCTTGGATTCAATGGTTCCCCATTTGGACCCAACTGATCTTTCTCATAATCCTTGATAATTTTTGGTGCATACACTACGTTGAATAAGTCTTCGGGAGTAAACTCTTCCTGCACCACTTCCTTAGCGGCATACGAGACATATGGCTTTAACGCGAAGTCTTCTAAAGATGGTACTACAAGTTCGGGTATCATTTCAGGTATGGTAACATACTGATCCCCATCTTGATATCCCGTAGGCTTTACTCCTCTAGCTAATATACATAATAGGTTAGTTTCACGTTAATTGTATTAAAGATGAATACATCAAACTTACTATATATCGGGATGTCTGGATTTGGATTTTTTGCTTGTGCTTCCTTGAAAAGTCGAGAACCGCGCTTGTTGTACAGTTGAAACTTACGAAAGTTTCTTTTCCCGTAGCAAACACACGTCGTTGATATACCGCGATGAAGTATCCTACACGTAGCAGCCATTTTAAAATCCGCCAAAATAGTAGGTTCAGCTAATTTTTGTGGTCTAAGGATACGGCACTGCATGTGGATATTCATACATATGTACTTTATTTCAATATTACTAAACCAGAAGTACTAGTGATTTCGTTCCTTTATGTGCCGAATACGTAATTCGGCGCATAAACACACGTGAGATGAAAGTGCGAGAAGTGAGCGCTTTCGTTAAAAATACGTAATAAACGCCCAGGTGCACGCGTGAGCAGAGATGAGTTGGGAGATTGCTCACGGGCAGGATCGTGCGATCGCATCCTGTGCTGCCCTCTGGTTTCGTACGTTAGCTTTCACCGTTTTTTGCCCCCAAGGGCTGCGCAACGAATTTCTGATAGGAGCTCGCGCACTCGCGATGGCGGTACCATCTACTAGTTGCCGTTGGCGGCTCACGTATTCGTAATGGTAATACCATGCGGCAGTTGAGTCAAGTGGTTTCAAAACGTATATTGTCATGATTATATGATATTAGTCAATAGTGAGTGTAGTTCCTCTGTTATAATTTAGAAACGATTCAAAATGTTGCGGTATCAAGTAGTTTGCAGCTTAGAGTGGTCAATGACGACCAGGTAATTTCTTACTAAAATATCTAATATGACATGAAAAATGACCATTGTGTAAAAATGTAACACTTATCGGTTATTTTTAATACTGTTCTCTCTGTTTTTTAGGTATTTCGGTATTGCGAAGAGGTACATAATTAACAAAAGAAGATTTATATTGCAAAGTAAATGCGATTCTGAATTTATTCCATTGTTACCTATCAGATTTGTACACTCGTCGTCGTTAAATTATGCCAGGGTGGCAAATGTTGGCAGATCGAACAGCAATAGTTTAACATCTTCGGTTGGTAAAGATATTATGATTAATGAAGAATCATCATATCGTATTATTGTACATTTTATACATAAAAGGAAATTGTACATTAATCATTAAAATATAACTACGTGATCTTGCAGGAATGCAGTTCTAAGAAAACAAACGATCTGAGGTACGATGCCAGTAATTTGGAAACTGTGAATTTTAAACAGGAAAAATCTATGAAAAAAATATATAATGAATTAATTAATAACGTAGAGGATAAAACAGTGGCAGAAAAATATGAAATATGTATTAAAGGTATCAAAATTTGTTATGCACAAAGCATGTACATGTGTTTCTTTCATTAAAATATGTTTTCAGATGTGGAAAAGAAATTTCCAAATGCAACTGGACAGATTAACAGAATATACACAATGGTTGCTAGAGAGTTAAATGCAACAAATGTTATAAGTACACGCTTCACAAAGGATGTTAAAAATAGTAAAATGAACTGGACTTGCACTCGAAGGGTATTATGGCCAATGGACATGACGTTCACGAGTACAGCAAGTAACAAATCAAGTGCCGAAAGAATGTCATCTCTACAGTGCCTTCAGTGGTTGCTTATGAATAAGAAATTAGTAAATGGTTTACCATTAATATTTGATGTCTCAAAAGTGATGAAGTTAAATGAGATGCCTGTTGATATTCATTTAAACTCTGATGCTCTCAAAGAATTAAATGATCTTCTTTGCCGCTATGACGAAGTAAGTAACGTATTAGCAAATTTTCAATTAAATATTTGCATTTACATTCTTTACCTTGGTGCTTTAAGGTTATTAAACCCATGATGAAGGATAAAACTGAAATTACTGTAGGTGCTCTCAAGGATTTAAAACCACAAATATTGGACCCAATTGGAGATAATTTACTAAATCCCTCGTCATTTGTGCACTACATAAAAAGATGCAGCGATCTGAATGAAAGACTTTCGACTCGTAAAAGTGCTGAACAAATGACAGATCTTCCTATTAGTAAATACAGGTACTGGGTACATACAATTATGGTATGATAATTAATGAACTCAGGGAAAAATGTTTAAGTTGACGCGATTACTTTTCAGGGAGCAGATATGTGACATGGTTAAAAAGAATCGAATCTTAGTAATAAAAGGAGATACTGGTTGCGGGAAAACTACACAAGTGCCGCAGATTATACTGGACAGTTTTACAGAAAACGGAAGAGCTGCCGACTGTAATATAATAGTATGCCAACCCCGTAGGATCACTGCGATATCGTTGGCTCGACGTGTCGCTAGTGAGAGAAATGAAAAAGTAGGAGATGTTGTCGGTTATCAAGTACGTTTTAATGCCTGTAATCCAATTAAGCCGGGTAAAATTCTGTTCTGCACCAATGGAATATTACTTCGAAAGCTGCAAAATAATCCAGACTTGATTGGCTGTTCTCACGTAATTCTAGACGAGGCACACGAGAGGTCATTGACCACTGACTTCCTCATGGTTCTTCTACGACGGGCATTACAGAGAAATCCATCCCTCAAGCTAATCGTTATGTCAGCTACTATAAACACGGAACTCTTTCAAAAGTTTTTCAATTGTCCCTCGCTAGACGTTCCAGGTCGAACGTTTCCGGTGAAAATGCATTTTCTCGAGGACATGGAACGTTTGGGCATCGATGTACAGAAAAGTGAAATGGATCATCTACCTAGGATTCCTGTAGTTAATTTCGATCAAGTGATAAACCTAATATCATGGATTTGTGAGACTCAACCACCAGGAGGAATATTATGCTTTCTTCCTGGTTGGGCAGAAATTGTTGCAACGGAGAATCGTCTTTCCAAGATCGGCCTACGCGGACAACACGTCGTTTTAACCCTCCATTCTAGGATGTCGAATCTGGAACAGAGTCAGGCCTTCCAAAAAGTGTCTCCGGATGTACGAAAGATCATTCTCTGTACTAATATTGCGGAAACAGGCATTACCGTGAATGACATAGTTTACGTTATCGATACTGCTATACATAAAGAAAATTATATGAACGAATACGGCCAGGCCTTAATAGAAAATCAGTGGGTATCGAAAGCTAATATTGATCAAAGGTGAATACAGCATTGTGTTTAGGTAGAAATATAATAATTCTATATTTTTAATTGCCCTTGAGTGTAACGACTAAATCACATGTCAGTCTATGTCGTTTATATCGTTTAGGAAAGGAAGAGCTGGTAGAGTGCAATCGGGTATGAGTTTTCATTTATTGAAGAAGAGCTGGTATCGTTTGCTGGATGCTTACCCGACACCGGAAATTCAGCGCGTGTCACTCATGAAGGCAGCTCTAGACTGCAAAACGTATAGCGACGAATGGGTAGAAGATTTTATGGCGGACTTTCCCGAACCACCCAAAGATTCATCGGTTAGAAGTGCAGTAGCCGAACTGAAACAAATTGGGGCACTGGACGAGGAGGAAAATCTCACGGCGCTTGGCCGACGAATTGCGTTATTTTCACTTCATCCCAGACTCAGTAAAGCTCTCCTTTTTTCGTGCATTTTTCAGTAAGTCACGATCCAAGTTGCATCTTAAGAGTTTTAAAAACAAACGTTTCTTTTCGTCCGGTTCATCATACCCTTACTCTTTTCTCGTAGATGCGTTAACCCAATGTTAACAATAATTTCGGTGTTCTCGACGGCGGAAAGTCTATTTCGTAATTCATTGGACGGGAAAAGAAACATCAGAGACGTCAAGAAACGTTATCACCCATCGAGCGATCATTTGGCCTATGTTTGGATCTTTAAGCAATTTGAAGTGTATTTCAATCGAGCTTTTATTAAGGGGAAGGAATTTTGTTTGAGAAACGAACTTTTACCTGAAAAATTATTTGGCTTGATCAGTGAGTACTTGGAGTAACACTTTCATGTGACGCTAATTTACGTTACCTTAACGAGGGTGCATTTACAGAAGTAAGAGAAAATTTTGCTAATCAACTGTTCACCAGTCGTATTCTGAGCGAAACGGACGAATATGACAATCTTGAGAGCAAATGGAATGATTGTTCTTATTACGATGAATTAGTGCGCGGAGTTTTATTTTCTGGCGTGGAACAAATTTTACGCCAACGTGACTTGGAAGTGCAGAATGGTATCGCGAGGACTAACTCTAACTTTTTTATCACGCGGTAAGTCAGGAATCGAACGTAGTAAATAAAGGGTCGATTATTATACGGCTCGAATGTACGCTTGCCACGGTATCGCTTTAATGGCACTCGTTTCTCCTTGCAGACGAGGGCACAAGGCGAGCCTTACTCCAGAAAGTGTCAATTATAAAAAAAACAGCTGGCCGAGCCAATTTTTAACATGTATTAATACATCAAGGTGTTCGGAAAGACGGACTATAATAGTCCGGGAAAGTAGCATAATCACGCCACTGACCGTTTTGCTGTTTAGCCAAAGTCCCGTCAATAGATACCGTGTAATAATTACATTAATAGCTAGTTGTTTACTCGTCATTTTACATAGCACATTAAACGTGGGTTCGTCAATTTGAATTGCTTATTACTTTATGCAGGATACGAGTGACGGTGGGCCGGAAAGGACCGTGCTAACTGTAGACCGGCTGAAATTTGTATGCGACACCGAGTAAGTCATTCCAATAACTTCAATATGATTTTGTGTTCGTTTTTAATACTATATCTCTAAACTTGCGTATATACACTATTTCAGACAAGCCGATTGTCTTCTACGGTTGCGCCACATAATGTGGTCTTTAGTTAATTTTTTTGTTGAAAATCAAGAAACGACGACAATGGTACAAAATTCCCGTCTCTGTGCCATTGAGGAGTACAAACAAAACTATTTGCAGGCTCTAGGAAAAATATTGCAATCCGAAGCTAGCACGATAGACAGTAGTAATTCAGAGTCAGAAGATACCGACGAGTCAAGGTAACGAGCTGGTACATTACCGGTAAGTTTAAGGAATCGAGTTTTACTTTTGTCTTTTCACATTCGTAACTAGTAGTGAACAAGTGTTGCGGAACAACCTAATAGTTGAGAAAAAGGCAATATTGAATTTAATATGAATACATTGGTTGTTCGCTTTTTCAACTGCTCAACTGTTCGCCCTGTGCGGAATAAATTTGTTCCGTTAAATGAACCAACACTTTTCCTTTCTTCTGAACGCGTTTATTATCAAATAATGTGAAAAGTCGCTGCCTATATCAGTATATACACATTCGGCATTATAAATATTTTAAAAAAGAACATGTCGAGCAGCAGTCAGTCCCATCAAGTGACATTACTGCGGGGATTAACGTTAACTTTCGTTAACGCATTAACTCTCAATCGAGCTACCTTAGATATCGAGAAATTGACGAATTTAATTGAAAAATTCCATAAGGCACCTTAAACCCACCGACACCCTGTAGCCCAAAATCAATGGGAGAGAAATCAATAGATTTGAGCTAGAGTCTCTCGATCCCAAAACCAGTTGACTCGCATAATTAGTGGTACAATTGACGCATAAATATTTCACTAAAAGAGATCGCAACTTAAAATAGTCGAAAAAGGCTCACGCGAACCCCATTGACTTGAAATACCGTTCGTCAACCTTTTTCGATTAATCTGTTTTAATTAAATATGCAAATTCATACAACTACAGAGAACTCGACACAAATTTACAATCAGCGGCTACGAGTCAAGTCGAAGCCATGCCTTCTTGATTTACGTCACCTGTACGCTGTATGAAAACATTGCGGTAATCTCAAAATAATATATTATTATCTCTTACGATTGAGGGCATACCTATATAAATACCTTCTTATATTAAATATATTTATCCTACTATATATGAATTTTCTATATACATTTGGCAGGTACATGGAGGCGTGCGCTTCTGAAACCAACAACTCTGACTGCTAACATGTCGAAGACGTATAGGAAACGATACAATAAATAATTAACGTAAAACAATGCATTCCGAGGCCTTTTAACGACAAGGCGAAGCGAATAGTCGAAAGAAATAGATCCATGTATGCCTTCATATCTTTCGTTTTAAATGCGAAACTTGAAAGAGAAAACGGCTGTTTCAAGTTCAATGGAAGACCGTGACTCACTTTTCTTCCTCTAACTCTCAACTGGTCGATTGAGCAATTAACCAAACCTCCTAGGTAAAAAATATAAAATATTTCAAATGAAAAATGTGACGATAACGAGAAACTCAACAAGGCCCGACGTAAATATTTCTTCGCGCAGGGTAAATAGCAATTAAAACATGTAACAATAACAATAGGCTACTCTATGTAACAGGTGTCACGATTTTAGGAGACTTCAACAGACTTACGTGTACGTAAAATTAGCTGCGTTATTGCCCTTCTTAAATGCGATTAGCCATTCGCGAGAAACTATTTATGAGATTAGAAAAGAAAGGAAATAACGACGGCTGCAATGCATATATTATTAATACCTTTTTGGCAAGATATCATAATTTATGATTAAATTATTCAACCACATTTAGCTCCTTAGACCGATCGGATATCGTTAACCCATTGCCTACCGCTCGTTAAAAACTTGGTATTTTTCGAAGCATCCGTAAAATAATAAATGCAACCGTACCCCATTCAATGCGCGCCCCGTTATAAAAATATGTCCGAGATCCGGTAGAGTGTAACTTGTGCGATATTCGGTCAGTTAAACTACGACTTGAGCAACTTGGGGGAGATAGTTTTGCAATTGCACCGCAACGGCATTTAAACGTTCCAACGATGGCTTAGCGTACTAATATTGCACTTCCGGCCCCTCATCTTTACCCAATTCGTTTTTTCTAGGAAAGCATCGATCGCGTCGTTTAACCCGAGCCTTTTTGGGCAATGCAAACGTTATCCGGTACACCGGCTGTCTTTCCCTTGACGCTTCCATCTCTCCCGCTGTAGGGTACGTACGGCCGATACCAAATAATCGCATTAATCGCTAAGCGTTGTTGCTCACTCAAACGGTGAGCAACAACGCGACGTACAAAAGGCACCCGATACACGAACTCGTGAACGCGTAGCGTCTTGCTCCCTCTTAAATCTAAACGATTCGGGTCGTCTCGGAAACCACAAGGTAGGCTTGCGTCTCCGGGACGAGCATCCGTCGATCGTTTCGGCTGAGTCCTTTGGCGCCATTCGTACGGACTCGGTCGGTCCGTCTGCCGCCCGTCGGTGCCTCGGTCCCGACGCAACGCGAGGAATACCCGGGCGCTCCGGCCGTCGGAGTGGAGCGTCAAGCGGCCAGCAGAGAGCTCCCGGGCGGTAGCACGGTGACGAAGCTCTCGGCCTCGCTGTCGCTGGCGCCGTGGTTGGCCCTCTCCGGAGCGCCGTCCTCGTTCCGGAACCCGGAGTCGACGCTCTTGGAGCGGCTCGACTGCGCGGCCGGGAAGTTGCCGAAGAAGACGCTGTCGGTGCCGACGCTCTCGGCGCCGCTCTCGCTGGCCCCGTCGCAGACGGACTCGGTCTCGTCGGTCTCGGAGACGCTGCCGACGTCGGGCCGGAGCAGCCGCTTGCGCGAGCCGTTGCTGTCGGTGCTGCTGAGGTAGCCGCTGTCCTCCACCCTGCCGACGAGGCGGCCGCGACGCCGCGACGGCCGGTGGCCGCCCTCCGCGGGCGGGAGCGGGACCACGTCCGGCCGGTTCGACGGCTTCCTCTGCCTCCTGGCCTGCCTGGAGTCGGGGACGAGGTGGCCGGCGCTCAGTCTGGCCTGGTAGATCTCCCTGAGGCTGCCGTGGCTTCCGCGGCCGTCGCCGAAGCTACCCTTGCTCCGGAGCAGGATCTGCGCCGGCCGCTCCAGGGAGTCGACGTAGACCTCCGCGGCAGGGTCCCTCTCGTAGCCGACGTCCCCGTTGATCCTGAGCTTCATGGGCTTCCGGTCGAGGGTGTCGGGCTCGTACTCGGACTCGTCCAACTTGACGTAATTGTCGGGAGAGTCCTGGACCTTGATGGTCAGGTGGCCCGGGTGCTCGGGCTCGTACCGGATCTCCGGGCCGGAGTCCTCGCTGCCGGCCGGGCTGACGTACCCGTCGTTGACGTAGACCTCGCTCACGAGGGAGTAACCCACCGGCCTCCGCGACCCCGGCTCCTCGGTCCCGGGTCCGGACCTCTCCAGGATGTCGTTCCTCATGGTCAGCTCCTCGTCCAACGGCAGGGCGGTCGAGGGGGCCGGACTCGAGCGGTCGGTGTACTCGGGCGACGTCGACGGCTTCCTCCCGAGCTTGGCCCTCTCGAGGCTGTCCACCTCGTAGCCGCGCTCGTTGCGCTCCACGGCCTTCGCGTCCACCATCTCCCGGATGACGGCGTCCATGATGCGCTTGGCCGGCATCGTGGCCCCGGGCAGCTCGTCGATCATGTCGGGAAGCCGGGAGAGCCCGGGGGTCGACGGGGCCCTCGACTTTCGGCTCTTCCTCCGAGTCGCGCTCCTTTCTTCCGCCCTCGGCCCGTTGCCGGTCGCCTCGGTGAGCATCTTCTCCAAGACCGCGTTCTCCTCCATTTGCTCGACGAAGCAGTTCTCGATCGCCCTCCTGACCTTGGCGTTGACGGCGCCGTTCTCGGCCGCGTCGGCCACCCCGAACGTGGACCGGGTGGAGCGCCGTGACGCGCCTAGCGACTCCGGTCCGGCGACGGGCGAGGTCCAACGACGCCCCGGCGGTTTCACGTCCTCGAGCCAGGCTCGGATCCTGTTCTCGCCCGGACACGCCGGACTCTCGTGCGGACTCGCCGGAAGGACGGGCAGACTCGGCGGAGACTCCCGACATCCGGGACATCCGGTACACTCTCGAGACCCGCGGGACCGGGCCGCGGAGCCCTGGACGGAGGCGGGACGTCGCCTCGAGTCCGGGCCGCTCTCCTCCTCGGGAATGCCTGGGGGGTAGTAGCGAGAAGATCGAGTCCGTGAGCAGTCCCAGGGTTGGACGAGGGTTGGACGAAGGAAAGTCCGCCCTCCGCCTCCCGAAGGAGCCGAGCGCTTTCGCGCGGTACTCACCGATCAACGTGGGCACGAATCGCTTCGCAGCCATTTTGTGTTTGGCGATCGACACGACTTCTCGGATTTTAAAGAGGAACTCGACGGCTGCCGGCGGCGGGGCCTGAACAGTCATCGGCTCGGTTTATTCCGGGAAAGGCGACGGGATCGAAGGAAGAAACAAATTTACCAGCAAGAGCTGCCGGTCGAAGTAGGCCGGGTTGAAGTAGAGCTTCCTCCGTTGGGTGCCGGGAAGAACCGGGACGTCCTGCTGATGGGCGTTGTCGACGGTCTCCACGATGCGAACGTCTTCCTCGGGTAGCCGCTCGCCGAGGATGGACCCCGAGCCGAACGTGCCTTCCGGCTCGAAGTAAACGCAGGGCGGATGGACGACGGCCGACGTGACCTGGAACACGGCAAAACTTTGCCAAGTGATGGCGAGGAGACGCGGGACTGCAGAGGACGAGGAGCTACCAACGTTCTCGAAAGTCTCCTCTCCGTCGCTTTGGGCCGGATCGTCCCCGAGGTCGCTCTCGCTCGATCCGCCGTTGGCGTCGGCCTCGAAGCGTCTCGAGGCGGCCAGGAGCGGATTGCTCTTGACGATCCCGGCTCCCTCCCTGCCACCGGTCAGGGCCGCTTCCGGTTCCTCCGATCTCTTCCTCCTGGCCCTTCTGCTCTGCAGATAGAGGGACACGCTGGCGACGTAGATCAGCGCCAGGACGACGGAGGACAACCCTATCGCCGCGTACTCCGTCGCGGAGAGCCCTTGCGAAGGGTGGCCGCCCGCCGAGAACGCCACCTCGCGCACGTCTGCGAAGAATCGTCGGTCCTTTAGGCCCCCCCCGATACCTACTACGCGGCGCCGATACCTACTGCTCTTCGAGGGCGATCCGGCGACGCGGAAGGCCACGCAGGGGGTGAAGACTCCCGGGACGGCCGGCTGCGGCGAGGCGTCTCGGCAGACCAATCGGGCCAGCACCACTCGACCCTCCGCGGCGTCCCTCAGCCCGGCGTCCCCGATCCACTGGCAACAGTCGCGTTTCCCGCGCTCTTTACCACGTCCCTCTCCTCTCCTCCCGCGCCGCTGCCGGGGCCGACTTACCTGGAGAAAAGTCCGGCCCTCGTCCCGGAAGAGCCTGAAGGGCGGCTCGACGTCGGAGAGGTTCCTCAGCTCGGACCATCCCCCTCGGCCCAGCTGCTGGGCCCCCGCGATGCCGCAGACGGGCGTCTCGACTCCTGCGAGCAGAGGGAGTCGGTCAGGCGCCGGACCGACGTCTCCCGGCACGCGAGTCGGGAACTGGTCCCAGGTGTCGCTCGTTATCGGGCCCCGGGGAAGACTAATGGTCGTACTTGCGCCGCGGGAACGAGACCGCGCTAATGGCGATCGGCGGGACGGGACCACCGATCCAGCACTCACCTTCGAAGCGGATCTCCGCCTGCGGATACACGATCTGCCGGCGCTGCGGAAGGAACACGTAGGGGATCTTCTCGACGGCTCCCGCGGTGCCGACGAAGCCGGCGACGTCGCATTCTGCAAGAATCGAGGCGGTCGGATGGGTAATCGAGTCGACGGCCGTCGAAGGTGGTTTTACGGAAATCTGTCTCTTTGGGCGAGCGCATCAAAACAAATCGTTGCACGGCCGGTCGTAACGAACCGGCCGAGCCCGTTCGGTCGAATCGAAGGGGCGACGAAGGGGCGACGAAGGGAAAGGAATCCCGCGCGCATCTCCCGAGGTTTCGGGAAAGCAGGCCGCTCGTGGCCAGGCGTCGCCTCTTAATGCCACCGAGTTGCCGTTACGTTTCCATTTAGTCGCATAATTTAGTGGTCGTCTCAAGGGACGTTGTCCCGCGGCCGCTCGTAACTTAGACTAAGGTATCGGCGGAGATGGGACCGGTGTCATTAGTCGCTTGAATATATCACGAAAACGAAACGCGGAGTCCCCGAGAGGCGATAAATTAAGCGAGGAGATAACGCGCTCGACCTGGTCCACCGGAGCGGGAGAATTTCACCGCGGAGCCGGCGTCCCCGCTCGCGGCCGGGACCCTCCGGAAGGAAGCCGGACCCGAGCCGGACCCGAGCCGGACCCGAGCCGGACCCGAGCCGGACCCGAACCGGACCCGAGCCGGACCCGCGCCGGACCCGAGCCGGACCGAAGAAGCGGGAAGGGCAAAGTAATGGCTTCTTTAAGGGAGAAAAAGTGGATCGAGGGGCGATCGATGGACTCGATCGGCGCGGCGAGCGTCGAGTTTCTTTGACTGGCAAAACAAGGGCCGACCCTCGCGCGGGAACCTTTAAGGAATTGGCGAACGCGTTTCCCGGAACGGGAGCGGGGAAATTCGTTACCGCTGCGTTCTCCGGAGTCCATCGACGGCGGACGTCTCGAGGAACTCCTGGTCTATTAAACCGTTCGCGAGTTGCTCTCCTCCGGCGATCGGCAAAAAGCGGAGCCATTACGCAAACTGGTGTCACCGATGAGTCCGAGTCTCCTCGGCGGAGGGAGGAACGCTCTCGACTCGAGAGACTCGGATCGCGGGATCGATCGTCACCGGCCGTGGGACGTTTCCGCGGAGGCCGACCGTCGATCCACCGAAACGAGGAGCGGAAAGGAACGGGAAGCGGATCGCAAGAGCGCGAGCTCCGAGGGCGAATTACGGGGATTACGAGAATGACCTAATCGTCGACCGGAAGAAGACAGCGGGTCGGTCTTCGATCGGACGTCGCGTCCTCCGAGTCTTCCGGGCGGGAACGGGGAATAACGCGCGAGCCGGGGGAGCCGGGGGAGCCGGGGGAGCCGGGTGAAAGGTGCGATCCTTTCCTCCTGACCTCGGCCCACGTTCGGACGGGCCCCCGAGAGGCGACCGCGCTTCGAGTTCCGGTTAGCCGCGTTCCTAGTCTTTCCGGAATCTCGCGAAATCGAGGAGGAGGGTCCTCCAACCGGGACACCGAATCCCGTCTCGCGACCAGTCGCATTTTTCGTGCAACGAGACGAGCCGAGTTTTCCTAACGGGTACCCGTACCTACGTTCTACTTCGGCGGTTACCGCTTCGCTCGAAAATTAATTTCCCCGTCTTCTTTCTCTCCTCCTCCTCCTCCTCCTCCTCCTCCTCCTCCTCCTATCCTCCGAGGCGTCGCTCGAACGAACGCTCGCACGCTCAGCCGAGACTCACCGAACGTGTATCTTAATCCATGAATAATCGGACGGGCCGTACGCATCGTGGATTTACGTGACGCACTTTACGTGGAAATTCTACTCGGGGCGTCGAAACCGTTTTAGGCTCCTTGATAAACGATCCCTCCGACGATTAATCTTCGGGTTTCGTAACGGCGACGTAAAGTAATTGGGCGAGATAGAGTAACTCGACGAGAAAAATCGTACAACGGCCGAGGTCGACGCGCACCTTCCTTGCGGACGACGACGTTCTACCGTTTTCCCTCTCGCGGTCCGCACACCCGGAATGACCGTACGTTTGAATAAGTTTCGGCAACTATTTCGATCGGAGTCGAGGTCAAACTAACGGCTCGAGCTAACGTAAAAGGTTCCTAACGAACTCGGCGATCTTAATTGCTCGTTATTGAACGCGCTCGCTCTATAATTGCGCTATAATTGCGCGGTAATTGCGCCATAATCGGGAGAGACGGAGTTGGAAGTGGCCGCTCTCGCCAGCCCGGACGAACCTCGCGGACGGAATCGGCGCCACGAGGTCGAGGACGGGATCAACGGATTCGACTCGCGACGCGCGGCACCGTCGAAGCCGGCATTGTCGCGTGCCGAAACGGTCCGGCACTGGCAATTAATGGCCGTTTCTTCTTTCGCTACCGGGCTCCGACCGATCGAGACGATCGAGACGTCCGAGAGGCCTCGTCTTCGTTTTCTATGACCAAGGAGAAAGGGATAATCGCGGGACTCGCGCGTCGCTTTATAATTATTCACCCGTTGATGCCGCTCTTTTCCGTATAAGTAACGCGCTCGAACCCGGCAGTCGTTTGTCCGGACATCTTCCTCGGGGAAATCTGCATACGGTCGGAGACGGACGACCGCGCGAGGCGGAACAAAGGCGAATAACCGTACTCGGAACCTCCGCGGAAGGCATACCCGCGGTCCAGGAGTCGCGTCGTTTCTCCGGGGGCGACGGGACCAAAGTACCGCAACCGATGTCCCTCCACGCGGTCCTGGTGCTCGTCCCCCGACTTGGACCGTATACCCCGGATCGTTATTTATTGCTCGCGAAAGAGATACGAATGAATTTCAAAGTGGCATCGGAAGGCGCGCCAAGCGCGCGGTTTCCCTCGGGGTCGTCGGGGTCCCGCGTCGCTGCCACGTCGACCCGAACGGGAGTCCAGAGGTGCGACCTTCCCCGCCGAGAGCACCGAGGATTTAAGGAGCTCGCGGGTAATAACGGCGTATTCGCCCGTCGAACGCTCGTTGCGGCGTAACCGCGCGGGTGGAGAGGCGATCGACTACCGTCCTCCGGAGTACGAACGGTCCTACGACGAGGGAGCCCTAGGGCCGAGGGCTCACCGGAGATTGCGCGCGATGGGACGTGCCCGGCGAGTCACGAGCGCGCCTAATGGAATTCGAAAACCGAGGGGCCCGTTCCCGGACGGGGGGAGGGTCGAGACGGTTCATTGCGCGGACACCGCCGGAGCGTCGGAACGTAAGGGAATTCCGTCGGCGAATCGAGAGATCTTCGGGGTGAAATCACGAGGGCCAAAGTACGGAATTATTTACCGCGCGGGAGAAGGAGTCGAGAAGGGTAAGGTAACGAGAGAATTTGCACGGAGATGGCCGGCGAAAATTTAAGAGCCGGCTACTCTTCGATAACCGGCGTCAAAACGGCGATACGATCGCCGAGCAACGACGGCGGATCGTTATCGATAGCGACCAAAAGATTTATCGCTCGCCTTTAAAGCCACCGATCGGGCGAACGCCGATAAATGATTGGATCATCGATCGAAATAATCGGCCGTCGCGGTGTTAGAGGAGCCGGCACGGCGCGCGTTTACGGGAGAGGAGGTATAAATTATTTAACGGCGTGCCCGCGAGAGCTCGACAAGTTTATCAAAGACGCGGGGACGGTCGCGCCGAAAGCGTCCCTTTCGCTGCGCGGATCGTCGAGGGGCGAATCCCTCGGAGACGGAGCCATCGGGAAAGCAATCACCCCCGGACTTCCTGGACGGCTCGACCCCGAGGACACCGATGCTCCTAATTTCCTATGCGATGGCCGTGGACTCGGGGCGCTCGGGGCTATGGCCGTAGGTCAGGATCCGGCACGAGATCCCGCATCGGGACGCGTGTGGGTGTACACGCTCCTAGACGGCTATCTCGTGCAGGTGCAGAGATTAGAGATCGACGACGAGCGGAGCCGCGGGGTTACTCGAGGGGTCATTCGCGTTTAGACCGACTCGCCGCCGCCGCCGCCGCCGCCGCCGCCGCCGCCGCCGCCGCCGAGGAGGAGGAGGATTCGGGGGGAACCGGATTTTCGCCGCAGGGGTCAACCTCGATTTTCCCGACCTTTTCCGGTCTTCGGAGGGCCGGCCAACGTCGAGGACGTTGCTCCTCGATCGGTCGAGAATCTCGGAGCTGCGTCCAATCCCGCGGCGTGCACGCGATGCGGTATCGTTCCTCCGACTGCGTTTCGAATCGCTGATCGACCCAATTAGGCGAACCCCTCGGTTCTCTCGAAACGAACCGTGTCGACGTATTAATTCGATACCGACCGACCGACGCGCTTCGTCGATCGATTCGGCCCCCTAAGGACGCGACTAACGATCCGAGTGGATTCCTCTCGGAGGACGCTCGCGCTCGGAGGGACCCGAATCGACGACGGGGACGGTCCTCGCCTCACTTTTAGGCGCCGTCCATTCGGGAGTCCGAATCTCCGCGATCACTTAACGCGTATCGCGTCTCGCCATTCGGGCCTTACAGAGTGACGAAACCGTTTAGACGTCCTCGAGGCGTTATCACCGCCTTAATTAAAGAGAGGTCATCCGGCCTAATGGAAACCGTAAACTCCGCGGAACGTTGCCGTCCGTATCGGTCGCGCCTTCGAGACCTCGGCTCGTCCAATGACTATTTTTCGGAACGTTACTCGTTACGCTATCGAAAGGCCGGTCGTTTCGACCAAATGGAGACGAGAGGAGGCCCGTTTCGCGATTTCGCCTCGGCTCCTCACCTCCGGACTGGGGGCCGATACCGAGAGTCGCCTTCCGGTTGGCTTCGTCGGGCGGTCGCGAGCGACCCGGGGCCGGAATTCCGCGGGGTCGAGGGGACCCGGGCCGACGGCCTCTTTCGGCTCGGAGGGCAGGACACGCGATTAACCGCCCGTGGAATCTGGTTAATAATCGAGTTCCCCGACCCCTCCGCGTCTTCGATTGGCCGAGTCTCCCGCCTCGCGACCGAGGTCTTTCGAGAATCGCTCGAGAGGATCGAGTGGCCTTACCTTGGATGTCCTTGACGCAGACGTGCAGGTCCTCCCGGAAGACCGGAAGCGCGAGGTTGCACTGGCAGGCGCAGGAATGGTCGGGAAGGCCGACGGCCGCCGTCTCGGGGTCCCGGGTGAAGGGGCTGGCGGTGCCGCTGCTCAGGACGGTGCACGCTTCCCTGCAGGAACCTTCGGGGCGGAAACCGAGTTCGTTCGGGGCGTCGCTCAGGAAATCGGGGCGCTTACCTTCGACGGTGAAGACGTCTCCGTTCGCGAGCCTCGTCACCGAGAGCTCCTGCCCGCCGATGCTCCCCGGACCGCGAAGGAGCCAGCCCGAGAGGATCACGGTTAGGAGGCGCATCTTATCCCCGGCATCCTGAAACGGAAGCGACGTCGCGGCGTTACTAGGGAGGGAGCCGCAGAAGACGCGATGCCGGTACCGGGGATCCGTCCGCGCCGGCGGCGCGAGATCGGTCGCCGGTTCCGGGGTCGAAAAGGCCCGACGGCAGCAGCTGTCCGTCCTCGGGCCGGGAAGTCGAGCGAGCGGTCATCGACGGGAATCGATCGACCGTAAAACCCCGCTCGAACGGGCCGCCGTCCAGGGAGCCATCTGTCGTCCGGCGAGTCGCCTTCGCTGGGATGATGGAGCGCCGTCTCGGCCGTCCTCGCGACGGTCGCACCGTTCCACCGGGCGTCCTTCCTCCCTCCCTCCCTCCCTCCCGCGCGGCGGTAACGGTCGCGGGCGTCCCCGATTTCGACCTCGACGGCCGCGACCTCGATGCAAATCGGTAGAGTCCTTCGTTTCGCGACTTCTCTCCGGCCGATGTCTTCCTCCTTATCGTGGGAAACCGGAATCGTCCGGAATCGTCCGGAATCGTCCGGAATCGTCCGGAATCGTCCGGAATACCGAAAAACGAGTTTAGGAGGATCCGACGTCCGCTCCTTCGAGGGACACGCGGCAGTTCCGCCGAGAGAAACGCTCCTTCCTCCCGACTCCCGAGGAGCGGTTCCCGAGGAGCGACGCATCGATTCGACTTGCCCGACGAAGGAGCCGCGTTCGTCGAATTAACGCCGACAGCCATTAATCGTCGATCGTTCCACTCGAGGCGGAGGCGGAAGCGAGGCGGGGAACGGACCGAGCAGAGGAGCCAAGTCTCCGAAACGACGCGCCAGTCGTTTCCCCGTACCGATTACGACGCGTGGAAGCGCGCCGCTCCCCTTCCGCCTTTTCTTGCCTCCGGGTTTGTCGTCCTTTGGCGAACGGGGCCGCGGCTGCGATTCGGCGACCGAGGAAGACGTCCCGGCTCGGAAGGGAGGAGCGCGCGTCCCGATTTCCCTCCGACGTCTCGATCGGCGGAGGGACGGCGATTCAAAGGCGAGCGGGCGTGGACGAGTCCGGGCCCCGGCCGACCAATGGCCGGCGAAGGTGCGAGGGCCCGGACTAATGGAATCATTCGGTCACGGTCGTCTCACCTTCCACGCCCGTAATCGCTCCGGGGAGATTTACGGCGGGAGTCGTCTGCCGTTTAACGGGAGCCGATTTCGGGGAGGGGCTCCCTCCGGCGACGGGCCCTTGACCCTCGGCACCCTTCCTCCCCGAGGAAGGTCCGGCGCGAGATAGGATCGACGCTTAATCTCTGCCATCGCGCCGGGCCGCGCCGGGCCGCGCCGGGCCGCGCCGGGCCGCGCCGGCCGGCCCTGTGTTGGCATAACGGACAATTTCCGAGGAACGCGTTTAACGCGCTCCGGTCTTCCTTTTTTTCGCGAGACTCGCGAAACCTTTCATCAAATTTCGCTGAAAAAAGAAAGAACGCGACTGGGGGACTCGCGAATTCGCTGAGAAATTTCCTGACGGCGGGTGCCGACGGTTCCCGCGATGTCTCCGCTCGCTAAATTATAGATGAATTTTTTTTCTCGTGATTAATGCTCATCGAAACCTCTTGCGTAAACTCTTCCTCGAGACGATCCGTCCGGGGGTCCGCACGGGCTCGATCCGCGTCGCGGAGGGGACTCGAGGCGAACGCGACGGACGCGGGGACGGGTCGCGTCGTCCTCGCCGGGACAACGCACAAATGACCGATGTTATCGTCGCGGGTACCATTTTTTTCCTCGGACGGGTTCTCGCCGAGAGTCGGAGATACCAAAGTGCCCTTCTTCTTATTCCGAGCTCGTTTACTCCCGGTATAATATATTTACACCGAGCGCGAGTTATAATCGTAACGAGCATTCCCCTCTCGGAGGCCGTCCCGACCCCGACCGAGGCGACTTTCGGCCGGGCAAAGAGGCGTTGCTCGTTCCCGACGGACGAGCCTCGTCGTCTCCTCGTTGGCCCTCTCGACTCCCGACGTTGACCGAGCGGCCCGGGTCGACTCGGGCGTCCGGCGTCCCGGCGTCCCGGCGTCCCGGGAGCGCATCGCGATGCGGAGGACGTCGCGATAATTCATAGCTCCCCCTGCGGCCGTCTGTAATTGGTGGCTTGCGCACCTGACAACGGGTTATTTGTATCGATCCCTCGAGTGCGTATAATGAGACAGGTGGACGAGGCCGGGCTCGGCTCCCGTCCTTGTCCGTTTCCCTCTCGGCGACGGCCCCTCGCCCTCGGCCCGGCCGGGTCGCGCTTGAACGGTAAAACGGAATCGGAATCGGAATCGGAGTCGGAGTCGGAGTCGGACCGGCTGCAAATTCGGGTTTAACCGTATTTCACCGCGGGAATCGCGCCGGAATCGCGCCGTATCGCCTCGGCCCGAGATTGCCTCGATCCTCCGAGGTATCGCCATTACCGGGTGCATTACCGGGTGCATTACCGGGACGCGGCCGTGCACGTAGGACGCGAGTCATTAGGCACTTTTCGCGGGCTCTGCCGACGCGGTAGCCGGACTCGCCGCAGGCATTCGCTCGTACGCCGTTGCGGAGAGGCCGCGGCCGGGGCGCGCGTAATTGGCGCGAGCGATCGCGGGACAGGTGCGGTGGCGTCGCGAGTCCTCCTCGGGTCGGCTCTTCCTCGTACGACGACGGAAGCGGAAAAACCGGGAAGGCGATTTACCGCCTCCGAGCGCGGTCGTTCCGCTCGTCCCGCGCGCGTGCGTTTACGAGCGGCTCGACCGGGACGGTCGGAGCGCCGCGACGCGGCGAACGATCGTTTCCGATTTCGTTGGCGACGTTAATGGCTCGTTAGGCGGGATTCCACCGCGCGGAAGGTGCGGAGATAAAGATGTCCCGGGCGCGATTAGCGTCGAACTCACCAAAGTTCGGAATGCTTCGGCGCGTCTGTCGGTGCCGTCTCGCCGCGGGCGGCTGCGCCGATCGATCGCTTCTCGGAGGAGACCGGCCGACCGCGGCACGAAAAAACTCTCCATTATTCGGACTAACGAGGATCCGAGCGAGCCTCTCCGCTCGTAAACCCGCGGTATCGGCCGGCGCGACGACTCAATCGGCCGAATCCGTGGAGGCGTCGCGCGTGCAGCGGGCGAGTGTCGAGTCCGGTCCCTCGTGCTGGCCGTCCAGTCGACTCGACTCGACTCGACTCGGTGGCGATTTGTCAGTGGCCGACCGGCGGTTCCGCCAAACTCCGCTCACGGGCGAAATGCCCGAAAAAGAAATCGCGAAAAATCCGCACGAACGAGCGGGATCGCCGGCCGGCGCTCGGCGTCGTCCCGTCTTGTCGACTTCGAGGACACGAGTTAAACGGTGCCCCACCGCGCCATTAAATCTCCGCCGAGCGTTCCAGTCGATGAACAAAAGCGCCACGTCCCCTTAATTGAAACTCGATCGGCCAATTCCCATTCGACTAGGGTGTAATTACGGAGACGCTCGATTAAAAAATCGATCACGGCCAATTAGGTGGCCCCGCCGTGCTTCCATCCGCGACGTCATCCATAATGCATAAATCCATTGGTGGAAACGCGGCGCCCCACGGACTTCCGGATTCCCCCGACGAGAGGCCCGTGAGAACGACTCGTGCCGAAATCCTACGACCCATCCTAGCGCGACGGACGTCGCTCTTGGATGCGGCATCGGCCGCCTCCCGCGGCTGACGGAACGAAATTTGGTTCCTTTCCCGGAACGCCGCGAGAGAAGTACTTTCGTTTCTCGGACGCGTCGACGCTTCGACGCTAAACTCCGATTAAACCGGTCGCTCGTCCCGGACGTTTACGAACCGGAAGATTTAGAGGAGCCTCGTCTTCCTTCTGCTTCTCGTTCGCCATTCTTCGGCTCGTCCGATCGACCGGTTTACGGTTCCAAAGGCGCTGCCACCTTCTCGACGCGGTAATCCGCCCCTCCGTTAAAACAGGTGACCGCTGCGTTTCGGCCGCCGCGGAATCGGGCGGATTCGGGCGTTAATCCCCCCGATTCCGGAAACGGGGGCTTCGGCCCTCGGTCGCCGTGGTCGTTAACCCGGGAAATTACCGGCGAAGCGGATCTAAATATCTCGTAAGGAGTGATTATCGCGCACCTCGGCGCTGGTCGTTCTTTTCGGGCCGACCGGGGCCGACTTCGCGGGGGAGGATCGCGTGGAGAATTATCGGCGGGCCGTTCTCCGCGAGGGACGACCGGAGGCGTGTCTTATCGGCGCTTTTTCCGGACGCCGCAATATACGATCTCCTATCTTTGGAATCGGTCGTGGGCGTCGCGCGTGTCGAGGGCTACGTCTCGTGAACGGAATTCCTCTTCCCGGCCGGCGCGCGACACGTGGATCGGACCGCTCGAGAGCGTTATTGATTTTCCGCTCGACGCGTCGCTCCGAAATAATATTTGGGACTTAAGGCGACGGTTTATTCGCCGTCACGGACGTTAGAACCCGCCGAGGCGTCGAGTAGCCTCCGGGTCCCGTAATGGAAAACATCGAGCGTCACGGTAAATACTCCAATGATTATTTATTGGTCGTTCGATCGGATCGCGAGAGAACGGAGTGGGCGGAAATTCCGTAAGGATCCGTCCAGCGATCGTTAGAAAGCCGGTAAGGATCGTCTCGAGCCCTCGGGTGGCCGTTTAATCGTATTCAAACTTATGCGAGTCGTTCGGCTCGATACAATGAAATTTGTTCCGCCTCCCGAAGCCGCCGACGACGCACGAGAGGTACGAGAGGTACGAGAGGTACGAGAGGTACGAGAGGCCACGGGCCGCGCGAGTCGTTGGAACGTCAGAAAACGATGGAGAAACCGCGACAGGGGACGTAGGTCGATCGTTTCCAATCTTGGCCGGACCCTCGCGTTCCATCCCCAGGAGACAAGAACGAAACGCCGATCGGGCGCAAAAAGGGCTCCCTCCGGGAAGACTCGCGCGTCTCGCGTTTTACGACATCCCCGCGACACGATTGGACGGAGCACCGGAGAAATAACATTTTTTCCCCCCAATCGAGTCCGTCTCGAGACATCCGAGTTCCTCGTAGCGCGGCATTCCCAGGAGTCAGGAAACGACCGGATCTCTGACTTATGTACGAGTCGACGGACTCGCTCGAGTCGGTCGTTTTCCGGTACGTCCTCTTCCTCCCTGGCCGAACGCTGCGTCGGACGCGTCGGTGCGCTGAACTCGCGCCCGCTGTCTGACGGAGGAAACTCGTCGAGCCGTGCCAATCCCGTCTTTATTAATATTTATACAGTGCCCACGTGGCATGACGCTTTCCACGCGCATTAACGTCTTCTCGGGGTGCTACGTTAAAAGTCACGGCAGCTGCTCGTTATCGACGTAATCGTGCCTCCTCGCGCCGCGTTTGCTCCGGGACCGGGACCGGGACCGGCACCGGCACCGGGACCGGCACCGGCACCGGCACCGGCACCGGCACCGGCCGAACGAGTCCGAACGCGCGATCGAGTCGCTGGAAAAGCGACGAAGAAACTCCTCGGCGGTCGGTGTGCCGATCGTGCTCCGAGGAGTCCGGCTCGGTGCTCGTCCCGGTGGACACACAATGGGCCTAAATACCAAGAAGCGCTAACGTTTCACTAATTGGAAAGGAAACGAAACAATGCGCGACCGCCGTCCGACCCTGGGCAGCCCGAGGTCGCGATCGGTCTCCTCGGTATTCTTTCGGGATCGTAAAAAAGGAGATCTCGTTGACGCGCGCCCGCAATTACGGCCGAGACTCGCCTCGTCATTTTCTGCCTTGCCGAATCGGCCGAGACCGCGATCGTAATTACGGATCCTTTGGGTCAAAACGGCCAAGAAACGTCTGCCATTCAACCTATCGACAACGCCGACATCGAGTGCGGAGCGGACCCGAGCGCGCGCCTCGCGAGTCAATTATCGAGCGTGAACGCGGCAAATGTCCGTCGCAACGACGGAATTTCGATCGAAACTTTCGCGCGTACCTAAAAAGGGGCCCCAAAAAGTCGACGAGACCCTCCGGACTCTTCCGTGATCGACCCGACGCGTAAGCTCGCGCGATCCGCGACCCGCCCGAGGTATCCCGTCGCGATCGGAATCCGGGATTCCGCCTCTCTTTATGCCCGTTCGATTCGGCGCGAGAGCGCGCGCAAAAGGAACGAACGCTCGGCTCGTTTTCGCGTCTCGTTAGCGCGAGTGCATTTACCGATACGGGACGGCGTTGATAAACGTTGGTAAACTCGAGTCGGGCATCCTCGGGTGCATTTTATTCGCGTCACGTGACTCGGGCGACCCGCGAGGAAAGATATCGTCGGTAGTCACGCTTCCGATGGACCGAAGAGTCTCCGGAGGGAGCCGGCATGGAGGGCGATCCGCGCTACCATATGGGAGCCGCGCACCTATCGTTAATTCACTCGTTAATCACGCCCGGCGTGCAGTGCGTAACGCGAGGCGAGCGCGGGAACGCTTAGGCCCCTGTCGGCGCTTTCCGCTCCTCGTTCGCGTCGAGCTTGCGGCGCGGCTCGCCGCGGGTGGGCCCCAAAACGCGCGTCCCTCCCCGCGTCGGGGACGCTTCCGCGACCCTCGTCCTTGCCCGGGCGTCGCCGGGCGTCGCCGGCGGAAATCGAGCCGAGTCCGGCGGCGAGTCCCGACCGCGACCTGTGGCTCCATACGGTAGACAAGCCCGGCTAAGTATAGCTCGGACGTTGCAGCCGTCGCTTCGTATGAAGTGCAGGGTCCTACGAGGGGGCACGGTTACTCGAATGGCGTTCTACCGGCGAGCGCGGAGGTCCCCGAGGGAGAGGGGCCGCCCGGTTAAAAATTCCGAGCCGCCATTAGAACGCGATTAAGGCCGTTTCATTGGACGGCGCGTAGCCGAAACGAGAGCGCTTAATTCGATGGGCGCGACGCTCGTTAACGAGCGCAGCGATCAAAACCGGGCGCCTGCGATTAAATCGCGCCGTTCGTCGACCGTCCTCGCGCTTTCCTCGACCCGTATTTTCGCCTCGCGTTGCCGGCCGTAAAAGGAACCGTGCGAAAACTCGCACCGCGCCGACGATGAATCGCAACGAGAAATCGAGCCGGTCCGACTCCCCGTCACCTAGGACGACCGGGGGTTTCTCTTCGCCCAGCTTTCCGCCGGGGTTATCTCGGAATCGAAATTACCAAGTCGGCGCCTCCTTCTCGAAAGTCCGTTTACCCTCTTCTCGATCGGTATCTCTTTTCGCGAATCGCTACTAAAATCGGGCCCGACGATTTAAGCGTCGGGGACGGTCGAAAGATACTCGCCCAGTCCGGTCGTGTTCCGAAGCGTTCACCAATCGAAACGGTTCCCGAAGGACGTTCCAATTAACATTTTTTCGCCGTAACCGAGCTTTGCCTGCCGTTTAAGCGCAATCATGCGAAGCATGCGATCAACGGGGCTCTCCTCGTATATTGAAAATTGCTCCGGCCCCCGTGGTGCCGACCCGAGCGCGATCCCGACGAATCCGACAATTTTTCTTTCCCTAATTGACAGGTTTCTCCGACGCTTCCGATTTATCCCCCAATTACGGGCGGAAAGAGGAAAGCTGCCTCTCGCAGAGAATTGCCCGTTCGAGCCGAGGTCGGAAGTCGCCTCGATTTCGTCCCGAGCGCGAGGGCGGCTCCTCTGCCCTCTGGTCGCGGGCGGATTCCGCCCCTGGGCCGCGCATTCGGCGAAAACCGTAATCGGCCCCGACCATTGCGCGCGCGTCTCCTTTACGGTTCTCCTCGCACGGAGGCTTAATGGTCGCCGTTACGACTCGCGCCTACGGTAACTCCCGCAATTGCCGGTGTGACTTCACAAAACTCGTCTCGTTGCAATTTTCCGGGACGCAACAGGCGGCTCTCGGCGGTTTTTGTCCCGAGAGTCGCGCCATATGGCACGTGTCGATACGATCGAATCCCGCTCCCGCGGGAGACGTCCCCGAACCGGGGCGAGGGTCGAAGAGGCGCGAAGCGGCGCGAAGCGGCGCGAAGCGGCGAGGAACGGCCACGAGTGAACTCGGCGAAGGTCAGCGCTCGCGAGTTTACGCGAGTTTACGCGAGTTTACGCGAGGTCGGACCGCGACTCCCCCGCTGCCCGGATCCCGGCCCCGCGCGCGAGAGAACGGGAGGACGGAAGAGGATCCGATCCAGGCAACTGGATCACCGGGGCGCGGCGCCCGCGACCGACCCACCTCGATCCTAGCCGAGAGCGCTTCCGCGTTCTTATCTACGGGCTATCGCTGGGTGGCTTACCTTCCATTCGTAGAATCGGCTCCTCGGGCACTCCGGCGTCGATCGGCGCGTCTCGGCAGTCCGCCTCGATTCCTCTTCGGCACTGGTCGGGGCCGCTGCTCGGTCTGCCCGAAAGCGCGGAAACAAAGTGACGACGCGCGCCGCCTCCGACCGAGTCCGCCGCTCTCCTCTCCCTCGCGGAAGGGAGGGCCGAGCCGCTCCGCTCTACCTCGGCGAGGCGCCCTCGCGGACGCGCCCTTCCCATCGGCGACGCGGTCGGTCCCGGCCGCCGCCGGCCGACCTCGGGGGCGATCGCGAGGCGATCGCGAGGCGATCGCGAGGCGACCGGGTGGTTGGTCCGAGCGGCGTGGAGGTCGGGTGGTTTGTGGCCGCGAGACCGCGGCCCGCGAGCTCTCCTCCTGCCCCCTCTTCCTCGCCCCTCCGATGATCTATCGCGCCTCTACCCTCTCCCCTCTCCCCTCTCCCCTATCCCCTATCCCTAGCCTCCTCCGCCCTTCGGGGCGCCGGTCCGGTCCGACCGGGAGCGGATCGGACTCGCGCGGATTCCCCAAGGATTCCCCAACGATTCCTGAAGGGGGGCCGAAAGGCCGCGTTCCCGTCGTTTCTCCGGATCGCACTCGCGAGGGAAAATTGCGCTGCTCGACTTTTTCCCCGTCCCAAATCGGCGGGAGCAATAAAATCGTGGCGCCGCCTCGGTTCTTAGAGGAGCGCGAGGAGAGGACGGCGCAGGCATTACGCGCCGTTTCCGGAAACACCGGAGAATAATTGCGAGACGCCGTTCCATCGGCGCGCGCGTCGTTTTTCCGCCCGTTCTTTCGTCGCCGTTTAGCCAGATTTTTGCGCGTTCGCCCGTCTTGCAGATCGCGCCTCCGGGCTCTGCCGAGTATCCGCCTCGCCGATAAGTTTATTCGACGGATCGCCCAGGTGCGTCGGTTCCTTGCACCGGATACTACCGTCGAGCGTGACGAGGCACGCGTCGTTTGCGCGTCCCTCCGTGCAACGCTCCGAGCGAAAGACGCACCGGAGATGCGGCGCGGTCGAAGCTCGATTCCCGGGTCGATCGACTCGGTAGATGGGTCGCGCCGCGGCCCGGGAATCGTTCGAGACGTTCCGCCAAACTTGCGGAACGCGGCCATCCGCATCCTCGCGAATCGCATTCCGCCCTCTACCGCGCGGGGCGAATTCGAGATGCGTCCGTAAGCGCGACGAGGTTAACGGGAATCGCCGCGATGACGCTCGAGGGAACCGTAAATCGTCGGCTGTTTCGTCGGGCGCTGCCGGAGTTTTCCCGCTTGGGTGGCGGAGGAATCCGGAGGAGTCGCCGAGGCCCGGCGCCGCATCGTTCCGCAAACGGAACCCGCTCTCGCGACCGCGAACGGACCTTCCGGCCGGGAAGCAGAATCCGCCACCCACGGAGTCGTCCCCCGCCTTCGTGCGGGAATTCGGCGCGGAGATCGGCCGAGACCTCCGACGTTTAATTGCCCCGAGTTAATACCCGCTCCCCGCGTGCTCGTTTGCGGGCCGAGAAAAATATCGACGACTCCGCGACGCATATCGCGATACGATCGGTCGAGCGCGAGTGGCGCTCGAATAAAACCCCCTGGGCTCGGAACGAGTCGAACCGAATCGAGTCCCGCGGCCGACGCGCGTTGCCTCGTTAAACGCCGCTATCGCCCGATCCGGTCCCGTCCGTCCCGCGGGCCGATTCTACCCATTACGCTAAACGCCTTCCTTTCGTCCTTCGCCTTCACGGGGTGTAATCACAATTAGCGGCACGTGACTCGGTGGCGCGCGTGCGACTCCCTCTCGGAGGCGCGAACCGACGACGACGACGACATCCCCGACCTCGGGCCGCCCTCGAGCTCCTTCGCCGCGGCCGGTCCCTTCGGAGGCGTCTTAATTCTGGAGTTTAATGGCCAGTCGGACGTTTTCATTTCGAAGCATGCTCGAGGAGTCGCCGGGACGTCGCGGGGACGTCGAGAGCCGCGTCGTAAAGGAGACGAGAACGGCGGAGCCTTCGAAGAAGGACGGCCGGGCCGCCGCGGAAGGGAAGGGAAAATAAAAGGGAGAAAGGACGGACGGTTCCGCGTCTCCGCGCCGTTGCGATATTGACACGGGGGACGCACACGCCGGCTATAAAATTGACGTAGAGACCAAACGGTAAGCGAACCGTTCGCCGTTCGCCGCGGGGACGGAGACGGATCGAATCGACGAATGCGACGTAGCGGAGGGAACGTATCCTTTTCATGGTTCGTCGTTCTCGTGCACCCGAGTCAGTAGAGTATAGGCGGAGTACGAAATCCTCAAGGTCTGGAAGGAAGAAAACGACTCCGAATTAATCGATCCCGATCGCGCGTGGATCGCGCCAGGATCGAGCGGACATCCGAGCAAGGAGCGAGGCTAGCGCTTACGTTGATGGCCGTGGCCAGCGAAAAGTCCCCGAATCGCCAGATTTTCATCGTCAGAGGCTTGTTGGCCACCATGGCCGAAAAGATCATCAGACTCTTGACCGTCGGACTCGGGTCCCTTTCCCAGCCGGCCATCCACTGGCTGTCGATGACCAAGGAGCTCTGCGAAACCGGGAACGGAGACGTTAAAAGGGAACGTCGCCCCCCTTGGATCCTTCCTGCCCAGGCTTACTTGGTGAGTTATCCGGTCGCTGATCCAGCAGTAGCAGCAAATATAGAAAAGGGAACCCCCGTAGTAGGCCCCGAACTTGAGGAAATTCGGGTTCCGGCCAACGTTCTGAAACGAAACAACCGTCAGTCCTCCCGAACGGCCGGCCGCGACGGAAGGCGGATTCGGACCAGAAACATCTGAAAGAGCGCGATGCAGTTGATGACGCTGACGACGACGAACTGCATGCAGCCGATGCCGCTGTAGACCTCGTTGACCTCGGCGACCGACCGGAGGACTCCCTGGTGACGACGCACGCAGGCCTCCAGCCGCGCGGCCAGTCCGCCGCCGACCGCGCAGTCCTCGAAGCGCAGATTCAGAATCTGCAGTCTGAGGACGATCGAGGCGTAGATCCTCGAGAAGAGGTTGTCCAACATGTCGGTCGCCAGGACGTCGACGGTGACGACGAAGGCCTGGAATCCCAAGACCAGGGATCGGTTCCAAGGGTCGCTCACGTCGAACGGGTATTTCAGCTCGACGGGCACCAGAATGACGAAGCCGACGACCAGAGCGACGGCGATGATCAAGGTGAAGTAGAAGATGGCGTCCGTTTGGAGGAAGTAGCGTCTCATGAGTCGCAGCTCTCGGCGATCTGAAAGGGACGCGACCGGTGAGCGGTCGAGAAGGAGGCGCCAAGGGGAAGCCGTCGAAAATGCCCGCACCCGCCCTCTCCCTGATCGCGGCGACGCAGCCGTTGGCCTCCTCGACGAGTCGGCCGATCTTTCCACGGTACAGGTGAGCGTTCACCGTCTTCAGGCAAACCATCGACAAGCCCATAAGAATGCAGACGTTGTCGGTACAGGTTATCATGTCGTCTCTCGAGTCGTAACACTCCGCTACGGCGAGCACGACGACGACCAACTGCGCGGCGAAGATGACTCTCTTGTAAAGAGAGTACAACCTTTCGTAGCACCTCGGGGTGTTCGGCGGCACCTCCCAGAGCCCCGCGTACCTGAGGAGGGGCAGACGTAGGAGACGTTCGGCCGAATCGGGAGACCGTCGACGGCGGGCTGGCCTACCTCAGCACGGCGATCTCCCTGCAATCCTTCATTCCGATCTCTAAGCGGCGAGCAGGAGCGGACGGCGGTGCGCGCTCGCGGGACGAACCGTGACTCGCGATCGGCCGACAGAAGACACCTGCGCCTATCGGGAAAAACACGCGGAATAATGCCTCGAGATTATAGAGTGGACGGCCGTGCCGTTAGGCGCGGGTTCCGATACAATTTCCTATCCTTGGGTAAATTGCACGTAACGACGCGATATGTGGCGCGACGCGTGCCATGCCGTCCTTCTCCTAGGATGATTTCACATGAATAATCTCTCGAAAGGAATCGACCGTTGGCCGCCTCGGGTGGAAAGTCCGCCGTAGCTCCCGCGCGAGAACCAAAAGCGTCGCTGGATCGAAAAGGAGAGTCGACGGTCCCGCTGGGCGACTCTCGGAGGTGCGAACGAGCGATGTTGGCGCAATTCGAGTTTGCCGCCGGTCGGTCCGAGCCGTAGAGCTCTCTTTCGCGCGTTTTCGAGGGAGACGAATAAATCTCCTCGTAAATCTGGGATTCGATCGAGGCGGCATCCTCGTTATAAATTTCTCCGGGCTTGGCGTCGCGATTGTCGTACCGTAAAAAGCGTTAAGAGCACACTTTCTCGCGCGTACCCAATAAAGTTACTACCTCCCGATGCCTTTCGTAGGTGCAATAAAGCGTGCAAGGATGAAATAAAGGTGATCCTTTCCTCGCACGGAATGCGAGGGGTCCGGTCGTAACATTCAAATTCGAGATCCGCCTCGATATTAATCAGTTCCGCAAAGTGATTACGCGTCGTCTTAAAGTCCCGAGGACGATTCGACGCGAGCCGTCCGCCCGTTTTTTTCGGACCTTTACTTTCCGCAAACGGGTGCACTTAATTTACGCACTCGACTCCTTTCAATTACGCGCGGAAACTACCGAGGGTTCTGAATTATTCATGAATTGCTAATTACTTACGTAGCGCCGATATAATCGGACTTACCAACCCTCGGACTCTCCACGAGAGACACGCACGATGGCAGTTTCTCGATATGAGATACGACTCTGGAAGAATGACGATTGCGTTGAGGACAAACGCGTATCCTACGATTGTTGATCGTTGAAAAATGGAAAATGAAGGAAAAAAACTTCCGGTGCCGGGAATCGAACCCGAGCCTCCTGGGTGAGAGCCAGGTATCCTAGCCACTAGACTACACCGGAGTTCTTGGACGGTACTTTGCCAAAACAACCATTTATACTTCGATATTATGTCATGGATTTTTAATTAATGATATTTTCTTGGTATTCGATTAAAATGTCCACGTTCGTTTTAAAGGAGCGTTTATCAGAGTTGAATCATACGTTTAAATGAGGTCTAGAGAACAAACGCTACAGGTATGTACATTTGGGTGACATTACGGTTTGTCACTTGCATGTACATTCTCATTCTTTTAACGGGTTTAAAAAGCAAAGAGTTTGACGGAAAAAAAAAAAAGTTGTCAGGAGTGGGATTCGAACCCACGCCCTCAGAGAGGACCAGAAAGCCCGTAAAACTCGGCCAAACCGAGAAGGTTCTTATACCTTGAGTCTGGCGCCTTAGACCGCTCGGCCATCCTGACTTGTGTTCGGGATTCCTGTTATTCCCATTATAGAGTAACTGCAAAGCAATAAAACAAATATTATATATTTCTTGAATACACATTGGCACGTATGACGATATTTTTCTAGACTTTTAGAGTCGTAGCGGTATAGATGTGACATTTATTCAAAAAGCGTTCAAATGACGAATATCTGAAAGACTACTCAATGTCACGAGTGAATTACAGTAAACGCGAAAAAAATCGATATTTGTGTTTAGAAATTGTCCATAGACGTGACCATTTAAACGGTGAAACGTAAAAAATAAAAACTGTTTCCGCCCGGGATCGAACCGGGGACCTTGTGCGTGTGAAGCACACGTGATAACCACTACACTACGGAAACAACTGATGTCTCTCTCTATTTTCTTGTATCTTAATACACCTGGTATAATAAACGATCGATCACCAACCCAAACTCAATGAAACCGTGAAAGTTACCGCGAATCTCTTGAATGGCATCCCTGCTAGTTAGAGCGATCCAGAACAAAGATATCCGCGTTACCTATCGGATCGGTGGTAATGACACCGTTAGTGAAATGACGCGCATTTGACGTGTCGCCTAAAAGTAGACGATTCTATAGCTACGAACGTCAGTTGCCATCGGCAGGACCAAAAACGTGTATTAAACGACGACCACGTATACGTTATTACGTAGCAACGTAATACCGATGATTACGAGGCGGCCCCGAGACCACTTGCATCGCCAGAATATTTAAACGGTCACCCCTCCTTTCTCACCTCCGCATTCCTCCTCTAACCAAGACCCGCGACCGTATTGCTCTATTAGCATTAATCGACTCCGACATCTTCATAAGCTCTCGACACAGCGAAACGAGTCGCTCGTAAGAATTTAAGGGAGGCAACGATATCGAGAGGGCTCGCTCCGAATTTCCTCTCCGATCCGACGCCGCGAAGCGTTCCGTTTTTCCCGTCGGCGTAAGAGTAACGTGTCTGGCTTTAAGAGCCAAGTGGAATGCGGCGAATTCGTCCAGATTTCCGCGAAAAGTATTCTCTTCCTTAACCGGATACTGGTCGCCTTTGAAAGCGGACTCGTGGCCTGCCTACACGTTTAATGTTAGAGTCGCCTCAAGGGACGACTAACCGGTAGAGACATTAATGAACAATATAATGAACGCGCGGAACGATAAATCCCCGCGTTTGTCCCGGGTAAAAAGCGCGAACCCGCCGGACCGCGCCCCGGACCGCGCCCCGGACCGCGCCCCGGACCGCTAGGCAAAGGAAGACCGAAGGGGCGCGCGTCTTTTGCGAAAGCGAGACCGGAGGCTCGTTGGAGTCGAGCTTCTTATCTCTTTTTTAAAGAGCCGAACGAGACCGCGTTCAACCGAAACGTCGGTTCGTTCACCCATCCTCGAGAGGGAGAGACGCGGAGCCGTCTTGCCGCGACTTAAGAGATAAACGCAAAAGCAACCACGAGAAACGACGGAAACGTCAAAGTCGCGGACTTTGTAAGTACCGCGAGGTCCGTTATTAATTACGAAGGTGCGTTTCGAGTCCGCCGTTAAATAAAAAATTTAGTGAGCAACTGCGAGATCTCGCGCTCGGCGGGGGCACGCGGGGCACGCGGGGCAGAGTCGTCGCGATGGCGAAAAAAATGTACGTGTCAGGAGGGGTAATGATGGGTCCTTTGGGCCCAACATGGTGTCCGGGGACTCTTAATGGCCGAATTATCCGACTCTTTTTTCTCGGCTCCTTCGTCCGGTAAAGCCGCTCGGGCGCTGGCCTCTTAATTCCCGACGCGAGGGGTTCGCCTTCGCCGGGGAAAGGGTCCTCGGAAAATCGCCCTCGTTGACGGCGATTTCTCGAGCCCCGCACCGATGCGCTCGAATTCTCTCTTCTCGGTTACCGTGCTCGGCACGCGGGTAAACGCCTCGATTCTCCCACCTTGGACAGATGGCTCGGGTCGTAACTTAACCCGCCCTTCCGAGACCTCCGCCGTCGCGCCGGGGGGTCGTCCCTTTTACCGGCTCCGGCGTTATTAATGCCGACTTTTCGGCGTTACCCCTGCTCTCCCAGCAATTAAGACCCGCCGTTGCGGTATTTATTCCAGTGGACCAACGGCCGGTGTCCTTGGTCCTTGTCCTCGCGAGGACTCACGGGATGCGGGGATGACTCGCTTAAAGGAATGTCAATTTATTTACAAATACGCCACAATAAATAACGCTAACAACGAAGGAGCGACTACGGATGAACAGGTATCTCTGGACTACCTACCCGAAGCTGTCGAGTCCCGCGAGAGTCCAATTCAACCCCCCTTCGGGACGTGAACGCAAATCGAAGTCGACACTCGGGGGCAGAGTACTTCGTACTCCTTGAAGCGTCGATCGCATGCTTAACCCCTGGGTTGCCCCTGGGTGGCCCCTAAGTTGAACGCCGGCGACACCGAATAAATCAGGATCGGATTCGCGATATCCTTTGGAGGCGGGCTCCCGGTCGAGTCCACGCGTTAACTCGCTCGCGAAAGAGACTCGACAGCTCCACAAGATCCGAGTGGGATCGGACCCTCACTTTTTCCTCTTCTCGCAGTCCGTAGTCTTCTGAATGATCAGCTTGTTCCTCTGCCGAGTGACTTTGGTGGTCGGTCTAGGAGCGGGAGGGATCTGCTTCAAGCCCTGTTGAGGGGTCCTCGCGGGGCTCGCGGCCCGAGGGGCGATCGATCCTTTCAACAGAGCCTCCACGTCCGCCAAACGTTTCTTTAGCGTTCGGTTTTCTCTCTTGTGCTTGGCCAACTCGGAGTCCTTGTCAAGCCGTTCGTGACCGGAACTACCCGTCTCTTCCGCAAAATGTCTGAACATGAGATGCAGCTTCTCCTCGTGCTCCCTTTGCATCAAGACGATCCTCCTTTCTGCCTCGAGTTTGGTCTGCTTCAGAGCGTTTGTCAGAGTCTGAATGCGCCACTCTTGCGTCTCCACGTGACTCTCCAACTCCGCCGTCTGGATCTCTAGGCTCTTGGAGCTCTCCTTCAAATCGATTACTTTCAAGAAGTATTTGTAAAAGAGCGTTCTCATCTCGCCGTCCGATAACTTGGCTAGGCGCTCCATCAACATTCGCTCGCCCTTCTCTCGCTTTGCCTTGTTTTCGTCAAAGTCTTTTCTTCCGCAGATCATTTCGTTTTTATGTTCGATCATGGCGTCGATAGCTTCGATCGTCTCTCCGCACTCCAATAATTTCCTTTCCTCGACTGTCGTCAAAGTCCTTTCTTTCTGTAACTTTTCATCTAGGTCACACTTCTCCTCTACCAAGCAGTCTCTGGTGCGCCTTAAATTTCTTATTTCGTGTCGCAGAGCTTCCTTTTCGTCGGTGTCCGCGGTTCGCTCCAAATCCATTGATTTCTCTTTGAGAACGTGATCCAAATGAGATATTCTAGCACTGACTTCGAGTAGGTTTTTCTTTTTGTCGGAATCGTTCCTCGCTCTAGAGTTATTCCTTTCGTCTTCGCTCTCTGACTGCATTTCTTTCAGCTTGGATGCCGTCAGATTATACTTTTCCTCGAGTTCGCGAATTCTCCTTTGGTCCTCCGCCAGTTCGTCCTCCAATTGTTTTTTACGTTCTTCCTCTTTCCTCAACTGTCGTTTCAACTTTTCCATCTGTTTCTTAGAAGAATTAAGGGAACTTTCGAGCTCGAGTACTTTCTTAGCCGAATCGCCAGCAATTTGTTTTATCATCTCGATATCCATTAGCCTCTTCTCGTAATGTATTGCCATGTTCTTGTACAATTCGACCTCTTTCTTATGGGCCGACGTGTCTTCGAAACCTTTGTACAAAGACGCGTTCTCCGCTTGAGCCAGTTGCGTCCTCGTATTGTAGTACTCCTCTTCCAGTTTGTTCCTCTTACATTGAAATCTCTGCTTTGCATTAGCCCTTGCGTCAGAATTTTTTATCATGTCTGCTATAAAGCGTTCTTTGATTTTGATCGTTGTCTGTAGCTCCTCGATACGCTTGTGCGCTCCTTCTAGATCCGACTGAATTTTCTTAACTCGCGTCTGCTTTGCCTCGTTATTTAATGCGAGGGTTTTCAATGTTTTCACTGGTTCCGGAACCTCGGTCGTTTTCAATGTGTCTATTAACAGATCTGGAGAGTTATCCGTTTTCATTCTGGCTAAATTAACATTGGCGACTCGACGATCCGATTCCCGATTATCGGAGATCGTTGCTTCCGTCAGTTCAGTGATCTTCACGTTATAATTTTGATCTTGACAAGGCTTCAAAGTCCCATTAAATGCCAAAACTTCGTTACACATGTCAGATCCAGGAAGCATAGAATTTCTTCTAGAATTTGGGTTTCTTATTGGAATAGGTCTTATAATGGGTATATAATCGTTATTATTATTCGGGGGTTTTTCAAAAAATGGAATAATCGCGATATTAGCCCCTTTAATCTCATCTTTCGTGGAATCGATGATTTGGTCCGTTTCCGTTTTGAACATGCTCATGCATTCGTCAAGCTTTTCCAAAAAATCAGGATTTTCGGAGCTAACGTCGCTTTGATCCTCCTCCTCCTCCTCCTCCTCCTCCTCCTCCTCCTCCTCCTCGTCCTCCCCCTCCGACTCTTCGGTGTCAGAGGTGGAACAGCATCCGGATCCATTTATAAATTCTGCCTGGTTAGCAGACTCGTCCGTTTTTTCATCGGTCTCTGTTACCTCTTCGATTCTTTCCAACGACCTGCGTGTGTTCTCGGTAAAGCCATGTAAACTAGCTGTGTCGTCGCTCGCAATGCATTCTTCATACTCCTGCTTCATGCATAACCACTGTTCGATTTGATCTTGCTCGTTATGAGTCAGAAGATTATTTGACATGAGTTTATTAAAAAGACCTTCGGCATTTGAAACTAGCTTGGACCACTGAGCGGCTGCAAATTCAAGACGAAATAAATCTGCGCTAGAACTGCGTTCCCCCGATGTGGCCGATGTTGTTGTATCATGCATGTCATCGCCGGTTTGCTCGCCTTCTTCGTCATGCTGTTCGCTCCTCTGGCGATAAGACAATACGTCGTCGATATAGTGAGAATAATATCGTTGATTATCCAACATTCCTTGATGAATCCAAGGCCCATAGTGCATCATATTAACCTCTCAAATGCGTGTGTAATCGATTCCAAGGGATTCCCGAACAACTAACGGATTAAACGTTAATACGTTAACAAAAATCATAAAAATTAAGGTATCCATTTCAAATATCCAATGCATAAACAATTCATTACCTTACTACTACTGTTTGTAACTTGGTATGAAAATATCCCACATATTACTTACTCTGTACTATCTGTTCAAGGTGGGCATGTATAATCCATCTCGGTGTTTTAAAGCAAACAATTGAAGAAAGTCAACTTTTTTTTCAAAGGTCACGCATCATAATTCAACGTTGATATTAACGTCTTTTGGGAAATAAGGAAGTCTTTAAGTTCCTGCTTATGCGACAACTGAAGAGGCTTCAGTCATGTTAGAAAATAAACACTAAATTTCTATGGTGGCTGCAGACTGCACCTTTTAATATGTTTTAACAGCTACCTGTATTCAACTGTATTCTTGGTAGCTACAATTGGCTACAATCAGCTACAATGCAAGGACCGTGGCTATCAGAGATGAGTTGGCTATACTCTCTGCTCATCTCTCCTACTCTGAAGTTGTCTGGGGCAGAGATGAATTGGGAGATTGCTCTCGGGCAGGATCGTGCGATTCCATCCTGTGCTGCCCTCTGGTTTTGTACGTTAGCTTTCACCGATTTTTGCCCCAAAGGGCGGCGCAACGAAAGCGTGCAGTGTCGGTAAGCGTAGGTAAGCCACCACCGTCAGCTGCCGCATTGTATTACCATCACGGGTACGTGAGCCGCCAACGGCAACTGGTAGACGGCACCGCCATCGCAAGTGCGCGAGCTCCTATCAGAAATTCGTTGCGCCGCCCTTTGGGGCAAAAAAACGGTAAGAGCTGACGTACGAAACCAGAGGGCAGCACACGATGCGATCGCGCGACCCTGCCCGTGAGCAATCTCCCAACTCATCTCTGCTTCTTTCTGGTGACCTACCAAGTAAGTCCTGTCTGTAAATGCATAGGCTGCCCATTTGTCCCACCGAGAGCAGTACGTAAGAGAATCACTCACTCGGTCCGTGAGCACCTTCTTAACTTATTTCTGGAGCGCAGTCGTCGGTGCGGTCCATTTCTTTCTGTACTTCTTCAGGTTTGTGTGCGGTAAGAATTAGCGATTTTCTCATTTTTACACTTTTGGTGCTATTACATAGAAAGCTAATTAACTTTCATGAAAGTACTTATTTTTCTTATAGTTTGGCGCGTGCTTCAACCATCAAAATGGTAGCCCTAAAAAAACAGGTAATGAAAAGTCTAACCTTCAAGTACACGTGGAGAAACGCGATAATTATTTCGTCGTAGATTTCGACTTATAAGTTTATCGTTATAATGTGTAGCTTTATTTTTATCACTTTCTTTTGCATGATATTTCTCGTGTCAATGATTGTATTTGTATATGCAGAAAAAGACCATGGAGGGTATCAACTCCAGGCTGGCTTTGGTCATGAAATCGGGGAAGTATGTCTTGGGGTACAAACAAACGCTCAAGTCTTTACGTCAGGGCAAAGCCAAACTTGTCATCATCGCAAACAATACCCCCCCTTTGAGGTGAGGCTGAGATGTAGTACTCCTGGTTATAATATGTGCGTAACAAGGAGTTCTACGGAGTAGTCTCAAATCCATATATGCTATGCGGACGCAATTGACCGAATTACAGAAGGAACTTCTTCTTGTGTTGCAGAAAATCAGAAATCGAGTACTATGCCATGTTGGCTAAAACAGGTGTTCATCATTATACGGGCAATAATCTTGAACTAGGAACTGCTTGTGGAAAATACTTTCGCGTGTGTACTCTTTCTATCACCGATCCAGGAAATTCTGATATAATTAAGTCCACTCCTACGGGCGATCAAGCTTAAGTATTTGTTATATGAATTCATCTAAAAAATAAAAAAAATAAACCTTAATGGAATCAATTTGTTTTTATTATTTAAGTCATTTATTCCTTTGGGTAGACTGATTACTTGGACACTGGTCATTTACGAAAAAATTCACTTTTCGTTTATGTTAAACTAAAAATTATTTTCTTAAATGAAGGGAGATTTGTGTTAATATGGACAATTAGCTGTAAATATCCAATACAATATTTTATTTCGTCCGATTTGTACCTTTGTAGATGGAAAAATAATTATCAACATTAATGCAGTTCCCTTGCATTTACTGAATCTTCTTAGGCATAGACGTGGTTGGACCTAATATTTTACGCCTCTGAGCAAACATATGCAAGTACATTTGTGGGAAAACTGTAAAAGAAAACAATTAACATTTTTTTTCATTACTAATTATTCAATTCTATGAATAATATTGCCTTACGTGGAATATATAGTAGCATAACTGCCAACAAAAACCAGCGGTAGTTAAATGTAAAATTCCAAGCATTAGGTAACAAATAACTCCATGCATTTGGATTAATGCCACCGTACTTCTGAGCTGCATAAAAGCACAAAAGTTCACCCGTTACGCCAACTGGATAAAGTATGATAAATGTGGTATACCTACAATGCAATTTTTATTTTACTTGGATAAGTGAAATTGAATTATTCCATCGGTGCGATCAATTGTCCCCTTGAATCTGACACAATTTACTTACCTAAGCCATGTAACAAAGTAAGGTACATATCCAATGAGATTTAAAAAGTAATACATATATCGAATAATTTCCGTTATCGACCAAGCTGTAAGAGCTAGTGGAAGGCCTGGAGAGGCAGCTGCATAGGTAGATGGTGTCGCTAATATTACTGCACACACTACAACGACTCTACTTAAAACTTGAAATGTTGTTATTAAAGGATTGGAAGGAACTAATCCCGTTGCCGAATGGATTATCTGAAAAAATTGATGTTTTCATTAATTAGGAACTTGTCCTAAAATTGTTATATCATAAAAATACACGAGAAAAATTGAAGTCCTGATGAACTTTTATTTAAAACCCTGAATGTCGTGTTCACCAGAATCTGACAATTATATCCGAGTGATTTAAATGTCAGAAATTTTAACAGCCGATATGCAAGCTACGTTTAATGTTGGTTAGCATTAAAGATCAATGAACTACCTCTAATGCAGCAGCATTTTGAAATACAATTACATAAGGTTTAACCGTCTCCCATAAACTAAGCGACGTCGCACTGTCATAATGTATCATCAAATGTAATATCACACTCCATCTGAAATTAACAGTGGGCTCGTAGATTATGGTATTAAATGGATCATTAGTTTAATCAATTAATATTTCCTGAGTGACAATAACAAGCCATAAACATTCATTCGTGCACAAAAAGATGGAACAGCTTTGAAAGCGGAATGAAATAAAAAATATTTGTTGAATACTTCCACCTGTACAGACATAATAACAAATAATGTAATTTAATAGTGCATGTACTCACCCTAAAACCTGGATAAGGTTATAGGATCGTAAATAAAATTTGGCCAAGACGCCTAATTCCCTGGTTTTGTTGCTTGTGCTAGCCATAATCGGATGATACTCGATAATGACCCCGAGCTCGAAGTGGCGAATGTGACTTCACGACGGATTAAAAATGTATATAATTAGCATAAGGCCACGAGGATCAGGGTGTCCGGTTTGTCCATGGTAATGCAAAAGTGAGGTTAGCACGATGATCGTTTTTATTTGAACCGTTGGCGATGCCTGGCAATACCGCTGCGTTTCGAGGGGCTGGGAGGGAGCTCTTGGTTATGATTAGAGGACATTTATCCCAGAAGATCGCCTCTTGGCTGGTATGCAAACAAGTGCGAATTACGTACCGTCTGAGAAATGTACAGATTCAGGACTGGAGTTAAATTATTCGGAAGAAAATTCAAATTTGATGCCTCGATCACCGATCGACGCTCGATCGGTCGAAGTAGCGCCCTTATTTACGGAACTGAAGTGGCTGCGGCAAAATTGAACGGAGTACCAATCGTTGCTCTGGAATCAACGATACTCACTCATGGAATGCCGTATCCCGATAATTTAAAAACTGCTTTAAAGGTCGAGGAGATAATCAGAAAACAAGTGAGCCCATTTATTATAGACGCTTTTATACCGGTTGTAACTGTTAGTTTTTTATGTTGCAAATTACTTCATAAGATGGATGGAGCATGGTTGACATCCGAACAGCGTCATTTACATCTTTTGTAATTATACTTTAAGTAACTCTTGTTTTTCAGTAAAACTTTATGCAAAGATATTGATTAATACCAAAGCAGTTTCACTCCTTTCTTTGCCCGTGTAGTGAAAGGATTTTGAATATTTTCAGGGGGTAGTTCCAGCTACTATCATTATTTTGGAGGGTAAAGTGCACATTGGAACAAACGAAGAAGTCTTGGAAAAACTATCAAAGAATGAATATGGGCAAACCATAAAATGTTCTCGTAGAGATCTTCCATGGGTGACTTCCCAGAGATTAAATGGTGGTACTACTGTCAGCGGTACAATGTTTATCGCGAAAAAGGCTGGTATTTTCGTTATGGCGACTGGTGGAATCGGAGGTGTACACAGAGGTGCGGCGTCTACGTATGACGTGAGTGCCGATTTAACAGAATTTGGTAAGACACCCGTTGCTGTTGTGTGTGCCGGTGTCAAAGCCATTCTAGATATCGCCAAGACATTGGAATACTTGGTAAGTTGTAATCTTGCAAAATTCATCAATTATTAATGAATAGCTATTGCTTTCGGTTCCTTTTTTCACAAAAAAATATAGCTGTTGCAATAATGAAATATGTAAGAAATAAGTTTTTGGGAATAAGTATAATATTAATAATGCAGGAAACTCTGGGAGTTACCGTTACGACGATAGGAGAATCGGACAAATTTCCTGCATTTTATTGTCACGAGACAGTAGCTGAGATAAAATCTCCTATTAGGGTTTCAAATGCACGAGAAGCAGCGGATATGATAGCTGCTCAGTGGGAATTAGGTCTTAACACGGGGATACTTTTGGCAGTTCCGATACCCAAGGATCAATCCTTGAATCCAGAGATGATAGAATCCGCAATTCAAGAAGCTCTTATGAGATCTCACGAGAAGGGTATCATTGGCAAAGATATTACTCCGTTTCTTCTGAAGGAAGTTAGCAAAATTACAGGAAACAAATCTCTTCAAGCCAGTGAGTATTCGTGCAAAAAAATGATTTCTTATTGTTCCACCTCGAATAAAATTTGAAAACTGAAAATTTAGGATCGTAATGAAATAGATCTTTTGAAATAAGAGTAATTATGTATCGGATGTCTTGTACTTTTCTAGTAATTCCATGTTCCGCATGGATTGTATCGTTAATCTAATTTATGTTCTTGGTTAATGGATTGCTAACTTTTAGCGAGCGTCACAGAAATATTTCACGTTTGTGTTCGCAGACATGGCTCTTGTAAAGAATAATGCAAAAGTGGCTGCAGAAATTGCTTTACACCTTGGTCAAATTCAAAGCAATTGTTTGAAAAATCCACCAGCAGATGTTTCTCCTTCGAGACAGAGTCCTGTAAGTTTAATAACGTTTATAATATTAACACAAAAAATAGGGTTATTTGAAAAGTTATTATAAAACATTACTTAAAAGTCAATTTGTAACACCGTTACTTCTAAGCACCTTCTACCCTTTCTGATTATCACAGGTAGTCATTGGAGGAGCAACACGCGATACGGTATGGCAAATACAGGAGTCCGAGATAAAAGTAAGTTAAGTTTTAACGTCAGTATTATACTAAATAACCAATTTTCCTTATATTCATAATTCATGGTAGTAGCATAGTACGTGTAACAGTATTTACATACAATTACGACTTCATAATATTTATATACACTTAACGTTAATACAAACCAATGAGACAGTACGGGGAAGAGTGATATGTACTGACTGAAAAAGTGAACGGAACAACAAACGGTATCTTAACACTTTTGAGTGATTATACAGTTTAAACAATTCCAGATGAGCCAATTCGATATACGTGCAAGCATTTAAATGGCTTATCAGCAAACCTAATTTTTAATAACCGGGAATGTACGTACGTACGTTGTAAACGTATCAAGCTTTACATTCGTTACCGCTGGAACTTTTAACAATTAGTGCGCACAGTGATTAACACTATTCCCCAATACTTTTAACGCGATAAAACCTAATAGGTCTGTCGTATCACCGAATAAATAAATATATTTAGGAATTCAACAATACGATAATTCAGTTTTAAGCAGGCACTATTCAAAGCTCCCTTTCTCGTTTTTCTCTCACGTTCTCCGACTCGTCGATTAAGTAGAGCGATTACAAAGTTCTAAGTGATGAAAAATCTCCTTAAAACGGTATCGCCTAATTGTTGATACATTGTTCGAGTATAGCGTATAGTTACCGAATGAATTCGTTTCCATTAGAGAGGGGTTCTACGTATTTTGTCTTTGCGTTTCAGTGAAACGAAGGTACTCGTGTTTTCTTCTTCATTACGTACACTATTTAAATGTACGAGGAACTCTTACAGCTTCCCTTTATCCGCGATTAAGAGAGAGAGGGAGACAGTCAACTAATTCATTTCCTTCCATTCCGTATTAGCTGAAACGATTGAAACGTTCACGCGAAACAAAATTTACTCCTTCGAATTGATTTCAGCAAGCTGTCCACCGCTCGGTCAAAAGATTAATTACGACTGCCTACACGATGGTATTCAACTAAAAAGCTGCAATTGCATTTTATGTTTCATCTGAATCTAATTTAAGCCTGTCTTAACGATGCCTGATACGAGGGATATGCGACTCAGAAATTACTGGCCGAAAATGTAACGAGTATAGTTTGTTTAAAATACTTGTTAGCATCAAAACTCGTCGGGATCATTTGCGGACTGAATCGTAATCGCGGACTTTTGATTATCTAAATTGAATCGATAGGTGAAAATGAACGCAGCACTTTCCTTGTATGCTCACAATGGATTTATCCGTGCAACGATACGCCGATCTTTGTTGCCAATCCGTGACTAACCGACATGGATAAATCGTCCATACCGTCACGAGTTAAGAGATGCAGTTGCACCATATTCGCCCAACGCGAGAGCACTGTCGTTGAACGACTTGGCTCTCTTCTACCTAAAGTACTTAAATACAAACGATACGGATAATAATCATTGTACATAATAGTCTTGTATACGCGCACTGGCAGAGGCTGCAGGACCACGCGAGGTGTAAGCTTGGATATCGTATCATCGACTATAGTCATTACGGGTGTATTAAAGGATTTCGACTTCGACGGCCTGAATAGGAACGAACCTGGGAACGAAAAGAGTCCGGATAACGCTCGGTCGAGGGGAAGTGTACGTAAAAGTATAGTCGACACTAAGAGATCGCTGCGCACGTTTCTCGAGTATCGTACCCTGTTACCCATTCCGAACGATCGGGGATTGTTCCAAGCCACGTCCGAGTTGCGTTAGGTATTTACGTTGTCGTCGTCAACGGAGACTGCAAGGATCGGCAATGTTTCTTATCGCGATGGCTTTCGTTGTCGCTACAAACCGGGTCGTTACTCCTCGAGAGAAGTTCCTAAAAGTCATTTTGGCCGTTTCTTCTACAGGCGATCGGGCCTCGATGCCAGCTACCGTTAAATACTATTTACAACCTACCGACGAACTTATCCGCTGCCTTGGCATTTGCATTACGTATTCCTATGGTGATACACTTAAACCTAGCTAGGAAGCCAATTATTCTCATCGTTAACCACCGTTACCCGGGCGTCTCCTTTGAAATAATGCACGGCATGAATTAATACAGACTACTCGTGCTATGCTTCGGCACCGGTTCGATAACGTTTAAGTTACGCAGGAAGGGTCCGAAGGGTCCTCGGCGATGGGCAATATGCGCGGACAACGTCTCGTTCTTTTGATCGCGTTAGAGCTGAATTTCCGATTGAAAACGGACGACAATTTAGAGGTGAGAATCGACCTGGCAGTAGTATCTCACAATATCCCCTTGTAACTATCGTACCTAGTAATATCGTACTTAGAGTAAATAGCAACCGTATGCTTTGGTCGTGTCGCGCGTAGTTAAACTTTTCTGCTAAGACTTACCGAAAGGAAGATCTCCCTCGTACATTGAACTTTGTAATTTCACGAGGTTAAAAGTAGCAGCGTCGTGCGTCCGACCGAATCCGGCCGGGACCTTCCGAATCGGTCTAAGGGGAGCTTGGAAGGAAACGGCGAGCGCGGGTACTTGGACGACGGTGACGATAGTTACGTTACGTATCACTGTGACATACTACGAGTACATTGTGCGGACTGAATTCCCGCGGGACGCGGCGCGCTCCCCCTCGTCGAGCAGCGCTCTTCCTCCAAAGTCGCGTCGCGTTACGTTGTTCCCAGGAAAGCATGTAAAAACGCTGCCGTTAAAAGAAATCTATAAAAGTTGGTCGACCGCTCGGGGACGGAGAAACGAGAATCCGAGGAGCGCGGTCGCGAGGGGAAGCGACCCCTTTCGCCCAGTCTTTTCGACGCGTCCGACGTCTCCGACGTGTTTACGCTAGATTAAACTCGCCCTCGGGGATCTTAGCGTACGTACGAATTTTAATCGGTACCTGCTCGCGGAGGTAGGTCCCCCCTCCCGCCCCGTTGTTGGCTCCGTCCACGGGTTGCACAAAAGTACAAAAGATACGTGAAACTCTGTGCGCTTTTGTATATGCTCCCTCTCGAGGTTGGGGGCAAGTACGTGTGGAGTGTGTGCATACCGGGTGCGGCGACGGCTTGCCTTTCCCGGTCGGCACGTTCGCGACATGGGGACGAATCCTGGAAGAACGGGCCGACCGGCCCGTCGTCGGCACCGTCCGCTTCGATCCGGCGTTTGCGGCCGAGGAAAAGAACCTCTCGCCTTTGGACACGCGGCACGGCTCGACTTGGAATATTCTTCCCAGCAGCACGAGTACTCTGTATCTAAGGAACGGAAGCCGCTACGAATCGCGGCTCGTTGGTTAGATCAAAACGGTACGAGAGTTAACGCTAATCGCTGGAAGTGCGCACACCGTCAGGCAGGCCTGGGTCGGGCGGCCCCGGTCGCCCCTCTTGGTCTCTGGATTAAAAAAAATATCTATCCTTACTTATGTACCGTCGGTCTACCGGGCCTGCGGAGGAAGCGGTTCCAGGCGCCCTTCCACCAGCTCCACGGTCAGGTGCGCCTGCCCTGGGTAGCGTTCGCGCTGGCCCCCGGGCCGGCGCCGTTGGACAGCAGCAGCCTGCGGTTCAACTCGCGCATCTCGTAGTTGTTGTTGCCGTTGCTCTTCTCCCGGGTCCCGGAGTTGTGGTTCGTCGAGGTGGGCGTGATCTCCTCGAGGATCAGAGCGCAGTGGCTGTTGGTGTCGCTGTCCGCCCCGCCGTCCTGCAGATTGCCGGAGAGGAGCGGGTGGCGACCCCCGCCCCCGTCGTCGGCGTGCAGCAGCAGCGTGGCGTTTCCTGAAACCGAGGTTACCGAGGTGAACGGGGTCGGACCGTCGAGTCGCCAGGGGGCTCGGGGCAGAGCCTACCGGAAGGGAGCGCCGAGGCGTTGGTCAGGGTGGAGCGCCTGGCGATGCCGCCGTTGTTGACGCCGTTGTTGACGCCGTTGGCGCCGTCCGAGAGGAGCTGGGGATACTGTTGAGCGAAAGGGGCGACGGCGGCAGCGGCCACGGGGGGAGGAGGTTCCCTCAGGAGCCGTATCTTCTGAATCATCTCACGGATCTCGTAGCGCAAGATCCCGAGAAAGCAGAGCTTAGTGAAGGCGATGACGCAGAAGCCCAGGACGAAGAGCAGGTCCGCGGTCCGGCGCAGCCACCGGGCGAGGGTCTCGTCGCAGCCGCGCGGGTGGGGCGGCTGGCAGGGCTCGTCGCTGAAGTTGCCGGCGGGGCCGCAGCAGGTGGCGGGCCAGCGGCCGCCGCCAAAGTCCTTGGGCCCGGAGACCCCGCAGCAGGAGAACTCCCGCTGCAGCCGGTCCCACTGCTCGCTGAAGCGCGGCTCCTTGGCGTAGTCCGAGTGGAGGCGCAGCTTCAGCGCGGGCCGCAGCTCGGAGCGCATTCGCTCGAAGCGGAAGACCCAGGCCACGCCGATGACGGCGTCGCCGCAGAGTAAGGCCAGCAGGAGCAGCCAGTAGGCGTGCAGGAGGCGGGCGCTCAGCCTCCGGGCGGCCACGCAGCCGAGTAGCTGCACCAGGCCCAGCTGGGTCGCGAGGGCCAGGTAGGCGTAGAGGGCGGTCGGGTCCAGGGCCTTGGGCACTCCGGGGATCAGCTGCCGGCGGGGGTCCCCCGAGAAGAGGAGCGTCTTCGAGACGGCGGCCGCGAAGCCCACCGCGCTGCCCAGGAGCACCACGTTACACGCGTAGATCCAGAGCCGGTAGTATCGCATCGCTGCGGCGCTCTCGCTCGGTCCAGGGCCGCCCTGGGCCCCTCGGGCTCGCGCCCCGCTCCCCGTCCTCGCGTCCGTCGACGACCCGAGGTACGCTGCCACCGACGACGCTGCCGGCGGCGGCTTCGGCGAGCTGCCGATCGTGCCGATCGTCGCTGCTCTCGGGCTGCTCGTCGAGTGGGGGGTGACCGTGCGTTCCAGCAGCATCACCGTCATGCTACCAGCCCGGCCTCGGCGCTACCGCCTACGCGCGACCTCGGAGGGCTTCTCTCGCGGGTCGGGCCTCGCTCCCGTTGCCTTCTGAAATCAGCCGAACCCTTTCATTCCGTCCCGCGGAAGTCTCCCTGGAGTGGCTCACGAACGAGAGGACGAGAGATCACGGTTGTTCCCGGAACGGCGAGCGATCGACCGCTCTACCGAGGCTCTCCGTCTCCGTAATTTCCCCTCGTCCCTGGAAAAGAAGCTTTTCCCCCGTTAGAAGCGAACGAGTGTGGCTCGCGCTCGTATTTCCTTCCCTAAGCCGTACTTAACTCTCCTCTCGTCTAAAGTGCCAATTTCCAACGACAACCGGCGTGACCGTATTGTTCGTTCCTCTTACGAATCGCGAGATTCCGCTTTCTCCGGCCAATGGTCGGTTAAGGAAACGGAACGGGTACCAGCCGGCGGCGCGGAAAGCGAGCCGAGAGGAGACCGAGAAACGGACGAACGCTCAAATTACGCGGATAATGTCGTGCGCTTAATCAGCGGCATGCCAATTTCCCATAGTAACGAGATCGTGCGCGCGGTCGTGAAGTCCAAGCGATTCCATTTCGACGTTCGTTAAAGTCCCGACGGGTTGCCGAGAGACGGAGACTCGGCTCGAAACCGTGCGCGTTCAGTCGCAACGTCCTAGCGTGCAATAGGCAATTCTATTATCGATCTACTTCCTAGCGAGTTCCGGACTCTGGGACAGCGAGAGCGGGCTATATCGCCCAGGGTTCGTGCACGTTGCATTCGCCGCGATCCCTCCGTAAGATTGCCCCGCGAGCATTGCGTGCCCGCCGCGTTAAATGCTCCCCTACGGATCCGCGGATCCGCGGATCCGCGGATCTACGGATCTACGAATGCCGAGATACCACGGCACCCGTTCAGCGGGCGCATCGCGCGAACCGAGGTGGGGAGGAGCTACGTCGAGAAGGGTTGGTCAAGGTCGGGGCAACCTTTTCTTTTCTTATCTTTTCTTTTCTTTTCTTTTCTTTTCTTTTCTTTTCTTTTCTTTTCTTTTCTTTTCTTTTCTTTTCTTTTCTTTTCTTTTCTTTTCTTTTCTTTTTTCTTTTCTTTTCTTTCCCCATCCTTTCCTCCTTACGCCATCAAAAGTAACGCCGGTTTATTTGGAGATACAAGAAATTCGTATATTTTTCCCCGGCGCGACGCCGAGGAAAGCCACGGAAGGGAGACACGTGGGAGACCTTCGACGGAGTTTACGTTATTTCGCGCGGAATAATGCCGAGAGTCTCGAGACCGTTGCTCGAGAAGGATAGGCGCGATAAGCCGTGCACTTCGATACGGCTTCGATGGCGGGAAGGAAAAATCGTTAAAGATAGACGGCCGAGGCGAGGGCGAGAGCATCGTTCGGAAACCGTGTCATTTAACGTTTGACGGAATAGCGACCGGCCCTTGCCAATTCTCCCTCCCTTTCGGTTTCGATCGCCCGATCCGTCCCAAGTGCCGGCACCATCTTCCCGGTGTAGCGACAAGACCTCGACGCTACCCTGGAATCGCGTTACGTAACCCGGAGCCGAGTCGAGCCAACCCGACCTTGCGCGAGGATTAATCGCAGGGCGGGCTCCTTCTCTTTAACGAGGCGAGCGAGGAGAGGACCGGCGGAATCGTGACACGCGACACTTACGGCCGTCGTTCGCCTATTCCCGAAGGACGGGCCGTCGAGTAACGATTTCCCCGGCTTCCCCGACGCGGCCTTGCCAGAGACCCTCGATCGCTACGACGTCGATCCGTTTCGAAACCGGGCCGTTTCTGGCCTCCCCGCGCGACTGCCCCGGAGACGGACGGGCGATATCTTCGTGTCCACTCGAGGCTTTGCAATTTCCTGCCCGTGATAATTTGTCCCCCTCGAGACTCCGATTCGCCTCCCCGCGGCAAGGATAGGGTTTCCTCCGGGGTTCGAGTCGGATCGGACTTGCCAAACCGAGGAAAGCCCCGTCCTCCCCCTTGGCCGCGAGCGACGCGTTCGCTTTTAATATCGATCGTCATTGAGACGATATCCGGGAGGAAGCGCGGTTAAGGTTCATCGGACCGTTCAGGATTAACGTTTACTCTTGCCCTTTTTCCGCGGCCGTCTACGACCAAGGGCGTCCTTGCGGCGTTATCGGCTCGAATCGGACTTTTCGAGAAGCCCCGCGACGAATTAGCGGGAAGAACGAGGATCGTTACTTCATAGAGGGTCCAAAAGGGAGCATTCGCCCGGCCAGAGGCGAGACTTACCCTGGAACCGGATGGCGAGCCGTCAGTCCGGGTCGTCAAGTCGCGTCCATCGGGTCCATCGCGACGCCCCGCTGCTCTCCGGACCGAGTTCGAGTCTTCCTAGCCACGGCCACCCCTCGGACCGGCCCGCGCGGGGCCGACCCGATGGACCCGGACGGTCTTCCTCGAGCGAGCGTCCCGAGGTGCTTCAACTGGATCTCGACCCTGTCGGTCGGCCGCTCATCGCTCCTGGGTGCTTCCGTTCGTTCCTCGGGGAGTCGACCGCATCGTTCCGCGGAGCTTAGGGTCCGGCCCAGGGACCACCCCGAAAATACGGAGTCCCCTCGGCGGCAGCGGGGAGAGGGCCGAGGGACGCGCCGCGGGACGCGCCGGACTGACCGAGTCCGATCCGCGAGGGAGCAGCGCCTGCTTCCTCGGCGGTAGCTGACGTAACTAATGTCGCGGAGCGTGCGCACACCCCTCTGCCTCGGAGCTGTTCGGACATGCTCGGACATGCTCGGACCTGCCCGGACCTGCCCGGACCTGCCCGGACCTGCCCGGACCTGCCCGGACCTGCCCGGACCTGCCGGACCTGCCCGGACCTGCCCGGACCTGCCCGGACCTGCCCGGACCTGCCCGGACCTGCCCGGACCTGCTCGGAGCGGTTCGAAACGCCTGAAAACGCCCGCCGATGTCCCCTGACTGCTCCTGACCGCCCCTGACCGCCAATCAATTTACCCTCATACGAGCGGTGCGATCCAACGCTTCGAAATGTCGGCAATCTCGCGTGCAAAATCATGTCCAGGGCGTAGCGAATGTAAAATGCTTAATTCCCGTCCGATCGAAGCGACAAATTGCGACCGGAGAAAACGAGATAAACGGGGTAGGCTAAGTTTTCGACTCGTTTCGATCATCGTGGCGGTGTTCCGAAAGCTCGATCTCATGTCGAGCGAAATATTTGCGGGTCACTTTCTTCTAATTTACCGATTCCGAAATATCGCGATTGATCGGTATTCCACAAGTAATTTATATAGAATCTACCCGTTGAATCGCGGTTGTCATTTGTGAAATCGGCAAGTCGGTAGCGTTATCGAGCCACGGTTTCGCTGCATCTTCCGCCGAACGGTGGATGTCGCGCGAAATCAATAATCACCTCTGGTGTGTACGCGATTGCAAAAAATGATGTCTGCTTGAATAATCGATTTAATCTTTTCGGTGCAGTTTGATGGAAGAACTCATAAGGGTTTTGGCCGAGAGAGCTGCGGCGGTGTGGCTCGTAACGTAGCGGCTGCTCTAATCGGGCTGGGGATAACGGGGACCAAACTGCTGTCGGTTGTGGGCAATGACGGATCAGGAAAAGCAGTACTCGACAGTCTCGGTGGAAGCAACGATACGTTGCGGGTACTGCCGGGTATAGAAACTGCAAAGTGCGTTCCTTCCAATTCTTATGTCATGTCGCGATTCGTTTATCGATTTCTAGATCATTCCGTCTTCCAGGTACATCGGAATAGTGAACAACGAAGGAGAACTTTTCTGCGGCATCGGGCACACGGAGGCTTTTGACAAAATTAGTCCCGCTTTGATCAGTGATTGTCGACAGCAGCTGTCGTGCGCCAACTTGATCGTTCTCGATGGAAATCCGCCACTACGATCGATTCGAACCGTAATAGACATCGCCAGAAAATCCAAGATTCCGGGTAAGTTCGAAACATTTTTGGTGTACTCCAAACTAATTTTACTTCATTTTTACATGTTGTAGAGAAGCATCGTTAACCAGGGTACATAAATATGTAGCTTAGAACCAAGGAAATGTTGTATAATTGTAGTGGCTATACGACATTTTTTTTTATTCGCTTTGTTGAAACTCCTTACGTTTGCCGTTCAAACTAGTACTTCGTTGTCCTAGTTGTACAATGCCGAAGATTAATCATCTTAATTCTGACTAATGCACAAGGTTTACCGCTTTAAGTTACATTAATTCACAAAAGAATCCAAGGCATTTCCTTAATTCCTAATTCTTTTTTTAGATACTGCTCTAGGCACGATAATACTTATTCTTTAATAATGATTCGATAAATCTATATTACGAAATGTATTAATTGCGTACAGGCACTTTGTGTTTTATACATTTTCTAATTTCATTTTTAGAAAATTTTACGGTCTGTTTTATTTTAAACTGATCGTTAGAAAAAAATCTTAAGAAAAACTTAGCGTTAACTTTACCTATAACTTTTTTTATAGCAATTGTTAGCATACTACTAAAACGTGAATCTAAAACGGACGGTTCGCGTTTTCATATATAACGTTTTTATAATGGACGGAATGAAAGATACGGAAAGGGCCTTGCCTTTCATGAGCTCTATTATAAGAGTAACAGACCCCTATAGATTAACCAAACACTTTCACGGTAGAGCAATTAGAAACTTCATTTATCCTGTTTCCCCTTTTCCAAAAAAGGTTAAAATTATATATAACCGCTGCGCTGCGAACCGTGATGACTTTGAGGATTTGGTTGCATTTGCATTACCAGATTTCTAGATTCCTTGCGTAATCTATAACCTGTTCGGGCATCTAAATATAAAAGAAATGCCCCCAAGGAATGAAACATGAAGGAAATAACTGCAAGACCGAACGACCACGACAAATAATTAAAATTAGGATACATCATCCAATCACGACGCCAACATTGTCCCCCAAAAATGGCTACAGCGAGAAAAAGTAAAACTCCTGAAATCATATAACAAAAATTAGAATTGTTTATTATTAATATATAACTAATGGTACTTTCTAGTACGTTGTATACATACCAGCTGAAATATTGCATACAAATGCAATGCAAGAGAGAAGCCACTCGTACCGTAACACAAATCTCAACGGCCATCTAATTACGATCATGGAAACAATTGTTTGACCCACAAAAGAGAAAATTAAGGCAAGCGTTACAAATGCCTGTACAGTCAACAGCCAGCCTGGTAACAACCATTCCCGGATGACATAAAACTCCTGGGAAAATACATGATGACAGCCATTGAATAATTTATCAAATTGCCAGGCTGGGTACCGAAATTCATGGAAACAGCATTCCCATAATCCCATATGTTTGAAATGACTGAATGTTTCCTGGTATGACTGGATCCAATATGGACTGCAATCATAATGATAAAGTAAAAAACTAAATATATATTTATAATAGCATCATGAATCTTATTGTATTTAAATCGTGATATTTCCTAATATACGTTAAATATATTTTCTTAGATGTGCAAATCACAGGTCTCATAAAAGTTTTCAACCGTTGATTTTATTTATAATAAATCATTATTAATGATAGTTTTTTTTATCATACCTGTGTTTAGAATGTTATAAACATTTTGATAACGTTCGTTGGCTTTTAAATGTTGATATCTTTAATATGAATTATTCCTAAGACGGTTGCTATTTATTTGCCATGGACAAATCAAATACAAACGACTATAGAGCATTCTCAAATATCAAACATTACAGTAACAATGGCTCTATATAATAAATGATTAACATACCTAGTAAATGAAATAACCAACAGCATCAGAGCCACATAGCTAATAATCCCACCAAAAACCACTGCATCTGTTAATTAAATTTATATTTGTAAATCAGTAAATTGAGGTTATATCCGGCGCGAGAAAGTATAACTCAATGATTTATATACATTACTTACTCGACGCTCGGTGATATTCTTGCTTTCCGGCAGTCATGATAGCTTGTTGCCTTTTATTATTATAACATCAATTATGAGTACATTCAAACTTGAAAAAGGATAATTTTACAGCAATTGTTTACCCATTCACAAGATGTGAAGAATATTACTAATGTCACCCGCCACGCCTTACCAAATCGCAGTGTTACCAACCCATCGTGTAACATTCTTTATTTCTCGCAAGATGTCACTTCAATTAACTACAGACTTCTACCTTACCACCTGAAAAAATGAAGAGTGACCATTCAAAGGAAATGTTTACTGAAATCGACAACTTCCAATCCAGTGATCCAACGTAATTGAATAAAGTCTTCTCTTCTTTTGCAAAACAGATTTGTCTCAACTATACAAAATTAAAAGACAATGTATTTGTTGTGCCTTCTGAGTTATTTATAATTCTGAAAACAAGAAAATCTTGACATAGTTGTTTTATTTGTACAAAAGTATTTCACATATAAATCTTTGATCATAATTTTGTACTTATTAATGAATACAATAATCATATTATCCAATTTAAAATATTGGTATTATACATTTATGAGAAATGTAACGTCATAGAAAAGGCTTTTAAAAATATTTGGTGTTTTATTTAAATCTATGATTGTGCATCATTATGCTATGTCTCTTTTCAGAAGGTAGATCACTGAAGATAGATACTAAATACTATTAACAATCAATAGTTCTAATCTTACAAAGCTTCGAACAATTCTTAAATATTTAAAATAACCTATGGACGGATGATGAAAAAGTCTCATATGGGATTTTATGTATATTAACAAGTCACGGATACTTGTGCAAAGTTTGCATGTATCGCAAAACTTGATCGTTAGATTGTTTTTCTCATTTCTTAATATTCAGGCACGAGATTCGAGTTGGAAGCGCATTTGTGATTCTTTTAGATAATCACGTTTTTTGCGCTGGACCGTAGCTTCAACTAAGAAAAGCAAACTAGTTATTAAAGCTAACACACTACCGATAACACCTATAACGAATGACCACCCAAAGAAATTGTTTTCATGACCAGGCATCCACCCGTCTGCATTTCCAAAACACGCAAAGATAATTACTGCCTGGCAGCCACTAATTCCACTGGCCAACAGCAGAAAACCAATTAGTAATATCAATTGAACGTATCGTTGCTGTTCGGGGTCGCAGCATAGAACAAACAATAAGATCAATCCAAAAGACACGAGACACAGGAGGAAACATAACGTGAAGAAGAACTGCGTGGCTATCATGAATGCTGGAACAAAATAATGCTTCGTGAAACCATGTTACAGTTATAACAAAGACCAGTACCTAGTATCGAAAAACTAAACACGTACGTGGTAAAAGAAAGTCACGAATATCAGAGTAGCCCGTGGTGAATGGGTCGTACACCCACCTACAGCCGACGAAGAAACGTCTAGGTGCATCGGCCTCTTGAGGGTTAGGAAGGGATCGAAAACAATGTTGCCAAAGGCCTAGCTTATTGAGTTGTGCCCCGGTAATTCGGGCATCGCTCACTAACCACGACGGAGTCCCGAAAGCGACGCAAACGCAGATCAGTGTTACCCCAAAGAGCAGCACGCCGACTTTACCGGAAAGACTTCTTTTCTGCATTGTTACTGAACCTCAGCGGCAACGATAGTCGTCACAAAATTAGAATTAAGTAAAATGACACGATGGATAAGCACAGTTTCAGTCAGACTTTGTCAGATCCCACGTTAACCACACCCAAGTACTCGTGCCATCTGTCACCACCGGCCGCCATATTGAAGGAGCAAGGTGCAGCCCAACCCAACCTCAATGTCTCACCGTAAACACTGAACCGTAATGGAACACGGCGTCGGGTCGAGGAAACGAGAGAGAACACTGTAGAACTGGACGTGCGCTTGCACGTCAACGTTGACTACATGTAACTGCACTAACGTGGGAAAACGGGAACGAACGCTTTCGATTCCTTTATCCTTACCGAAAGACAGCAGCTAAAGGCCGCGTTAATTAGTTAATTAAATTTCCTCATTTATTCCATTTCGTCGTTATACAATTTTGTACAATGCCATCCAATGCCATTCATTAAGCTTGACACTCCCATTTCACCTTCACGGATACGCATTTAAATGGAACGAAGAACGTAACGATACCCAGAGTGAAATGATATCGGAAGTGTGATAACCATGATTTATGCTTTCGGTCAAGGTCTTTTTTACGTATTTTATAACGCGTTCCAGTTAATTATGTATCTTATGAATCTACCTCAATAACGGAAATTGACTTCATCGATAAAAGCAAGTCGTCATTCGCACGTATTTAGCAAACTAAATGCTTTTACGCGTACGTCACCGAATTCAAATTTTACAACTTAATCCAAGGCTGAAGAAATCTTAGAAAATTTGTCGCTCTCCCACCTAAATACGTACGTTGTGTTTTTTATAACTTTAAAAATTACAAGACAAGGAAAATTGACATGATTATAAACCATCTTATTATTTCATTTTATAAAAAGGTACAATGAATGACAGAAACCTTCCTACGCATTGTACCTTTCTTTTTTTTTTAAAAGGTACATATGAAAAGAAGACACTTTGTATCTTGTTTTGTGCAACACATGCGTAAATATTATATGTACTTTTACTTAAATTATTCTTAATATTAATGGACGGAATACAAGTGCTATGGTCCCTTCTCTGACTTAAATGCAATATAACCAAAATTTAAATATGAATATCATTTTTTTTATAATCAAACTTTTCTGTTAACATATACATCAAACTTATGAATGTCTCATGGACAGATATTGCAAACAAAATTTGCAAGAAAAGTATGAAGTTAGAACAGCATGCTTGCCGTTGATACTAATAAAAAGAGATATCAAAAGTATTTCATACTTGCAATAAGAAGTGACCAAACGTATACAATTACCTGATACATATCAAATCAATGAAGCTATATAAGAATAATTGAATCTATGTATAAATATTCAATTGTGCTTCTGACATATTATGTACATAGTTTTCCGGAGATTACCTTAATCGACATAGATCACCTTGTCAATGCATTTCTTCAAGGCACTAATTGCTATATAAAAAGCAGATACTGCAATCAATCGGTGAATTATATATTAATGTGCGTTTTATGTTCTTCCCCCAGAATCCTTTCTTGCTTCTTTTTGAACCTCTTTCCTTCAGTTAAGAATAAAATTCCTGCAGCCACGAGTGTAAAACTGCCGATTACTGCCAAAGCATAAGACCACCCGATGTTATTGTGCTCCCAATTGGGCATCCAGTCCCGGCCATCTCCTTTCGCTCCAAAAATAATAACCGAGATAATACCACAAATACCAGCCAGAGTTAAATTCGCTCCAGTTGCCCACAAGAGTAACTGGTACTTATTGTGCTGCCGAGAGCAGCAAGTATAAAGAATAGTTAAGAAACCTCCTACTAGGAGTAACGTCATACACAAAGTAAAGAAGAATTGAGTCGCTACAAAGAAATCTGGTAACAGAATATCGTGAATTATGTAGTATTCTTCTTCAAAGACCCACCAACAGCTGGAAAATCTTGTATCGTACAAATGCCGTGGATCTTGGAATCTTTGGAAACAAACTTGCCATAATCCTGAAAGCCAAACGTTAGACACAAATGTTGAGATTATACGTATCGGAAAACATTATGTTGCTAATTCAACATGCTATCCCGTTTACGGTCGAATCTTTGATTTGTTGAATTATTTATGATTTTATGTTTGTTACCGTCGCAACTTGTGAATTTAATTACCTATCTTAATGAACCTGGGGTTTTCCAATTTGCCATCAGTCTCCAGCCAATTGGGTGTGGTGAATGCAATCACAACTAAAATGAAAGCCACGGCCGTGCAGGCAACGGCTACTTTTCCTGTTTTTGATTTTCCCATTTTCTCTTGCTATCCGTCCAATTAAAAATTTATTAAAGACACTTCCGCGACATTAACTCCTTTCGCGAAACGAAATAATTTGAGATTCTTGACTACGGTTGGCCACAATGCTAGTAGTGACGCTCTCTTGTTGCGCTGCACGATGTTTTTGACTAGAGGTTAAGTCACAAACTTCAAAGAGTAATGTTTTCAGCATCTTCTTAGTTTTCCACATTATTCATTATACAATATCCCGTAACCGAAACCATGGACTTCTAATAGTACGACGATCGAATTATAAGGTACGATGATATTTACATCTATAAACGATTCTTATTATTTTCAGTTTGGTACGAGCCCACAACGATATGCAAAGCGACTGCACTATTTGAGGCTGGAGATGAATGGAAGAATACTGTTCATTTTATTTCACCTAATGTAAATGAATTACTGTCAATAGCAAAATGTTTTAATATACACATACCGGATAAATCAGACTTAAGCATAGAAAGAATAGAGAAAATTGCAGAGCAATTGGCAGAAGACATTCCAGTCGTTATAACAACTTTAGGTATACAGGGTGTATTGGTAGGTTTTTCACTTTTTATTATTCTTCCAAGTTACTTTCATTTTGAAAGAAAGTAGTAAAAACTGTATAGTGGTATGTGACGAATACCATATAAAAATATTAGTTGACTTTGAAAGAAATTTTTCTGTGTACATTCAGACTCTCTTTTGTATAATAGTAATAATTTCTATCGTTAATTCTTTGCAGGTGACACGGAGAGGTTTAAGAAATGATCCTTTCTACCAGTCAGAATCGCTACTTGAAAGGGGCCCCCTACAATCCCATTTGTATCCTTCACATTTTAAACTTTCTGAAGACAATCAGCCATTGAGCGTAACTGGTTGCGGTGATTGTCTAGCTGCTGGAATTATTTGTGGGATTCTTCAAAATTTAAGCGAAGCTCATTGCGTTTCACTTGGTCTACAAGCAGCAGTTCTTTCGTTAAAGTCTTTGCATCCAGTGCCTTCTACATTATCTGAACTGCGAAACTTTGTCGATCTCATGGGGAAGTAATGTACTTGATATTTAAACTTTACATTCTTAAAGAATGTTTTTTAAATATAATTAAAGTAACATATGTGTAAGTACTGACCATTTATACTTTTGTATTGTATACTTATAAGTAAATAGCGATAAACCACTTTTATATTCATCTCATGATTTATACAAGTCCATGGAGATACCCTGGTATAAATATACTCGGTAACTATGCATTCTTCTTTTTTCTTTTACTGTGAACCTTACCACCCCAATCTGCTACAAATTTTGCTACGTTAAACTTTCGTTGACAGCCTTTATAATTCATATACCTTATTTTTCCAAATACATTTCTTTCCTTCCACCCTTGATCATGAATTCCACAAATTGACCACATACAGCCTAGAAATAAGAATTGAACTTATAAGTATTACAAACAGACATCACGTGCATAGGAAAATCTTAATCCGTCTCTTAAAATACAACTAACCAACGTATCCATTTGGATCGCATCCATCTATACTGTACTTGTCATTTAAATAAATAGACCATTCAAGAGCTTGCTCAGGTGTACGAGTCCATTCCAATATTTTCTTAGACCAGTACATTCTTAAAAATCCATGCATCTTTCCCATACACATCAACTGATTTTGAGCAGAATTCCATAAATCATCGTGAGTTAACGAGGCTTCCAGTTCATGTAAATCATAAATGTATTCTCTCTTGTCGTTGCTGAATTAACAATAACTTTTAAGATTCCATTCTTATTTATGTGGGTGCTACATATAAAGAAATTGCAACATAAATTAAAAACAAAGGTAATATCTTTTACGTGCAGTACATACCGGTGAAAGTTTAAAGTATCTATTGCCCATTTATTTGCTCCTTGTAAATTGTCATAATTTTCATTATAGAAACAAAAATTATCACTTAATTCCCTTCTGATAATTGCTTCTTCCATAAAGGCTTCAACGGATTGCTTGAATTTACATTTATACTTTTGCACTTCTATGATACACCGTTGAACGGATATCATACCAAAGTGAAACCACGGTGACAAATTACTAGTAACGTTTTCTACAGGATCATTACGTTTTAGGTAATAATCTTTTAAACGATCCATTAGAAAAGTTTCAAACTGGTTGATGCCTGCTTTATACCCAGGTGTTAACCAAGTAAGTTCAGCAATTGATTCTGCTTGTACATCATTTAGAGCAGTTTCCCAATTGATGTCTTCAAATTGTTCAGAAGCCTTATACGGATGCTTAATAACTGGGGGAAATTCGGTAAGAAACTGATCTATTTGTGAATTGATTTTGTTCCTAATGGTACGTGCAGAATATTCCAATTTGTTAGATGTAATCCAACAAGGTATAATGTTATGTGCATCAACCTGAAAAGAACTCTATCATAATGTAACAAAATAGATGAAGACATACCGTAAGTTAATGTCACGAATAAATAAATATCCTAATTACTTGACATATTGGAATTTCACAGGGAATCATTCCCTTTAAATCATTTATCCATCTGATTGGCAGTCGTAATGGAGAAAAATCTGTAACTACACCTCCAATGTTGTACTTGCTTATAAATTCTGCGATCGCTAGACTTGGCTCTCCATGTAGAAGGTGAAAATTTATATTTAACTGGTTACATTCTATTGCAACTTCGTTTAAACCTTTCAAGAGAAATCTATACTGTCTTGTTGTTGAACTTAAAAATTTAGATAATATGCAAAAGCAAACATGCAGAGGCACACGATTCTTTATCGCAATCTTTTGTGCGAATAAAAATGCCCAGTTATCTAAAAATTGAAACTTTAGGATTATCTTTATTTCCATTTTGTGTTAAGGATAGGTCGAGATGATCTTATAGATTATACAAAAAATACTGTACAAACGATGTACCCTGAACTCGAGCATCGCGAAACATCCAATACAAGATCCCTCTGCACTTTTTAGTCACTTCTTTGATGTTTGTTATAATTCTAATTCTTTTTTTATCAAATTTAAATGTCATGACAGATGCAGCAGCCTGTAAATGATATACACAATTTTTTGCCATTTATTCATTATGACATTACGGAAAATATGTTTCCTTACATTTTTTCTGTTGTTTAATATTATAGTCTGTAAAGTTGAAGTTTTTTGTTTTTTTATTGAAGGTTTTTCGTTCATCTTGTATGTCATGCACAATTTAAACAGCAAAATATACCGATGGATCCATTCAAATTAATTTCACTAAGTAGTAATGGGCAGTAATGGGACATCATGCGAGTGACAAGTATTTATGTCAATCATAAATTAGAAAAATGACAAAAGAAACATTACGACGATCAACTTGGGGGTCTATCACGTAAAGCAAATTGAGCGAAAATGTGAAAAATGAGTAGCTGACGGTATTATGGACCGTTTTTGGTGGTGATAATGCGAGATCATTCATGTGAACTGGCTCGACACAAAAGCGAAATGATGAAGCATGCAAGAAAAGAGAAAAATAAGCGCCGTGAACGCCATCTTCCACGGATTGACACCGAAATTCAAAATGGAAAACTTCCTGGGTTGTCTTGATTTTTGGCAATAATCGTATTCGGAGACGCAATAATAACCTCAAGAAGAAGAAGGGAATTACGTGATGCCTCAGACCCATTTTCATTAGAAGGAAGAGAATTTACTAGTCTGTATGGGTTAATTTTTGTTATTCTCTCTTTTGTATATCTCCTCGAAAAAAATCGCAGCCACTAGCTCGAGAGATCAATTTAAATCGAACATCCTTCCCCATCAAGATACTGTGGACGCAATTCGCATCGCGAAAAAAATTCCCAAACATCCTTTAACATATTTTAACATCTTCTACCAACAAGTGCAGCGAGCTTGATTTCGATTAACTGCCCATGATGATTTTACCAAAAATGGCTGCTTCCAGGTGATCCACCTAAACCTGCAAAGGGGCACAAAAGTACAGGTAAAACGGAACATTGAAGAAACACCAGTAAGTCGCCAGATTCTTCGAAGTGGCCCACCTAAAGCTGAAAGGGAACACAAAGGCGCAAACGAATCCATTGGGAAAGCGAGAAAGAGACGGTGATACAAAAGCTAATAACTTACTAAAGTTACCATTAAAGTCAAGAATGTTTCGCAGTGCATCGATCTCGTATAATTGACCAAGTAAAAATGTATTCAATTATACATTACTTGGCGTGACAAAAATCTAATATATTTATCTTACTTAAATGCAGATTCGAGAAAATTTCATGAAAACGATAGTTCACCGTCTCTCCCCGTCAATCCAGACAGAAGGATATATAAAAAATGAGAGGGACAACGTGGTGAAAAAAATGGATGACTGTCCATTCGAAAAAATGGAAGGTCATCGTAGTTGCCCTCTTCTTAAGGGGCCGCTTCGGCATATAGCCTCTTCGACTCTTGCAGTCTCTTCGGGCAGAGCCCCCTACGTCTCGAACGCTTGGCAATCCCCTGATTTGTCGGATTAATAATAAAAAAAAATCACTCGCGGGGAGATCTAAAAGCTAGCAAAGCGACGACCTGCGATCCGAGGATGCGCAGTCCGTTCGTATTGTACATTTATTCGATTCCCAAGCGCGGTCTAATTAATTTCAGTCCCGAAAGAAAATTTTTACAATCGCGGATATATCACAGGGTAGACATCCTCCGCGCTTCCGGCAGCGCGGACGATGGAAAATTACGCCAGGTTCAGGATCTCCTCCCAAACCCCCAGGAAGAGATCCCGCCCTGGCCCTGCCTGCTTACATCTGGACATTCACTCAAGACAACTGACCTACCTCCCTAGCTATATCTAAAAGAAAAAACACATTCGTTCCAACACACTCACTCCACGGTTCTCTCTCATTCCGCTCGGGGACAAAAAGCCTAATCCTAGGGACAGCATCCCGGGATGCCTCCGACCCCCGAGCTCAGTTGTCACACTCGTACGTTCCGATTGCCATCGCCGGTTGAACGAAAGAAAAATTAAATTGGTTCGCGGAATCGAAACGCGGACGGCAATCGGAGGAATTCACGATGTTACGGTTTACCACGTCTCCTGGCCCCGACCCGCTCGACTCGCTCCTGGAGGAGTCGAAGGGTGGAGGCCAGCAAAGAACGCGGCCACAATAAAAGGCACCTACCGTTGTAGAGGCTGAAAGAATCCTACTCTGATTAATTTATATATCGTTGAAACGCGCTACTGACTCTACTCGATATCAGAATTTCATAATTTTTCCAAGAATGAAGGCCAAGCCCAGCACGCACTACGGCCCCAGCGTAGTGGAAGGCTTGGCCGAAAATAGCTGAAAACCCTGAAACGTTCCCCTCGTCGAGGCGGCGGCTCTAAATCGATCAGGTACATCGAAGTGCCACCTCGACTCGAGGTCGGCTCCTCGCGAAATCCTTCTCCCAAGTCTTTTCGAAATCATTCGAAGATGTATCGCGAAACCGATGGCCCCGAAGTCGGAGGGTCGTCCGACTTCCCGGCGCATGATAAAGAAACGCGAAACGTATTCTACCGCGAACCCAGGAGAAAGCTATTCCTAGTCTAAATCAACACACAAGAAATAAACAAAGTTCACGCGGCCACTCGCGAGTCGGCGAGAGGTCACTCCCCGTCCACTCGCGGTCCCTCAAACAAATCATAACGTACAACCGATCCCCGTGCCGGTACGGACCTTTCGTCCTGCGACATGAAGGGATCGGAGGAAAGAAACGTTGAGACTTACCAACGGGACGATTCGTCTTTTTCTGGCGGTACTCCCCCAGGAGATCCCTCCGCAGAGACCTGGGGTTTCTGGCCTCCTCTACATCTGCCTCCCTTCGACGTTGGCTCTGGCTGCATTCCACCTTTGTGTCCGCTTCCACTGCTTTTGCTGCTTCCGCTGCATTCGCTGCATTCGCTGCATTCGCTGCATTTGCTGCATTTGCTGCATTCGCTGGATACGCTGCCTTCGTTGCCTTCGTTGCCTTCGTTGCCTTCGCTGCCTTCGCTTCCTCCGCTTCCTCTTCCTCTTGCTTCATTGAACGATATTATTATATTATAATATGAACGATATTATATTATATTATGATACGAACAAGTTTATATTAATCCTCACATACTCACAGTAATCACTGTATTCCACCTTTGTGTCCGCTTCCGCTGCCCTCGTGCCCCCCGCCATTTTCTTAATTTTCGACGACATCTTATCGCGACAAACTTTCAGGGGCAACTGGCGACCCGCCGGCCGGGCCGCAATCCCCGGCCGTGACCCGACTCCGTGATTGGACGACGTCACCGGCCCGATAAAGGACCGTGATTGGTCGATTTTTTTCGGAGGGGATACAGGGCTTGGAGTTTTTGTGAGGAATTCATCACTTTTTCAGCCGGTTCTCGGTCTGCCCAAAGTTGTAACAGGTGGCAAGTGCATTAGCTGTCTGCATCCTCCACCGGAGGTCGTACAGGACGCGGTCGCTCGATCCTTCCCGTGAGCAATCTCCCAACTCATCTCTGGCTTGTCTCGGGGCTAACGCGCGTGTTTATAAAAAAACTTTAATTCCAGCTAAACGTCACAGATGGCGACGTTGGTCCTAAACAGTCGTTAGAATAATGAATTCTCGGGATTTCGACAGTTTGACGTCGATCTCTTTATCGTCACTTTACCGAAATGACACATGGAACGTTTCATTTTGTATAATTCTCAACGTAGACTGTAAAAGACCAACATAAATATAAATGTCGGTAATGGGACGCGCTAGCTTATGTTCCCACTTGAGTGTTCAAAATGACGTTCCCACCAAAAAGGGTATAAATGAATTTTAATTGGTCGACGTCGATTAAATGTCTCAGCGCCTTTCATATCCTCTTAAGGTGTTCTAAAAAAGGCTAGGAAAGATCCCAACAGCGTTATAGTAGATGGATACAAGGTTCTCGTTTTTATTATTTACACCCACTCGTTCGCACCCTTTCCAGACACCCTCTCATTTGCATATACAAATCTCACAAAACATAACATCCTCGGTAAACGTACCATCGGCATCTTTCCCTATCTATTGACGAACGCGATTGAACGTCATCGGTACCACAGAAATCGTTATCCAGCTCTTTTACGGTCTCTTTTGTCGTACTCAATACCTTAAATTAATTATCGTCGCCTAACGCAAGATTCTTTAGAATATCGCCGCTCGATCGATTGTTTCGCTGTTATAAACGGTTGTTTAAGCTCGTATCCGCGGATTAGCATAAACCAGTCTCTTCTGCCTGCTTTTCAGAGACAACATCCTGAAGCGCGTGGAATGTAGAACAATTAGGCGCCTTGAAGATCCCCTAAAACGTCGGGCTACTCTTAACTATTTTTCTCGTTTCGCTAAAAATCAGAAAACGCCAGCTAATTCGGAATTCTTCGAGGACGTCGGATAACAAAAATTATTATTGAAAAACGTCGGACTACTCATAACAATTTTTCTCGTTTCGCTAATAATCAGAAGACACGAGCTAATTCGGAATTCTTCGAGGACAACGTCGGATAACAAAAATTATTATTGAAAAACGTCGGGCTACTCTTAACTATTTTTCTCGTTTCGCTAATAATCAGAAAACGCCAGCTAATTCGGAATTCTTCGAGGACAACGTCGGATAACAAAAATTATTATTGAAAAACGTCGGGCTACTCTTAACAATGTTTCTCGTTTCGCTAATAATCAAAAGGAGCGAGCTAATTCGAAATTGAATTCGAGGGGGCAAAGTCGGATAACAGAAATTATTATTGAAATTCGGAATTGAATTCGAGGACAATGTCGGATAACAAAAATTATTATTGAAAAACGTCGGGCTACTCTTAACAATTTTTCTCGTTTCGCTAATAATCAGAAGACGCAAGCTAATTCGGAATTCTTCGAGGACAACGTCGGATAACAAAAATTATTATTGAAAAACGTCGGGCTACTCTTAACAATTTTTCTCGTTTCGCTAATAATCAGAAGACGCGAGCTTATTCGGAATTGAATTCGAAGGCAATGTCGGATAATATAAATTATTATTGAAATTCGGAATTCAATTCGAGGGCGATATCGTATAACAAAAATAATAATTGACGCTAAAAGAATTTAATCCTCGTCTCTAAATTTTCCGAAGACCATGTTAAAAAATGTCCTTCGATGCAATCATATCAGGCCATTATGTTAAAACAAGAATGTTATCGCTTTTTTTTTTTCTACCTTTCAACTTTACTGTTACGTCCAATACATATAATACTGTTTCATACTTGAAATAGAAAGATTGAAAATACGCGATTCGTGTTCAGCTTTCATGTTAAGGTGAAAAGAAAGTGGCGCGAACTCGTTTATGAAACTTTTCTCCGAACTGTTTCAAAATCGACAATGTGAACATGGAAGGTATGAAGAAGGTCCTGACCCTCCTAAAAATTTCAATATTTTTAATTTCTTTATAGATGTCTTCGAAATCCTTTATAAAAAATGATATTTTATGAGTGCCAATTCCTTCCTTAAGGCCTCCACATTCACGTTGTATAGTTTGAAACGATTAGGTAAACTCATTTCAGAGTTTCATGAACGACATTGACTTCTCAGATGCCACTTTCGCATCCCTTTAAAGTGATATCAAAGTGTCATATATATACACACCAAAAAGTCAAAATATTTATAAACCTTTTCTCCAAATTGGGTGCACCGAATCATTAGAAACTTCATCTCGAGATTATGAAAGCCTTAAGGAAGAACGCTACGTTAGTGAAATTTCATTTTTTTAACAAAAATTCGTATTTATGTCGGACAAGAACCAAAAAAAAAACATTTTTTCCCGAAAAATGAAATTTCATAATCATCGCGTTCTTCCTTAGGGCCTCCATAAATCACGTGTTAAAATTTCAGATAATTCGGTGCACCCAGTTTGGAGAAAAGTTTTATGAACATTTTCAGGTTTTTATATATATATATAATAATCCTTTCATATTACCTTAACAGGGCACGTCACTCTTTAAAGTTGGTCTTTGTAGTGTGCAAAGTTTGAGTACCTCTTAAAAAGTTTCCAAATCGATCTTAATTAAGACTATTAAGGTGCAAATAACGACCAAAGTCGTTTCCTCGCTTTCACTTGAGAATAGTTACATCAGTATGAAACGACATGATTTGTTCCGAGACGAGTGATGAATGAGAATGGACTTTTTAATAATTGCAGCTCGTTAATGTAGAATCTTTCGTTGCTACTCGTTCATCGAGTGTACTTGACTGCATTTAAAACTGACTCCACATTACATGACAGACGAGGCACTGAATTTAATTTTAATATAAAAGACACCGTCCATTCGTGTAAAGCTTGCTACGATGCTTCATAAATAAGCTATAAGTTAACGTAATTTAGTTAGATTCATGACTGTGTTACTAACCTTAAGAAAGAGGACTGATCATACCAGAGAATTATACAAATTGTTTCAAAAGAAAAATTGAAGAAAAGGTATCGATTTAAAATCTCAGACGTTACACCACATGGAATGTGGATACACCGATTCCAACATGTCGCTACAAAATATATTGGTAGACCGCTATTGTTCTTTTAGGCATACCGAGTATGTAACGCATTCTCAATACACGAAAATAAAGGAAGTGAATGATCATTGTATGAAAAACGAAAAAGAAAAATCGATGCTGCTTAAAAAATGTTGGCATAACCTCTCTTTAGGTTTGAAAATTCGTTTCCCTCATCGATGAGCACCTAATCACTCTCGTACAATACGTACACGTAAGGAACACATATTTTGGCTGAGCCAAAACTGCAGTAGATTTTATAAATGCTTTCACAGTAATTCATATATACTTTAGCGTGTACAGTGATGCTCCTGATTCTGGGTCTTAAACGATTTGCAATCCGAGTCTATATCTTCCACCATTCATAACCACGCAACCGCACAACTTTAACATAGCAAATACATTTCGCATATAAGCGACATTCTTTGCTTCCCTCTGGCAAGTGTCATATAGTGAAATTGCCACTGAGCACTTTGTGTAACTTGTCAGCTTCCAGGCTTTTGAAGATCACATAGGTGCATAGTCCAACTGAACGGTAAGTTGCCTCACTCCGGCAGCTTGGAAGATCATTTGCGTGTGCGCCACGACGTATTTCGGGTCCACAGTCCTTGCCACTTCCAATTTTAAACATCCGACGTACACATCCGAGCATAGAGTCCAGAAATGTGGTTCTTGTACACTATAAACTCCAGCCAGTTGTGTCACTTTATTGTAACATTGGGGTAAAACGTGGTCCAAAGCCGCTGGCTGCCGTTGCATAAGTACGAGTACAGACTCCTTAATCAGAGAGAGTACACTTATAGCTATCAACGTGGCGATGAACATGGAACATATTGGATCCGCTATCATCCAGCCGAACATCTGCATGAGCACGGCAGAAATGATGACGCCAACAGAACCCAGCGTATCCGCCAAGATATGCAAGAAGACACCTTTCATGATTTGTGAATTTCCCGAACTCGCCGATTGATCAAGTTCCATGTCGATATGATCGCGGTGATCGTCATGGCTATGATTGTGATTGTGAGAATGGCCATGGCCTCCATGGGAGTGGGAATGTCCGTGTCCTCCACCATGGCTATGACCGTGACCATGTTGAAATGCATATATTCCTACTAAATTAACTAATAATCCTAATACAGACACTATAAATAGTCTTTCGTGCTTCACTTCTGGAGGTTCGATGGCTCTTTCTACAGCCTCGAACATGATAAAGAATGCTATGAATAATAAAAACAGAGCATTAACGAATCCGGCGAGTACTTCTGCCCTAACGTATCCATAGGAAAATCTATCGTTGGCTCTCCACTTAGTAATTACGGACGCTACTAATCCAGCCACTAAACCGGTACAATCGAAGAACATATGAAAACTGTCAGATATCAGTCCCAAACTATTTGTCCATACACCATACGTCAACTCGACGAATGCAAAGAATAAGTTGAGCAGTAGGAATAAAAATAAGTTTCTGGAATTCTTATCGGCGAAGATCAGCCTTTTCCAACCGAAGATTTTCTCCTTAATACGGCTGCCGAAGCTCCGAGAATCCTTATGCGTAAGTGGTAGCATGGTGGATGGATGATTAATTAAACGGCACTTTGTTGGTATTTAGCCACTCTGTAAAAAAAGTATCATTAACAATACACTCTAATTAGAACTGCTACTCCGAAAGATACCTTATGCTACAACACTGCTCACAAAAGTATTAACCATTTGAAACTCTCGCAGTAGCACAGTGCTACAATGAATATTAAACAAAGGCACAGCTCGTATTCCACTTTGTACGTGGTGATACATACGAATGCGTGCTGGTACAAATAATAGACGAATATTTAAATAACCACAGCCACTACAGATCTGTCCGACACTCGCCTCTTGGAAGGTTAAGAAAACAGGAATTTTATGAAACTCACCCCCTAGGTCTTTCATCTAACGGGACAATCCAGCGTGACAATTTTCTTCCGCGGGTAAAAGAAGTTATTAATTTAAATACATATTTCCGAATTATCAAAGGATTCCTACGCCCGGCTGCGAGCGAGCTCGGGGGAGCGCCATGTTGAACACGCTGCAGCCACTCCTGTCAAGCTGACAACCATCTGACAACTCACCTAAAACTGCATTTAAATGTAAGAAATTTCCCTGAATATTTTACATTTAAAATTCACACCTTTATTTAATAGAAATTTATTCATATATCTTGATATCTTTGAATGTATATTTAATTTTAGTGGAATATTGTTTTGCCTGGCAAGTACGAGCTTGAGAGAGAAAGTCAAAATGGCGGAACAACCGCTTCCCTTCTCTTTCCGTGTAGTCAGCCATCATGGTGAGTGCTCGTGTCAAATACTTTTTACAATAATTCTTGAGTAATTCTGAGCTGACAAGTATAATTTAACGATTTTTATGAGAATAAGGTGTAGATTAATTTAAGGAGTTAAAAACATTTAAAACAAACCTCTGCTATCATCAATATCAAGTGAACCTTGTCGGCTCTGGCCACATGGAGTGAATAACAAACTATTTTTAATGAAAGGTTTTCAATGTATTTTATCCAGTATTGTGACCTATATCATAGTGCTTACTCTTTTCACTCACTTTAACTGTGTAATGTTTCTTTTGCACCATATGCACTAGCTAAAAACTTTGTTGTGAAGAAACCTAACCTCTCTGAGACAATTGTTCATTCCTTTCCGTGTACTCCGTTGTGTGGAAGAGAATAACAATTTAAAGTTTTAAATGCTACTTCATGTTTCAATATATTGTTATTTTTATATATGTAATTCAGTGATCTAAATAACGCATATAAATATTGTGATGAACCGTTTACACTAGATATTTACCATGATAGTAAATTACTGATTTAATGAGTCTGAATTTAACATAGTTGATTAATTAATATCAATATACAGAGTTTCCAATTACTAAATAGTTATTTTTTTCAGCCTCCGAAGAAGGACACGAAGGGGTCTTCTAAACAACCCCAGAAGACCCAAAAGAAGAAAGAGGGAGGATCTGGAGGCAAGGCGAAGAAGAAGGTACGCCTTAAAAATTATTCTATTACCTTGGCAAGATTTCAAATGATGACACCAAATATTTTGACAAAATCCATGGAAATCTAAAACTGATTTAATGGGACTGATGATCTCTTTTCTTGAAACTGTTTCTTTCTTTATGTTACTTTAGTTATTAATCACATTCTTTTATGTATTGCAGAAGTGGTCCAAAGGAAAAGTACGTGATAAGTTAAACAACCAGGTGTTGTTTGACAAGGGTACCTATGACAAATTATTGAAAGAAGTGCCGCAATACAAATTGATCACCCCATCGATAGTCAGTGAACGTTTGAAGATCCGAGGATCACTGGCTAGGAGAGCGCTGATTGAGTTGCAACAGAAAGGACTCATCAAACAAGTCGTACAACACCATGCCCAGCTGATTTACACTCGTACGACAAAGGGTGATGACCCCCCCACATAAACGCTAAATTTATACTACGTACGAATCAGTTTAATTAATAAAAAAGATATAAAAGCAAGTATATGCAATGATAATAGCTTTTTAATTTTAAGAACCCGAAGAGCATTGCAACTTATTGGGTCATTCCATGAGTTCTTGAATAAATTTTCTTTACAGATAATTGCATGCTTGAATAAAAGAAAGGTAGTAAAAAGTAATCGACAGTGCCTAAAAATATATTATTAGTTATCATGTAGTTTGTTGCATTGCAATAAATAAGCTCTCAATCTTTTATTAAAGCTTAAAGAAAAATTAAAGCTATTGTAACAATTGCCATACGATATTAGCGAAAACAATTTATTTACTTAATGATAATGATGTTATAGATTATTTTCACTTAAATCAGATAAACACCCTTTATCAATTTTTCTGCGAACTTATTAAACAGCCCAATGAGTTACAAGTTGCATATGAAAAATTTATAGGCATCGTAAGAATTATGTCACGTAGGTTAGTGAAAGCGATAAAATTATGTAATTCATACTTAAATGAACAACCGAAGATCGAGACATTCAAATGTTAACCAACAACGCGAGATCGCAACAATACAAAATTGTTCACGTGAAGAAACTCCGGATGAACTCGAGAATCGAGTCCCTGAAATCCATTCTTCAAATTCATACGATGAAATTTTGCTCGCGAAATTGATGGTTTCGTACAAGACATACAAATGTTGACCAACAATGTGACTTCGCAATAATACAAAATTGTTCACGCGAAGAAACTCAGAATGAACTCCAGAATCGAGTCCCTGGGACCTAATTCTCAAGTTCATACACTGAAATTTCGCATGCGAAATCGACAGTTTGATACAAGACAATCAAATGTTGATAAAAAACGCGACATTGCAACAATACAAAACTGTTCACGCGAAGAAACTCCTAATGAACTCCAGAATCGAGTCCCTGGGACCTAATTCTCAAGTTCATACACTGAAATTTCGCATGCTCAAATGTTGATAAAAAACGCGACATTGCAACAATACAAAACTGTTAACGCGAAGAACACTCCGGATGAACTCGAGAAATCGAGTAGCTGGGTCGCAGATAACATCCGGATTAAAGGATGAAATAATTCGAACGAGTGACCCTTCCGAAGGATCGCAGGAGCTCTTGGAATCCCCTTGGGCGATCGTCTCTCGTTTCCCCTCAACCTTCATAATGGCTACGGTCTGACTCTACGCGAAACATTTTTTCTGGCACGTTTTTCCGAATTCCCTTCCACCCCTCCGGGTACAAGCTGGACTGGAAGGCCCAAAATTGCTAGTGCTCCCAGCTTATTCAAATGAATCCTCGCCCCGGGGCCGAGGCGACGGGGTCGGCCAGCTGAGACTCCCAGGAGGATTCCACTCGCGAGAGTTCGCCGCGAAAGAAAGAAAGAGAGAGAGAGCGCGAGGCGCCAGTCGCGAGCTAGACAAGGACGACTGGACCTCGGCGGCGCGCTCGTCGTCGAGCGGCCGGTCTGAACCATCGCCACGGAACCGAGGGAGGAAATCCCCCAGGAAAGAGGGTCTCCTGACTCGAGGGAAGCCACTGGGTTCTCCAATGAAGAGCCCCTGGCATGGCCTCGCGACTCAGCCCCCGAAATTCGGAGGTGAACGCGCTTGAACAGCGGGGATACCTCATCGGCAAGAAAATCGGACAGGTTACGGGTGATCCCATCCTTTGCTCCTCGTTTTTTATCCTCTTTATCCTATTCCCACTGGGTGCTTTTCAACTTCCTTGCCCGTCAAGCCGAATTTCAAGGGGTTATTTGCTTCCTTCGGGGTTGGGGAGGTGTATGTACATGTAATGTAAGGGGATTTGTCCCCGGATGTCCCGATGACAACCTTTTACTACCTTTCCGCACTGTCCGAGCAACCCCTTGCGGCTTTTCGCGATATATCGCGATTTCTTCCACGCCACCCCAACGAGTATTTGTGATAATTATTCCGCACGGTCCCAAGAACAAACTTTGATTACCTTTTCGCGCTGTCCGAGCAACCTCTTGCGGAATATTGCGATTTCTTCCACGCTACCCCAACGAGTATTTGTGATAATTATTCCGCACGATCCCAAGAACAAACTTTGATTACCTTTCCGCGCTGTCCGAGCAACCCCTTGCGGAATCTTGCGATATATTGCGATTTCTTCCACGCTACCCCAACGAGTATTTGCGATAATTATTCCGCACGGTCCCAAGAACAACCTTTTACTACCTTTCCGCGCTGTCCGAGCAACCCCTTGCGACCTTTCGCGATATATTGCGATTTCTTCCACGCCACCCCAACGAGTATTTCCGATAATTATTCCGCACGGTCCCAAGAACAAACTTTGACTACCCTTTCCCCCTGTCCGAGCAATCCCTTACAACATTTTCCGCGCCATCCCAATGATTAGTTACGGCAATTGTCCCACACAGTCCCGACGACAACCTTTTACTACCTTTCCGCGCTGTCCGAACAACCCCTCGCGGCTTTTTGCGATCTCTTCCACCCTACCCCAACGAGACCTTGCGATTATTGTTCCGCACGATCGCAAGAACAAACATTGACCGCCTTTCCACGCTGTCCGGGCAACCCCTTGTGATCTCTTCCACGACACCCCAACGAGTACTCCCAATAATTGTTCCGCACGATCCCAAGAGCAACCTTTGACTACCTTTCCGCGCTGTCCGAGCGACCCCTTGTGGCCTCTTGCGATCTCTTGCGATCTCTTCCACACCGCCCCAACGACTACTTGCGATAATTGTGCCGCACAATCCCAAGAACAACCTTTGACTACCTTTCCACGCCGTCCAATTGCTCTGCACGGTCCCAAAGACAACCTTTGACTGCCGGTCCGAGATGTCCGCGCGACCCCTTATGCCCCCCTCCGACCTCTTCCGCGCCGTCTAACGATTATTTGCGACAATTGCTCTGCACGGTCCCAAAGACAACCTTCGACTGCCGGTCCGAGCTGTCCGCGCGACCCCTTGCGACCCCTTCCGACCTCTTCCGCGCCGTCTAACGACTATTTGCGACAATTGCTCTGCACGGTCCCAAAGACAACCTCCGACTGCCGGTCCGAGCTGTACGAGCGGCCCTTTACGACCCCTTACGACCCCTTCCGACCTCTTCCACATCGCCTAACAACTATTTACGACAATCGTTCTACACGGTCCCAAAGACAACCTTTGACTACCGTTCCGCGCCGTCGCAAAAACCGTGACCGTTCCGTCATAAGTCGATCATTCATCATCGTTCATAGTCATATATCCTTTTTCCTGGAAATCCCGACTAATCCTTTAGATAAACGAATGCTCTACCTGAAATGAGGGTCCTCGCGGAATCCTTGAGTCTCGCGGTTTTGCAAAAAACAATTACCAGGTATGGTCCTTTCGCGTCGGGGACACCTCGAAGAACTTAATCCAACGAAACCACGTGGTTACGTTGAGAGCTTCCACTCTGTCCTGAGGGAAAAAATGACTCTAGGAAGAATGAAATTCTTATGTCAAATTGATGCTTCCTGGCTGTTATACCGACAAATATACTGAAAAATGACTTTCTAGGGTGAATGAAATTCTTATGTCAAATCGATGCTTCCTGGCTACTATACCGAGGAACAAAAGGTTCATTGGACCAAACACATGTTTTGTTAATTCAAAGAATAATTATGTAATAAGCTGAAATAAATTGTTATCATTCCGGGGAGACATAAACGGGTTGCATAAACGATCTGGACGGTTATCAGGGGTCGTACGCGACGGTCCACCTGGCTGAGTACGTGGACGGGACCAGCCCGAAGAAGATGCGCTTGGCGTGCAAGATCTTCGACAAGGAGAAGGCGCCTCCCGACTTCTTGGACAAGTTTTTCCCCCGGGAGCTCGAGATCCTGACGAAAATCGAGAATCCGCACATCATTCAGGTGCACAGCATCCTGCAACGCGGCCCACGGGTCTTCATCTTCATGCGGTACGAACGACGTTGCGATTCTGTCTATGAGGCAGGATGAGAGAATAAGTTCGCATCCCGGACTAGACATCTCCTCGGGAAGATGGTTTTGCAACCATTTAATCCTTATTTTGTCAGGTACGCGGACAACGGGGACCTCCTGGACTTCGTCAAGCTCAACGGGGTCGTCCCCGAACAGCAGTCCAAGCTCTGGTTCCGGCAAATGGCGTCCGGCCTCCACTATTTGCACGGGAAGAACATCGCTCATCGGGACCTTAAGTGCGAGAACATCCTCCTCTCGAGGAAGTTCAACGTCAAGCTCGCCGATTTCGGGTTCGCCAGGTTCTGCGTGGACCACGAAGGACGCAGGGTCCTCAGCCAGACTTATTGCGGATCCGCGGCGTACGCAGCCCCCGAGGTCGTCTCCGGGACACCCTACAACCCCAAACTTGCGGATGTATGGTCCCTTGGGATCATTCTCTTCATCATGCTCAACGCGTCCATGCCCTTCGACGACGCCAACCTCAGGAAGCTACTCAAGAACCAGATGTCCAAGAACTGGGTATTCCGCTCGCGCGTCAGGGAGACCATCTCCACCCCTGCGAAGAACATCGTTAAACTCATCCTCGAGCCCGACATCACCCTCAGGCTCACCCTGGAGAGGGTCCTCACCCACGAGTGGGTACGCCCCAGGAAGGACAAGACCGGGTCCATGGTCGGCAGACTCGTCCATTCCGCACCCCCCATACACCCACAGGTACTGCACGGGATCGTGACTTCCATGGATCAGGGTGGAAGGGAATCGATGGTCTCCACTCTAGGGGATACCTGATTGTCTCATTTGCTACTATTCCCCTGGTGATAACAGGGGAAATGTGGGAAATGCCAAAGTATCAGTCTTCTCCGCGAATGTTGATCGTATGAACTATGGAATTGGAGTCCTGGGATTGTTTCAAAGATATCTCGGTTTCTTTACCGTGGAATGGTCCTTAAGATGATATGATAGGAATGGATATGTTGATAATTATACGAACTAAAGAGTTCCATATGTCATTTCGGTAATGTAATGGTGAAGTGGTCGAAATCCCGGGGATTCATTATTCTAACGACTGTTTAGGACCCACGTCGCCATCTGTGACGTTTAGCTGCAACTAAATTTTTGCTCTAAAAACACGGGTTAGCCGGGAAATATGAAAAATTTACATGTAAAGCAGCTGAAGGGTGCCCGATTATTGGCATAAGGGTTAAAAGAAATATTTGTCAGATAAGCGGTGGTGGAGTAATGAGAAAATATACTAATTGAAATAGGTATTTCAATACATGAAGGCATAAAAATGAAGCCTAAGGATTAAAAGAAATATTTGTCAGATGAGGGGTGGTCGAGTAATGGGAAAATATATTAATTAAAACAGATATTTCAATACATGAAGGCATAAAAATGAAGCCTAAGGATTAAAAGAAATATTTGTCAGATGAGGGGTGGTCGAGTAATGGGAAAATATATTAATTAAAATAGATATTTCAATACATGAAGGCATAAAAATGAAGCCTAAGAAAAAATTCACGGAGGCATTTTCAATATTTGTCCGAGAAATATGGAAAATTTACATGTAAAGGAGCTAAAGGGTGCCCGATTATTGGCATAAGGATTAAAAGAAATATTTGTCAGATAAGCGGTGGTGGAGTAATGGGTGGAGCGGGACCAACGGGAACCGGAAATCCACCCGCGGCGTCCAGGGCGGGGATGACGTCCTTCAAAGCCGTAGAGAATCAAGGACATGTCGGGAACGGAAGAAGCGCGGATGGCTCCGGAAAAGAATCTTCCCCCCAGCCGACGATCACTGTCGAATGACTCTAATGACTAGGTCTGAAGTCCCAACCGAGAGTCCACGTAAACGATCCCGGTAGAACCAGAGCCACCTGAAAAGCTAGTCACGGAAACCCCCCATTTTTTGGAACCATTTTCTCTTTGCTACAAATAATAATTATTATCGCATCTACAAAGAAACATATGGTTTTATCTCTTCCATCGGCAGGTCTTAGAATAAACGAATCGCAGTCGTTGAGGGAGGTGGAAAATAAAAAATGATAACAATTAACAATGGTCGAGGGTCCCGGACCCTCCATTAAGGGCGGAAAAATTGGAAAGTTCCTCGTGGCTTTCACGCGGCCTAATCGTACCTCGGGGTTACATTAATAATAATTAAGTTTATTATACACATCTATCGTCTATTAATATACAAAACTATATAATTTTTGGTTATATATAGTGTATAACGTAATATTGCGTAGGTAATGGGTAACGGTACAAGTAAATATATTTATCATATATTATAGTTTACAGTAGAATAACAAATAATTTACAGGATTTCGCGTCGTCCTCACTTGGGGATGTGGCGAGTCGCTTTGGCCCAGTTTTTAGCACCCTGCGCGATGAAAATAATTTCTCTTCGGTTTTTTAACTGGACGGAATCGACCCGCGCCCTCCTCCCCTCGAAACAATTGATTAATGTCTAAGTAAGATCAGCTCGCTCCGATGGATCGTAACAAGCCGGCGGTAATTGGGAAAGGTCAGGTCGTAACTGTTAAAATATTACTTCGTTTATACATCCTGATATAAACCGTCGATGTTTATTTACGATTAGGACGCACTTCCTGGGTAAAAGGCACGGTCTCCTTGTTGTAGCCGCATATGTGAAGATGTGCGTGTTTCAGATTTTTATCACCGTAAAGTGATAAGGGGCTTATCGAGTGTCGTAACGCTGTGTTAAAAGGGAATCTTCAATATTAATGGCAATATTTGCCCCCGAGTGAAAAATTCACAATACAGTGCTACGGTCCATTACTAATATTTTCCACTCTTTTCGATGATTCCTGTTTAAAGTGATATAAATCGGTCATTCTATATTATATAATAACATTTATTAAACTTTTCTTCAAATTCGATCCACCGAATCATTTGGAACTGCAGCACGTGATTAGGAAGGCCCTAATAAAAAAACCCGATGCTCGTGAAATTTCATTTTTCAAAAAACAAATACGTGTCCTCGGTTCTTGTCTGGGATAAATAAAAAAGAATTTGTTTAATTGAAATTTCACGAGCGTCGCGTTGTTTCTTAGGGCCTCCACGATCATGCGCTAATGTTTTAAATGATTTCATGCACCCTGTTTGGAGAAAAGTGTTATTAATATTTTTATGCTTTATATATATAGAATGACCCTTTCACTTCCCCTTAAGTAATTTCGGATTTGATATTTCGCTATTACTTTTACAATGTGTATATCAAAATAGTGCGGATAAAAGTGTGGGCAATGCTTCGAAGTCGAGCGTCGGTATTGTTGTTAATGTTTTATCTCTTTACCGCATCGCAATTGAAGGAACTGCCGACAATGACAATGTTAACGATAACATCTCCAGAGTGTGCTTCTTTATCGGCATATGGCTACGAAAGCAACCGATTAACTTTAGATAGTGATAAGTCGTTATTTTTTCACTGTTCATAACGCAAAGATATTAATAGCGCTGACAGTAATTTTCGGGATGCGCCTTGTGCCTTTGACATTTTCAAGACTCGCTTTTGATAAGCGGTCGACGAACGGATATGGAAGAAGACTTTGGTTAGTCAATGCGCATAGGCACTTGCAGAGTCTCCGGTAATGAAGAGAAATGTTAATCCTCTGTACCTGAGAAATCTTCGGCTTGCGTGATTTGCATGCAACGCAGCCGCGACATTTCCAACGGTCAAGGAAAATCTACAAGTCTCTCGAAACTCCATTAATCATGCAATCAGCACGTAGAATGCCCCTTGCCTAAGATTCATTAGTCTGCAATTTCATCTCGCCTCCTTTCCTCCCCCTTACTACCAATTAATTAAGAAAACTTATACAAATTAACAGGTGCATTAACGTAAAATATCTAAAGGATTAAAATTGCTAAACCGCAATCAGTAATAAATACAGTGACAAGTGTAAAGTGCTGAGGCACTCTACGCGTTGATCGGTATTACACAAAGTATCAGTCGGTTTAAGGGGATGTCGAAGTGCCATTACAGGGGTCAATCGTTCATGACACTTTTCCCCAAACTGAGCTTTACGAATTGCTTCAAACTTTACAGTGTTAATATGGAGGCTATGAGGAAGGTCGTAACACCCGTAAAATCTCATTTCTTATACGAAATTTTAAAAATATATATAAGTAATTTTCTAAAAATTGAAATTTCATGGCTGTTGGAACTTTTCTTATAGTCTCCATATTCGCGTTGTAATGTATGAAAAGACTCGGTACACCCTGATCAGAGGAGAGTTTGACAAACGAGACCTCTGACGTCACTTTCACATCACCTTAAGAACTAAACCATCTGATTTTGTTTTTGTCACGACTTAGGGATAAAATAAAACTTTCGCGCGTCGTGCGTGCTAATTAGATACGCGCCCATGCGATGTGCGCTTTACGCGTATCATTAACTATGTACAATTCTAGTGTTAAGATATTAGAAGTACCAATTGCTCGGTTGTCGGCGGCGACTCGACAAAATGCGAGTGAAATGATGCGCGGAAGTCGCGCAGAGGAAGCGTTATTTGCGCAAGTGGTATTTTGACATCTTTTAAGATCTCTAGGCCCAGCCGCCGGTCAGTTTATGGAACATCTCCTCGTTAAGGGTCTGATTTGCCTCCTTGGATCGCATGGACAGGAAGATGTATCCGCCAATAAATTCGTGGACAACCTTGCAGTCGGCCGATTGGCATTCGAAGATGATGCTCTCCTCCTCGAACTGGACCATCATGTGTTTCACCTCCCAGTTCACGTTCCACGCCTGTTGGGTGATTATAAAATTGTTAACCACATTTTCCCTGACGCTTTAAGGTGAAGTGAAACATGTTAAAAAACTTGATCGACGTCGGTAAAAAAGATTTTCCTAAATATCTACGTCGACGACGTTGGTTTTTATATTCACAGACGTGTCGAATTATATCGGGGGTTGTACTAAATCCACCTGTTGTTGTCGTACAATAATTATTAAGACATTTCATGCTTTCCGAGGCCCTAATTGACTGCAGAGGGACCCCCTGCGCCATCTGTGAGTTCCGTGTCAACTAAATTTTCACCCCGAGACCTCGTATTACCATCATTTTAGCATAGCAGCGCGTAAGACACTTTTTTTTTGCCTTTATCCCGCTCAAAGGCGAATTTCTCGATTATCAGAGTGTTCTAAATTCTCGTACAATTGTCCTGACACTTTCGTTTCTCATATTAGAGCCTTCAGTAATTATATATAGAACGCAAAATGAGAGCTCGACGTCATGTTGGTTCTGGTCTGGACTAAGTTAAAGAATTATCTTGGAAAATTGAAAATTTGAAAGTGACAGGACAATTCCTAGGTACTCGCGAGTCATGTATCAAAGTTTCAGGCGGTTCGATCCAATACCCTTAAACAAAAAAGTGTCTTATTCGAGTCGACTGATTTGACGGGGGGTTTCATTTCACCTTAGCGTGGCGAACCACTTTGTGCGGATTTTTTATTAGCTAGGTAATGAATTATTGGATGTACCTTCATCGTGTTAAATCTCCAGGTCTTCAGGTGGTCTCCACTGTGAGGGTCCATGCGCATAAGTCGATTGTTGGCAATGCCTAGAAGCTCGTCTTTACTCTTGTTCGAGAATCTGACCACGAAGAGCGATATGCCGTATTCCGGAAGCGACTGCCACGCCTTGATGTAGTTCAATTTGGCGTCGACTAGGGTAAGATCCTTCACGTTGGCGTGAGCCTCCAGGATCCTCTGAACCAGCTGATAGGATCAATCGACAATGTACTAAATCTTTAACACGATAATTCGCTGGTTCTACCATGAAATCACGGGGTAGTATAAGGAGATACAACGCCATGTATTGAAATCGTCCCCATTTTAAGGTGAAGTGAAACACGTAGAGGAACTTGATCGACGTCGATAAAGAAGATTTTATCGTTTATATATTGACAGCTGTGTCGAATTATATTGGATATTGTACCAAATGGCATACTCCACATGTCGTTTACGTACAATAAATATCAAGAAATCCAAGTAAAACTCCAGAAATCCTCTGAATTCGTGCTTTCTGAGGCCCTAATTGACTGCAGAGAGACCCCCTGCGCCATCTGTGATTTCCAGATCAATTAAATTTTCACCCCAAGACCTCGTATTCCCATCGTTTTGGCAAAAATTTTGTTAAAACATCCAAATTTTGAATATGTCAGGACAATTCTTAGATGATCAGGAGTGACGTGTCAAAGTTTCGGACAGTTTGGTCTAATACCCTTAAAAAAAAGTGTTGCATTTGAATCGACTGATTTGAAGGGGGTTTCACTTCACCTTAAGGGTCCAAGATCTTCAGACTTTTTCTGACCCAGTGCCGAGAGCCACTCCATTAAATTTTCAAATTAAATATTAGTTAGCCTTCTAGCGTGTCCGCTAGTCTTTATCGCGTTAAAAACATGGCGTTCTGTATGTCATGCGCGGATTGTCGCCTCGGTTTGCGTACCTTAATTGCAAAATTAAAAGCATTTCAGGTAATTTGGTCTTGTAGGACAGAAGTTCCCTTATTCCCCGCAAGTGGCGCTCGCATCGCTACTTTCCGAGGAGCCCACCATTGGCGTTATGTCTCCTTATACTGCTTCATACATGAAATACTCAAGATTCGAACCTTTCCCTTAAACTTCTTCGCAAACCTAGGCGCGACATAGTCTTCCGGCGTGATGTCAAGTGCGTTTGGATTGATTGCAGGTGCAGGTGCAGGCCTCTGCAGCTGCAGGAACGCCATGATGCTGTTCACTTCGCTTTCGTAAGAGGCATCGGCCAAAGTGCGACCTTTCGCTGCCAGCCTGCAGGCAGCCATCCACTTTGCATACTGTTGTTCCTGAAAAAGAAACGACACGCCGAAGTAAATAAACATCCCGCAAGTTGTCTACATTAACAAATACCAGGTACACCACACTGTTAAAAAAGATTCATAAAATTCATACACTTTTAGTGCATAAGGTTGCACTGCATTGTAAATCTGATGTCTTAACAGCGAATTAGTGTACGTTTATTGTTAAACTCTAAGTAAAATTACAATTTTATAACACCGTGGTGTGAAGCCGAGCCATTTGATACATGTCGTTTCCGTCTTGGTAGTTCTAGTGTTAATATCAAGTCCCGATCAACAGAAATTTATAACATATATTATCTGAAAATATGTTATAAAATTAGAATATTTTTCTTGTTTAACAGTGCAGGGGAAATAATTAAATGCCCTTATATTCGCTTATGTCGCAGGTGGTCCATCGATAGGGTGGACCCTTTCCCTTCGTACGTCCACGTGGGGACACATGGCCCATTGTGTGTAAGCCGCAAATGTAATTGAGCACCAACGGACTCACCGTCTCGCATCTAATCCAGATCTCCGTCATGCCCTCTGCACTGGGCACTTCCAGCCTGATACCATAACGGCTTTGCGATAGATGCACATCCGGAGTAACTTCGCAACCCCGGAGATTGATCACGTAGGCCGGATTTTCGGAGCCGTTTGACTCCTCGCGAGATTTGAACAACCTCAGCTGGAGGTCCCGGCAAGTGAACCAATAACGCTTGAAGGCCTTCAGGGTGAACCGCTTAGGCTTGAAGAAACGGAGGTAGTCGCAGAGCTCGGGGACCTGCGTGATGTCACTAGGTCCGTTGCTGATGTTGCTGCCCTCTAGGGTAACCTGAAGATCCGTAAGAGCGGCGTCGATGTCGTCCTCGACGGGAGATGCCGTCCCGTTGCTGTCGTAGTTCGGCTGCGGTACGCTCGCCTGAAGGTTCACTTGAACCTGAAAAAATGAACGTCAGTAAGTCCATAAACCTAACACCACGAATTTCTTTACATTACTCCAAGAATTAAATTCAGGTCAAGGTGAAGTGAAACACGTCGAGGAACTTGATCGACGTCGATAGAGAAGATTTTTCTAAATGCCTACGTTGCCGACGTTCGTTTTTATATCGACAGCTGGGTCGAATTATATTCGGTATTGTACCAAATGGCATACTCCACCTGTCGTTTTCGTACAATAATTATAAAGAAATTGATGTAAAACTCAAGAAATCCCCTGGAATCGCGGTTTTTGATGCCCTGAGTCACTACCGAGTGACACCCTGCGCCATCTGTGATCTCAGTGCCAACTAAATCTTCTCTCCGAGAACTCGGGTTACTTTCGTTTCAGCATTGATACGAAAAAGACACTTTCCTTTGCCTTTATTGCGTTTAAGTATGAGTTTCTAGACTACTAGAGTGTTCTGAATTATTGTAGTTTATTAAATATTTATTTAAATTGACATGAAAGTGTCATATATACATACCAAAGGGTCAAAATATTTATAAAACTTTTCTCCAAATTGGGTGCACCGAATCATTTGAAACTT